ATGTGACCAAGGCAATCTGTTGTAAAAGTGGGACATACACCTCCTGCCCTCTGTTTGACTTTCTCTTGACAAAAAAAAATCTTTTTTTTTTACTATTTACTGAGAGATTGTGAAGCAGAAAGGGTTGGCTGGTTATCTTTAAAATATCCTCTTTTCTGTTGACCATCCCTCTTGTAAGCTCTGACCCTGCAACTCCACTGATTCAATCCTCCAATCCACCATTCTCTCTCTGCACCCGCCACTCATTTGGTGCCAAGTAATCCACTACCCGGTTTAATCCCTTGAACTGCTCTCAGACACAAAACACACACACAATTTCCCTCCGCTCTTACACACTCAGTTGCTCAAACTCGCACACAACCTCTTACACAAAATAAAACACACATTCACATGGATTTACCACAAATGGCAGCATTTCTTCACCGAAAGCATTTATGGGATTGACTAACTCTTCATGTAAAGCAGCCTGAAGGTTAAAGGCATCATTTGTATTTACACAACAAACACCCTGATGCATGCGAACGTGGTGCTCAAAATAAAGCTAATAAAACATGTGTAATATTTTAGTACATTCACAGTCATAATGGGTAAAAATGTGCCCCTATGGTAAATCTAAAAAGCAAAAATCTAAAAGCAATTTCATAAAGTTAGCAGACAAAAGCATATAATTACTATATGAAAGATAATAAGAGAGCTTTCTTTATATATATTTCAAAACTGAGTCAAAGATCACGTTGAAAATAACTTTTTCTATGAAGGAGATGATAAAACAGCACCCCTATCCTTTTTTTTTCAAAAAGGACAAACCACATGCACAAATACTATAAAGACTTGTGTTCACAAATCAAATACATCTTTTATGCGTTAAATTCTTGCAGTACTTCCTGCATCATGGGCCCCAGATTATAAATAACATTATTAATACTGTTGCACAGAAACAGAAGCTGAGATTTTGCTGTAAAAACTCAACTAGATAAAGACTGGTTCAGTGAGAATGGTTTCCCATGGGATGATCGAGTGGCTGTATTGATCAAAGGGAATTCATTTTGTGCTGGCTGAGGGCCTGAAGCTCACATGCATCTATCAGTTGCTGATCATTTTTATTCATTTAATTCAATATTCTGTTGAAGGATTGCCAGGAGTTTCCGACCATAAAATAATACCATAATCTGACAGCCATCTGACCACCATTCAGCATCATATTTGTGCAGGGGACACGTTTTGCTTCAAAATGAGCCTGAAATCTATTTACATGTGGTTGAATGACAGACAGTCATTAGAATCACACAAACAATTAATGAATTTAAAAAAAACATCTAATGCATAGAGGACATATATAACATCGCTGACAGGGAAAAAAAGAAATAAAAGAGAGTCAAATGTGAGCGTTTGAAAGACCACAGAAAAAAAAAATCACACATACTGTACATTGTGCAGTGAGTGGCGAGGGACAGACATGGGCAGCGTGAATAATCCCCATGTGCTGATGGAACACACTATGTTTCTGTGTGTCTGTCTCTCACTGATTCATATACAAGCACACACACAATTCCCAGGAAGGCTGAGAACATCTCTCGCTAACCTCAGAGAAAAAATCAAATGTTTGGACTGAATGAGAAAGTCCTTTGAGGACAGTATAGACTCGTAGGACTAAGCTACTTTCAAAAATCATTCTGCTCTTTTGGCAACACAATCTGAAGGGGAATCACAAACATTTTTTCAAGTCTATTTCGGTTTTACCCGACCCAAGGCACACTGACCTGCATGTTTTCAAGCATGTTTCTCCATGATTTCCATCATATGGATTGGACTGCCACATGAAAAACATGTCATGTTATCTATTGTAGATTTACACGTCACAATGTTAGTCTACTAACTCCAATACAAGAAAAGAACACGGACTGTTTCACTTTGTTTGTCGAGGAGGAATAGTTAGGATTTAGAGTCTGAAACAAATGGAACAGGCACAATTTGGGCTTACATGTTTGGATTCCGATCACACCCAAACACAAAACCGCACATTTGTTCCGACTGATTTCAAACCTCAACGAAGACTCTCTGTTGGCGTGACAAACCTATTTCACATTTAACATGTAGCATGCAAACAGCATGCTGCGCTCATCTGCATTCTATCTTTCTGTTGATGACACCCTGTAACAGACACAATCCTTTCCTTGCTTGTTTTTCAGTACAGCATGTTAAACAGCTCAAAGACAGATATGTCATCTTGTAAACTGTTTTCATGAAGGGTTGAAACTGACCAAATTTGACTTTCTTTGACAAACAGAAGCCAGAGGTCAATCACATCAGACTGAGTGGGAATAGTGAGTGTGACAAGTGTCCAGGTGATTATCATGTTGGACTTCTCCGAGTTTGCACCTCCTCACTGACCCTGTAGGTTGTTAACAGAATTGGATAAGATCTTTGTGGTCTTTATTTATATCTTTATAATCTTGAAATTTTTTCAAGGAGATAAAAACGGTGTTAAAATGTAAATTAGACTCAGACTGGACATGTGTGTGGGCTGCTATTGTTTCATAGACACTCTTTTAGAAGCTAAAATTGTTAAGCCATTAAAGTCCTGGTGAAAAAGTGTATAATAAGACAAGTCAGTTAAAGTGCCATGAAATCAAAGACCGATTTATCCAGGAACTTTCATAAAACAAAGTTAATTGGTTTCTCTTGCAATGGGCAGTCAGAAGCTATCTGTCTCCATCACACCATCCTAGAACATGTTATTATTTCCTGTGGTTTGGCAAAGTCATTCGATAGTTCATCAGAAGCAGGATTTAGCCATCCCACTCACAGACAGTTTGAGAAGTCAAAGCAGATCACAACTTAAGAAAACAACAACAAAAAAAGCATTATCCTGTTTAGATGCTCCACTTTCAGGGATCTGTCTCGGTGACACGGTCACTGATGAGTAATCCAGCCTCTGTTAATGTTATTAGGATCAGCAGTGCTTCCCTTACTATGTCTGAGATCTAACATAGTTAAGAGGAGCTATAAATATGAAAGTGTGGTTTGTACGACGCAGTTGCAGCCAGGTAACAAACACACACTGCAAAGTCTGCACAAAGTCATGCAAGTATAGTTTAGTTTACGTGAATCTATAAAAATAAAAAATATATATTCTGTGCTTTCCTTTAAAATGCTTTAAGTGCCATTCAACATTACAAAATCTGATTGGAGCAAAATGAATTCATTTTGTTGTTTTGTTTGGAATTCAATGTCAAATTGCTCCGTAATTATATTTGTAACATGACATCCCTCATTTTCACTTCAGTTAACTGCTGTGTCAAGCAGGGGGATAGCCCGCTATGTGCGTGTGATTGAAGACACACACCAGTGATTGTGTGTCAAGAAGAACAATAAAATCTGACACTCTATCCAAATATTGCCAGGAAAGCCCTCTGACGAAACTCACCCATCCAGCCAATCACTCTCATACAGACGTCTGAAGCCTTTGTGATTAATCCAGATGATGACACATGGTGGCACTAACAACAAGCAGCATGAAGCTTTTACAAAAACTTTTAAATCTTTTAAAACACAAACAGCACCAGGAGAGCAATATTGTGCACAAATGCATGTGAGAAGCCAAAGGAGAAAAAAACCTTTTCGGCTACTCAATGTAAGTGCTTTTTTTGTGAAGCAAAAACTATTAAAGGTTTTGTGTTGCCAAACAAAACAACCTTGAGAATAATACCAAACTGTCTCTGAGAATATGTTTAGGTACTTCAAATCTAAAACATCCCAGTCCTCCTTTGCATATAAACAAATACATAAATAGCTCTTGAAACAGCATTTCAGGAGACCTTTCATTACGTCTTTAATTTGTGACAATCACTCAAAAACAAAGCATTGCAACAACACAAAAGACACATAACTCTACAACAGATCTTTGTACATCTGTGTTACTACTCACCAGTTCTTGGTTGGTGGAATTGGAGTCATCTCCAGGAAAGGGGATGTAGATGGCTAAGGCCACACAGTTGGCAAAAATAGAGAGCAATATAAAGATATCAAAGGGTCTAAACAAAACAGTTAAGGAAGGCAAGGAAGAGATCATGACAAGCAAAGTGCAAAATCAGAAATATTGAAGCCAAACGAATAAAACAAGTTATTCAAAATACAGATTAAGGTGTATAATAATGGAAAATTATTTCAGAACTAAAAGAAAATTGCAAAGTCTCTATTGACACTATTGAGCAAAGACAACTTCCTGTTTTTTCTCTCTAATCTGTCCTCCATCACAAGGCAACGGCTGCTAAAAACAAAAACACAAATATGGAATTTAAACCTTTCACATTAGTAGATTAGCTTCTCACTATGCCGAATGCTCTAATATATTCTGCAACAACGGCCTCCGGAGGCATGCAAGCTATGACGACATATAGGGATGACTTTACACTGTATCCTGCAGGCTACAGCGGGGCCGAATTACGATTTCTGAGGTAAGTGGCCACTTTGTTTTTTTTTTTGTTACAGCGCTATTTTGAGAATTTCTAAATGAAAGACCTTAAACTCAATAGAGAGGTACTTCTATGTTTAAAAAATGTTAGCCGTGCTGATTATTGTAGCTCTGAAAGTAGAATTCTCACAGAAGTATTTCATCTCAATGTCAATCGCAGCTGAGTCGCATGATTAAATTATCACAGTCCCTTTCACTCAAAGGCCAAACGTTAGCAGGTGTTCAGGAAGTTTGTTTTTCTCTTAACTTAGATTATTTGAAGGCATTTATATCACAAAGGGAGTTGCTTGAAACAGCTTCCACACTTTTAAAGCCTGGAAACTGCATCACAAATCTACATAATGTCAACCCAGTTTACTATCTGACACACCTGAAACACACAGCACACAGATGAATACATTCACTCACAGCACCAACCGTCCGCTGAATAATCTATCAGGCAATGTGCACACGCCAATCACCAACCAGTCAGACATCCAGGGCATCTGTTGCTCCAGCCATTCAACCAGCACTTCCGTCCCCGCACTTAAAGATACTTCCACTCCACCAGGCTGATGCAGGCCCTGCGGATGGGGTTGTTGAGGGTGAGGCAGAACAGAGCTCTGGGCGGCCTGCTGTTGGTAGATCCTCCTTGCTTCTTGCTTTTTGCGTATTGCTGCCTCTTCCTCAGTGCCAGGGACCCGGCCGGCGCTGGCCCGGCGGTGCACACGGAGGGCCGCGAGCTCATGTCGGGCTTTTCAACATCGTCCTGCGCTTGGCGTGCAGCAGAGATGGCGGCGTGCCAGGAGAGGACCGGGCTGGTGCCGGGGGCAGCGCCATCCGGGCCCGGAACGCCGCTGTTGGCCCCGAGGAGGCCGTAAGCGGAGCCGACGGGCTTTCCGGTGCTGGCCGGGGCCTGCAGGGGTTCTGCTGAGTGGAGCTGGTGCAGATGAGACTGGCTTTCTGACCAGAGCGCTTGGCTGTCAGAGGTGGGGATGGTCCTTCTGTTGCTGGCATACTGTGCCCCTGAAGAGAGGTTGGGAGCAAACACATGCACATTTAGATTTTTAGTGTATAAACTGACCTTTGTTTTTTCTTTTTTAATCACATTATCTTGTTTTTAATATCTCAGATTCTCTCCAAATATCTGCATCGGAGATTTCTGAAGAAAAAAAAAAGGGGTCAATGTCAGATGTAACACAGCATCTGTAAAACTAGCTATGCAGATTGCATAGTGTGTAAGTCCAATAATTTGTGATACTGAATTAATATTTGGAATAGCCTTGAAAAGGGCAAAGTTCTCGAAGTAAAAAGGCTGCAGGAGAAGAACAGCAGGAAAAGAAAAAGCTTTTTTGATATGCAAAGTTACAGCAAAGACACATCGGCAAAAACTTGCGATAAACGTGTTTGTCTTAAGAGGAAGTTCTTTGGAAATTCTGCACCGATTTCTTTGTCGGTTATCTGAGAGCATTAAGAGATCAATACTAATATCATAAGCTAACATCATATTTGATTCGCACAACTTCACTTCAACTCCTCATCATCTTTTAACACGTTGGTATTGGTAATGCACCAACACACAAAAGTAACAACAGAGATTATGATTTTCACAGCAAACAGAAACAAAACAAACACTGTTGCCTCTGAATTTTCACGATTCTGGGAGCTCACTTTGTTCGGCTTATGGGATTAGTTCCTGTTTCCAGGGAAGTGCCAGAATTTCATTTGGGCTTAAAAAAGAAAAAATTTGGGAGAAAAAAAGGAACCAAAAGACATTAACTATAATTTGAAGTTCACCCTAAAATCCTGTAACCATCACCAAGAATGACTGCACACATACAAAGGTGTACAACAAACCAACCGGAAACAAGTTGACAGTAAAATCAGAGGAGCAGAGATGGCTCAAAAAGGCTGTTGGAGAGACGAGGAGAGCAGGGCAGCCTGATGGAGGCGGTCATTAAAATCAATGAAAACCACGAGTGAAAAAGACAGTGCCCTTGACACAGTCACTGTGGTACACTGCAGCTCCACAATGCAATCACACCATGGCCCGCTGAAAGAAAACCGCTCAGAGACTGAAATGGACTGGTACTAGGAGAGATGTGGAGAAACAGAGTGAAAACTGGACGAAGCTCTTTAAGGACAAAGGGCCAGTTGGGGGGGGGAGGGGGGAGTGTTTAAAAAATCAATGCTAGTGAAATCATGTTTAAGATAAACTGCACAGGACTGTCCGCAGTTCACAGATAAAGTTTTGGAGCTAAAGCATCAAATCATATGGTCAGAGAAACTGTCAGCATTGTCATCCTTACTTCACCTTCCTTGATAGTCGAGATAATAGGGGGAGCACGATCCTCAACAAGTGCAGACTGTTGGTTACTGGTGCTTACGGCTTGTAGCTCTTGAGATGCAGCCTAACAGGAATTATCCAGTGCTCCTGATGGGCACTGCACATCTGTCACACAAAACCAGGGTTGACTCACCGTATTAATCTAGACTTTGATTTTAAAGCAACGCAGAGTTTGCTGGGGCCACTCTTGCACCATCCAAAGTCATTGTGGCAAAAAGTTGTGGTTTCTCTCAGCACACAAGCTGTCAAATGATTCTCAAATGAACGACTTTGCTATGAGAAAACATTCAACCATTTTTTACTAAGACCTGGTCTTAACTCGTTTCCCCTGTGGATTTGAAAGCTGAACTGTTTCCAACACAACGCAGAACTGACGTCCTTAGTGTTAATGCACAGAAATAAGTTGGATGAATGCATCGACATCAAACACAACTCAGGGAACGAAATCACAAAGAAGAAGCAGACATCCAGAGAATAAACCAACACCAGCGCTCTCGCCCCCACAGCGCTCCAACTCTCCTCCAGCGCTCCACGCACGGCTTTTTTTTTTTTTTTACCTTCAGACTGTTCATCTGCTTCTTGCATCCTCGAATCCACATCGAAAAGATCCGTTTTAAATCCAACTCATCTTCGGACAAAAACACCCGAGGATGTCGACGGCGCGAACCTGAGAGGGAGCCGCTAACCTGAATTATAAGAGCTTTTCCCAGCGCAGACCCCGAGAGGAGCGCTGAACATTTTTCCGCCACATCCGGGTGCCTGGCTGCAGATTCACGGCGGATCGGAGAGGACGCGCAGGCAGCTGCGCTCAAACCGCTGCTGCCACTTCTGCTCAGTGCGCCCGAGAGAGGACTGCTCCCAAACCGGAGCAGCCACAACCACACTTTACTGACAGCGCACTAAGTGTAAATGCACCTGTTGCTTTGGAGAAAAAAAGGGAACGTCCTTACAGAGGCCAAACCGATAATATCAGAACTCTTCATGGCTGCCAGATGTTTCAATTGTGACGCTCGTAAAGCCATTCAAGATGCGCATGAAGTTGCGGTTTTGTGCATTTCTGGACAAAAACTCACATGAAGTCCCTAACTATTCAAATACCAACATGCTGCATAACTATTGACATAGTTTGTGTACGTGATGTAAATACATAAACATTTATATTTAGGTATTTTGTCACATTTAGATCAGACTTCAGGGTCACATGATAGTCAGGCAATTCACAAAGCTCAGGAAAATAGCGAGATATCACAACTTTTACGTTATCCAGCAGGTTAATATTTCTCCCCACTCTGTCAGATTAACATTTCATCATGTAGACCAGGATAAAGCCACGATGTGCCCCGGGCCTTTAGACTTACCCCTCAGGGGTCTTCCCCTTATAATGAACGGCATTCTGTCACCTGGCTCTTCTCTGGGGCCTCATGGCAGCGTTTTCCGTGCTAACTCGACGACGATTCGAGAGGAAATGACTTGTTTAGAGCTCTGCTGGAAGGTTACCAGTGATTGGATTACCTGTGACTGTACGGAGGATAAAAGTGTTTCACCGTGGCGCGTAATCCTGCGATTATAATCCCTGCACCAATCTTCAGGCAGGTGAGGTGCAGACAGCTGCAACCTAACTGGGTCAAATAATTAACGATAGAATTGAAAGTATTCCGTTCAATTTGTTAAAGTAAATAAACAGAGGCATCCCGGGACACATTCACTGTTATTCTCAATTTTGACCCCACTTTTGGTTACCGTACAACAAAAAGGTGATGTCGTAGATTTTTTTTTTTAAATAACTGCAGTGTCACCCTGGTGTACTGACGCTAGAAAATGTTGACCATTATATAGCCCAATAAAATTACATTTTTTTTTTTTTTAATGTTTCTGTCTCGTAACTGCTCAGAATTATGTATTTAGCATTATAACCTGATTGAGGATATTGAAATATATAGGGAAATTATAGGCTTATGCATTAAATAGTTTAGCTGTGTAAAATTAAATTTAAGATCATTTGATTTGAAGGGGGACATATAGACGATTTTATTTTTTGGCATATTCTCCATTTCACAAGTTACATGAATTATTCTATTCACTTTTTTATATGGCCTATTCATAACGATGTGTTAAAACACTTCTTTACATAGGTTAAATTTGATATTTCGTAACTTTTTTTCAAACAGCATGCCATAAAATACTGTTATCAGATCTATTAGAGTCGCTAGAATTGCCTAAATGCATACATTCACTTTTTATTGCAGCATTTGTCCCGACTGTCTATTGCCGTGGTTATCGGTGCAAAACACCGAAAATGTATTTTTTGCTTGATACCAGCGGAACGACTTAGTCGCAGGGGAATTTCTTAAATGTGAGACAGCGGAAGTTGTGGGTGTCTGCTAATATCCGTCCGTGCGGAAGCAACAAACACAGCCAAGATGGAGTTGATAAACGCTGGACATATGATGAGTTTAGCAGCTCTGCAAAGACAAGACCCGTACATAAACAGACTGCTTGATGTAACCGGCCAGGTGGCACTCTACAACTTTAACTCCAAAGCGAATGAATGGGTACGTTTGTATAAGACTTGAGACAGTTAAGTTGAAATCCTGCAAAGCTATCTTCTAACAACCTAGCTGAATTTAGCAGCATAGATTTCCTACAAAACAATAACGCCTACACAAACAACCAGCATTTGGACAATTTATCTCTACAATAAGTATAAAAGGGTTTATATTTATAAGCAGCTCGGTTCTCTTGTTTAGGTTCGTTTTGTGTTCACAGCGTTAGCTTTTCTCAGCCAGCAGTATTTGGCTAGCAGGGCTAACTGTCGTCGTCTTCATCGGGTCAGCACGTTTCGATTAGCAGTGCTTGTTTGTGTCTTATAATATTTTCTCTTATTTCAGGAGAAAACCGACATCGAAGGCACCCTGTTTGTTTATGCAAGGTAAGCACAAAGTTCTTTTTGTGAGTGTTTTTTTTAATCATTATATCGAGCTCCGTGGTGGTTGTTTACTTGCTCGGTACGGTGTCATTTGACGTATTCCGCGCACGTGCGTAGGCCGCGGTCCTTGTAAACAAACAGTAAGTAGGCCCCATGTGGCTCTCACCTAGAACCGAAAGAAGACTATATGCTGTTTGAATATGTTAAAATGTTGGTTACGAAGGATGTAAGCATCTCAGTATGGTCATCTACAAAAATGACACATCTTTTCCTTTTAAACTTAAGACATCTATCTTTAAATCAAACTATAAGTGCTTTACTTCTTCTTAATTAAATCCTGTACCGTATCAGACAATAAGCCATGGATAAGTTATATTTCATTGCCAATTACTCCTGTTTCCTACATAACTTAAATATTTGACATTTCTAGTGTTGCAACTACATTTCGTTGTGAAATTCCCTGTGTGGTTTTCTAAAATGACAATAAAGGAAGTCTAAATCCAAGTATTGATTTGATTGGATAATTTCTCAGCATATACATTTTTAAAATAAGCCCAAATACTTGGCAGGTATTTACTTATCTATGTGCACTAAGGCATGTAAAGTTTGTCAGAGGAAGTGAAGCTTGTACTCTGTTGTTTTGAAGGTCTGCCTCCCCTCACCATGGCTTCACCATCATGAATCGACTGAGTACAAAGAACCTTGTGGAGCCGATCAATAAAGACCTGGAGTTCCAGCTACAAGATCCTTTCCTCCTCTACAGGAATGGAAATTGTGAGTGTTATATAAAAATAAAAAAAAATGTAAGAAAATATAAAGAAATTCTAAGGTAAAAAGCATTGTGTAAAAGAGAGATGGTCAGAATGGTCACTTTGAACTTAACTCAAATGGATTTGATTTAATTTTATATCATATCTGGTCTCTAAAATTAGCAGTGTTTGTGGAAATTCAAAAGAACAGTAGTGTGACTAATATAGGGATTTTCGGAAGCATCCGAGAAGTTTTAAGGTTCAGATATTGGTTGTGATTGATGTCTGCAGGAATATCAAGAGCTCTTTTTTGTCACATTTCTTTCTAAATATAAATGCCAAAAAACATTGCTTTCTGTTAACCATCCATATATTTGAAGCACCAGGCATGCATTAGTGTATCTTTTAAAGTTAAAATGGCACAACTCACACACTGTAAATACTTGTTAAAATTAACTTTGCTGTAAAAGGTGAACTGATATTAACTTGAATAATGTGAAGATGTAAATGTTGATTATATAGTACGCCGAATTTTGCTTTTTTTCCAGTTTTGAGTTGGTTTTCACAAATAAAATGAGCCAAGCAGGTGCACTACAAGCTCCCAAATGTTGGCAACTGTAAACATTAATTATGTTCAACACACACACACTCACACACAACTGATTGGAATTGTACCTCTATATATCTTAGACAAACACCTCCCCAGTGTTCGGTGGAACATCTCTTCTCCTTTTTGCTTGAAGTCATGGTGGTGTCTCGGAGCATTAAGCAGGAACACTTTGTCGTTCATGGCCTATGATGGCCCGACCAGATGGTAGCTTCAGCTCGGCCTGCTCACATTTCTTTTTCTGCATTTGAGCGCAAACTAAAAGACTTGTGGGTCTGAGTTATTAATCAGACTGCTACTTGATCTGAAATTACCTTAGAAGTTTAGATTTTCGACAGTGGCTGAATCCAGTGATGTCCCTAGCCTACAGAGGAAAGGGAAGCGTGATTACAATTCCTCAGATCTTCAGAAAGTAACTGACAGCACTGCCACCAAGATAATCAATTAGAAGTCTGAACAGGAGTTTCAGCAAGGCAACGAACAAGGAGTTTGATTGCTTTCCCATTTGTTTGCTTATGAGAAAAAACAGCATGGCGAGGGTTAGCGTCAGAGTAGATTGCTCCCCCTTTGGACTCTGCTTGCCCATCAGCCTGGCTGGAATGGAGGACATGATGATAATTATCGTTGGTATTCCTGTAGTAGTAGCTTCTCTGATGGCTTCAGTTAAGACCGAGTGCTTTTGGTCTCATTTTAATTCCTTAGGAAGAGCACCGATTATCAGTTTTCCTCAGCCCGTGTCCTCTGACAGTTGATTCTTCTCTGGAAGATGGTTCAGAGTAAATTGTTCCGCCCTTGGTTTTTACTCCATTTGTTTGATAGTGAATTAGCCCAGATGTCCACCATGTTTCAAAAAGTAATTTTGTTTGAAAGTTTCAGACTCCTTCGTCTCAGAAGTTTGATATTAAAAAGCAGCAAGTCAAACGCAGAGAGGCTCCACTCCTCATGGAACAAGTCGATCAGTAGTTCTGAGGATTTGAGTTTTGCTCCAGTCTTGTTTAAAATACAGATCAGCTCACAGCTTGAGGCTGACAAGTGTACTGAGATGTACCGAGTCTTGGAGAGGCACACGCATGCAGCTGTTTACACCGCCTCATATTCCCCGTGGTAGCAGCAGGTGCTACAGGGAGGCAAACGCAGAGGTTGCTAGGTTACCACAGCCTCCATGGGAGCTTCAATACACCAATACGTCACCACACACACACATCAGACAAGCAGCGTAATATAAACCAATGATACTGATTATAGAGTGTTTCATTCCATCTTATCGTGCATCAGGTAATCTCAGATTGGTGATTGTAAATGTTACATTCTTTATAGATGTTGTTCAGAGATGCTTCCTTTATGTGTCAAGTGTTTCTCGTGTTTGATGCAACACTTCATGTTCCATCAAACAAAACAGTCTTCGGTTATCCAACCAGTCAGAACAAATTTAAAAATAGAGCATTTTATGTTTGTTTTTTTTCCACAGTGGGCATCTACAGTATTTGGTTCTATGACAAGAGGGATTGTCAACGCATCGCTCAGCTGATGGTCAAGTAAGTAGGCTGGCATATGACTGCAGGCTATTATTTATTATTGAAACATTTTCCATCCATTCTAAAGCATTAGCTTTACGAGAAGCTTCACTTTTATGTAGGATACTTTAAAGGTTTGAAACAACCCTAAGCTTTGGGAATTTCCTCCAGGATTGTGAAACAAGAAGCAGACCAGGGAAGGACGCCAGAGAGGCCAGAGCCAGGGAGAATCAATGGGGTTGCAGAACCTCGACCCATTGACATCCTGGAGCTGCTCAGCAAAGCCAAGGAAGAATACCAGAGAGTGAGAGGACATGACATGCCAACTTTGATTCTTTTAAGGAGCCATTATTTATTCACTGGTTAATTGGTCTTTGGATGGGTTTGTTTTTTTTTGTTGTTTTTTTTGGTATTATATCTGAACAGCTTCCATCCCAATGAAATCTATTCCTCCTCAACACTGCCTGAAACATGTTTGTCAAACACATGTAACAGATTTCTGTGATACAAAACTGGAATGATGTTAGGTGGTGCAGTGCATGTTTAAGTCTGAATCTATATGTCATCAAACTCCTCAACCCCTACTTTTAGCCTGTATTTGGTCCCTTTTGATGTAACGTTATGTGTGTGTGTGTGTTGTGAAGGCCCAGGCAGGGGAAACTGATGTGTTTGCAGAGCTGAATGCGAAGGCCGCCATCGGCTCAGTTATAGAGCACACACACGGTGCATCACAGCCAGAAAAGGTACGAGGATGACCCCAACGTGCACAATACAGTTTGAGATGTTTTGGTTGTGAATTGATCTTGATTGCTCAGACTGTGAGGGCAGACAATGAAAAGGGTTTTCATCAGGTTGCAAACAGAGCAGACCTGCAGATTCTTATCTGCAGGTGCTCAAAAAGGTTAAAAGCTAAACAGTTTTTAACAACAGATCTATTAAAAACTTGGGAGAAAATATCACAAGCTGCATTTGTTTGTGGAGAAAACCACCGGCAAAAATTTATTTTATCGGAAACCAACTGAGTTATGACTTTTTTCCCTCCAGGCCTCGCATACTATGGTGAAGCAGATCACAGTAGAGGAGCTCTTTGGCACATCTGTACCTAAAGAACCTGTCCTAACAAACAAGCCTGCTCATAACAATGCCGCCTCAACTGACCTCTCCACCACGTACATCCAGAATCAACCCTATCCCGCTCCAGCCCACCAGAGTCCTCTCCTCGCTCCCCACCTTCCAGGCCAAGATCCTGGGTCCAGCCAGCGGCAACCAGCCCCCGCTCTCATCCCAGCTCCTTACATCCTCAATCCCAGCCCGGTTTTCCAGTCAGTGGTGCCCAGGCCAGATCCCCAGTCTCACTGCTCTGTGTCCCCTCTGTTGGTGTCAGACCACCACTCTGCCCCCCTCTGTCCCACACCCCCTCCAGCAGCCTCTGCCAGCTATTTGGGTAATGAGATACTCGCCACCCTTAAACCATCGGTGCCATCTGTGAATTCAGACATCCACAAACCCATCCTGGCACCAAACTTCCTGCCAAGCCCGCTGGTTCCACCCCATAGCTTCCAGGAGCACAAGATGGATGTTTTCTCCCAGCCTCCAAACCTGATCAAGCCGATGTCTGTGAGTTCAGTTTTGTTTTCTGATGTCAGCCTCATGAGTGTGTCGTCTCTGATGCCCCCAGTAACACAACCTGTTAGTTTGGGATTCAGTATGTTGTCTCTCCGTCTCTGTGTCTGCTCTCAGGCGGTCCCCATGAGTCCAGGACTGGCTGTTCCAAGGACAGACACCTCTGTGCTTCTCTCCCCCAGCGCCTTCCAGCAGACTGTCAATAAAGCCACAGCAGTCACGGCACCGGCGGCCCCCCCTGCTCCGGCTGAGCCACCTTCAGCCCCCGGAGGACCTGTGGAGCCTCTGCCAGTCCTCTGCAGCAAAACACAGTTACAGGAGACGTTGATACACCTCATTAAGGTAAAAATAGGAGCTCTCCTGTGAGGTGGAAGCCGTTTACTCGTACCAAAGCTCCAAAGTAAATTTTAAAATATTTTTTAGTCAGATCTTCCCCTCCTTTTTTCTCCATCTTCTTTCCTGTAACTAATGGCCAAACTCGTACAGGTTGTACCGGGTTACTGGAGAGATTTAATGGCAGAAATATTAAATCCACATTTATATTTATTTATCCCAGATGGTGTTGGTTCAGGCCAGAGGTCTTAATCTGCAGTCCTTTAAGGCCCCTGTCCTGCAGGTTGTAGGACTCCCTGCTTCAAGACACCCGATTCAAGTCAATGTCAATACAACATTAGCTCTCTGTGCAGAACTTAAGAATCTTTTGAAGAGATATGTTAAATTTGGTTTCCAGAGCAAAGCTTACGCTGAAATGTGTTTTTATACATAAGCTCGGTCCTCACTCTTTCAGTTTTATTCATCTTGTTCATTCCCTCCTTCTCCAGAACGACGCAGACTTCCTCAGTGCCATTCACGACGCTTACCTGCAGAGTCTATCCAAGGACCTCAGCAGCATGAAGCTATAGCTTGACCACAGCCACTGATGCCGCATTTCCTGTTTGCACACGGAAGAGAATATAAAAAAACAGCCAACAGGTTTTTGACACACTGAGCACCACAACTCTTCAGCATTGGTTTGTGTGCAAAGGATTATTACAGCATGCACCTCACCTTTTTACCCCAATGCTGTTCCGGCCAAGCTTATTGCCCTGGATTGACTTTTTTTTCAGTTATATCAAAGGAGAGCTACTGATGGAGAAATATTGAGAACAGATCTCCCAGTACGTCTTTGTTTTACTTCTTAATCTTGATTCATTTGTTCAGACTACTGGCCGCTTACTGGTGAAGTAGGCTGAATTCTCTGGATGGGACCACAGATCCGTTCTGATGGCATCAAACCCCTCTTTGACTTTTTCAGGCAGGTCCTCTGCTGGAGCATTATGGGACTCATAGAGGTTCCTTCTCTGACTCATCACACATCTGTGTGGGCTTCTCACAGTGCAGGGGTGTGAAGAAAAAACACACTTATATTCCAAATGTTTATTGAAGCAAACGTCTGCGTGGGTGCATCTCAGAACTGTTAAAAATAACTGCTTTTTTCCCCATAATTTTTTTTTCCACTTATCAATTAAGAAAAAGACTGTGAAGCCTGTGTGTTTTTGGTCAAAATAATTGGATGCTGAACAGCCGTTTCAGTTTTCGTGGCATTTTGAGTTTGACTGTTTTTTTTGTTTTTTTTCCAGCCTTTTTCACTGAGGAGGATTAATTATTTTCATAGTTATGAATTCAAATTATGGACCAGTCTCTCTTAGCCGTTCAGTTTTTTCTTAGTGCGACAGACTGTGAAACCGTTATAAGGACTCAAATGGACAAATGGACTTTTTTCCTACCTTTCCTTCACCATCTCTCCGGCTTTGTTTCTTTTCTCTCGTTGTCTTTATTTGTGACCTTGTCTCCTCCTCCAGCTGAGCTCAGAGGATTTAATTTTCTTGGAGGGACATGTGCAATAGACGACAGTCGTAAAGCCTTTAGCAAGAGCAGCTTTTTGAGATATTAGAGGATGGTACTACATAAAAATAATGTTTATATGAACCTCAGGGTTCTGTTGTTGATCTGTGATTGAGGAATTGGGGGGAAAATTGTGAGTAGTTTATATTAAACCATTTTAATCTAAAAAATTAAAGAAAAGGTGCAGCTGATGTGCTCTGATAGCATCAGGCTGATTTTACCATCCGCTATCCATCGACATAAATTAAAAGAGAAAGTACAAATGATCTCCATTCCCATTTCTCAGCTTCTGTTCATGTCAAAATTATGAGTCAAATTAGCATTATTTTTACCATGTTTTTTTTGCAGTAAAGAGCTACTGCAGCACACAGGTCTGTTGAAAAATAACGACACCTGATCTGATCCTTTAGAACAATTTTTGTTTCAGCTTGTTTTGGTGTTTTTTTGGGGGGGTCACATTGAATTATAAAGATTTGTCTTATCCTGGCATCATATCGCTGAGCATATTTGAGCACTTACAAGGTCATTAAATCTGCTGAAAAATGTTTTGAAAACAGGATTTTAGGGCACAGCTGGTTCCGTTTTCCAGTCACCTGAACCATCAATATTTTCTCAGTCATTCAATGTGAAACACATATTTTGGTTTCCGTTATTGTACACAATATAAAAGGCAAAGATTTATGTTCCCTTTAATTTTTTTAACAGAAATATCATACAGATAATTGGAAAATTACCAAATTGGTGACATAAATCACTGTGTTGGTTCCTTATCGGGACTTCTGCATCAGGAGTTGTTTGGTTTGCAATTTGAATGTGGCTCAGGTTGATCTCCAGTCTTTTAATTTTCATTTAGGTCCTGCGTTAAAAACAAAAAAAAAAAAACACTTTATAGCCACATACTCTCAGGACCCTCTCGTCTTTTTCTTTATGACAAAGGTTAAACTTGGAATGTAGGCTGTGAAGCCAGGAAGGAGATTAGAGGAGGAAATGAAATTATTGGCATGTGATAAATCTTTGAAAACCAAACATGTGTTGGCTGAATAAAGAATGGAAATTGTTTTAATCACAGTCACATATTTAAGATTTTAATCTCCTTTTTTTTATCTTCTTGGCCAGGTTTGTCATTTTGGGTCAATCTTTGCAAATTATATTAATTTTCTAAATGTGTCACTGTGCATAATTTGGCTTATAAATATTTTGTGATATTAAAGATTTGAAATTAGAATCGAGTTTGCTGCATTTTTTTTTTTTAAGCTCTGCAAATTTATTTCAATAGGGATGTTTTTATAGGCCTGTTTTAGCTAGTTTTAACTGAGTCAAAGTGCAAAAATGAATTGTTTTTCTTCAATTCTGAACATTAACCTTCGTTGTTTTGACCACCAGGTGTCACTATCTGCAGATGTTAAAGTATGTAGTGGTACCAATGCTTGATAGTTGGACAAATGTGTTTTAATCTGAGAAGTTACATGTCGTTATTTAGCAGGTGTTTTTTCCTAAAGTAAATTCAGGTTGTGTGTTTGAAGTGTGGGGAGAGGAGATGTTTTCCAATGAGTATGAAGTATGGTAGGCCTCTGTTCCTACAGCATTTAACAGCTCGATTCACCTCCCTGGACCCACAAACCATGAGGGTTTGTATATACGCTGCACTCTGTGCAGAATACAGCCCGTTTATATATCTGTATCCTGTTTTAAGAGAGTCTGTTAATAAGCAGGTGTTAGTGACTTCAGTTTTTCTTGGGTCTGTCACAGAGATCAGTGAGTACATGAGTCGCAATGTGCTCACCAGATGCACACATGTGTTCCAGACTGTTATGAAGCTGGGGAGACCTGTAGAATACTAAAAAGTAGCCATAAAACAGAATAGTGGCAGACTGACTAAATTAGAACCTCTGTCCCATTTAGTGAATGTTGGTGGAAGATAATTCACCCTGTTAGAATTAACTTTATATGTGTCCAAGTTAAACACTAAACACAATAACATTTGTATTTGTCACTGGTTTTAACAGGTGTTGCATGATGGGTTAAGAGTGCAGAGCACTGGTGTGGCTGTTGTGGACCTCAGCTAAACGCGTCAGCCTCAGTGGGAGATGTCAGTAAATACAGATTACTGTCGCCTGTGATCCTTCTTTTTGCCTGTCAACTCTTCTCCCCCCACCCCCAACCCCCAATCCGCATGGAAATGCTGAAGCCCTACACGCAAGGTACGCTTAACACCTTAAAGAAACAGGCATTTGGTCTTGCATGCCTTTGAATAGTTCCACAATTTTGTCACATTTGCTTTTCACACATTCATGATGAAGTTTTGTTCTGGAGCAGCCAACTCAACACCCTGTAATCTAGAGTTTGACTAACAGTGCATATCCTGTAACACTACATTTCTGATTCAGATCCTTATGCATCTGTAAGGGTTTTTTAATAGATATATTATAGGAAATACCAAAAATGTGAGCTCCATATCCTTCCACATATTCCAGGGTACACAATAACTTATTCATGAGTTCCTGAATAAACATTGGTAGCCTGTGGAACCTCATAAGGTAATACCTGTTTGTTTTACAAGATGTTTAAAGCTGCTCTGCTCTAACCCTGACCAAAATGTGCCAGAATGCCTGAGAGTGTGTGCACGTGGGCTTGGTCTGAGTCTGAGTCTAAACCCTATTGGCTGTCCACATTTGAGACTTTGCGCAAACTGACGGCTCGGCTCAGCCTCAGATTAGCCATATTCATAGGCTTTGGCAGCAAAACCCGCCCCTCCCTGCTCCCTCCTCCCTCCTCCCTGTGCGTGTGTGCCGAGCAGCGCAGCTTCTTTTTAACCCCTGCCATCGTCCGCTGAACACCCTTCGCTTTTTAATCTCTGACCAGCAGACCGGGGACTTTTAACTCTTACCTCTCTCTTTTTAACCGAATTGCGTGTGCGCACTCGTGCTCTTTTCTTCGGTGCATCGGCCAGATGGAGGACTACCACAAACCGGACCAGCAGACGGTGCAGGCGCTCAGGAACATCGCCACCCGACTCCGGGTCAACTCCATCAAGGCGACCACTGCAGCGGGCAGCGGGTAAGATGGGAGAGAGGAGAGGTTTGACCGGGATGGAGATGCATATTACGCTTTGGGACTTTGCAGAGAACAGCTCGTTTCCCATTTCTCATGTTAAAATACATTTTATAAAAGAGTGTCGACACGCGTAAAGAAAGGACTCATTTCCAAATGGGCTCTTCCCATCAGGGAGAATGTAAGAGGAATAACGTTGTAATAATTCAAAGTGTCAAATTCAGATTGATATGATGTGAGTGTTGTGTAACCAGTGCTGTCCCCTGCTTTTGGACAGTCTGTTTAATCTGCGCATAAACGTCACTCTGCTCCAGCATTTGTGCGCAGTACGCGCTTTGGAGCCTAAAGATTAGTAGGATCAGGAGGGGCTCGAGGTCAGTTCATCATGTAAAGTTATTGACCGATCGATTGAACGTAATAACTGATCTGTCTGGACTGCACAAGCCTCCCTTCAAACAGGGTTTTTGTAAACATGTGTTTCTGCGCGTTGAGTCGGAGGGTCGGTCACGATTTGCTGCAGGTGCATCAGCTGCCCTCTCCCCTCACGGACTGTCGTGTTGTGTAACAGAGGGACGCAGATCGGATAGTTGCTTGTGAGCTTGTGAGGCGAAGTGGTGCGTTCGGATGCAGCCAAACGCAACCCGGGAACTCACGAAGCGCGCCTGCGTGTCCGGTAACACCAGCCATTAGGAAACAGAAGCGCGTCCCAAATCCTGAGTGGCCTGAGAAAAGCTTAATAAAACCACTCGAAAAAATATAATGAATGATCACACGTTTCTGGATTTCAGATTAAAAACATTTTTTTCTAACTTTTATTTTAATAAGATGCATTTAGATCATTTGAAATGATCACATTTAACTGAATTCCAGTTAGAAGCTGGGAACATAAATCTACTGAGGGAATATACATGCATGCTGCATAAGGAGGGCCACTATCCATTCCTTTACTCACCCTTCAGAGAGCCTTTGCCTTACTTAGGGTATTTTATCATCTTCTAGGCCTTTTTTGTCATTTGATTACATTTTTCTTTTCAGGACAGTACATGAAGTTCCTTCATGGTGGTCTGAGTCAGGTATTCTTGGCATGTCTTGGAAATTCAAACCGGAATAACATGAAAAGATCTTTGAAAAAAATTACCTCAACCCTTTTTATTTAGTGCTGAACTTGTTGGTTTTAACAGTTTGGGAACACCTCACTGAAGGAGGACTTTAGAATGTGTGCATCCATGCATGAAGGACTGAAAGAGACATGCATCCTCAAATGCATTTGCACTTCTTGTTATGTGTCTTACAGAGTGAAATTTGTGCTAACTGACCCTGATTTCTGTATTTGTTTAACCCCTTTGGACCAAACTGTCACCAGTAATTGTTGTTTTTCTTTAAGTCTCTACTTCTCTTTGACCATACTCACTTCTGCGTTCCCGTTCATTTCTGTACACTTACAGCATTTACTGAACACGTCAGTAGATTTGATCTCTGACGGCCGTGGAGAGTCATCGGCTTTTCATTAGCACAGTCTGACTATCCGTTTTGTGTCATTTTCTTGCAGTCATCCTACATCATGTTGCAGCGTGGCAGAGATCATGTCGGTGCTCTTTTTCCATTCCATGAAGTACCGACCTGAGGATCCACGGAACCCCAACAATGACCGATTCATTCTGTCCAAGGTAACACTCGCATATGTCCTCATTTGGGGTTAAAGGTTGTTCCACTGGCACAACAGAGATGGCACAAGAAGGAGAAAGGAGAGGATTTTTAGAAATGTGCATGCTGTTTTAACACATGCGGCACACAGTAACACAAGCTTGTTTCTGTTGTAACCTGCAACTTGTTTGTCCTCAGGGTCATGCTGCTCCTGTGCTTTACGCTGTCTGGGCAGAGACTGGCTACCTGAAGGAGAATGAGCTTCTCAACCTCCGGAAGGTTGACTCCATCCTGGAAGGCCACCCTGTGCCGGTGAGGTTTTGCTCAGACCTGCAGACCCTGTGGGCCTGAAAGCAAATATATACCATTAAACCTAAGTGGATCAGTTACACAAGCTTTTGAGCAGTTGTAAGGTTTTTTCTGTATTTTGTTTTTGGCTTTTCTATTCATACTTTGATGGAAAGGGTTTAATTGTTTTACATTTATGGAGATAATACAACTGAATGACATTTTCAGCATCTAATGGTCAGCAGATGAACATCTATCACCAACTTAAACAACACTGAGAAATTCCTCTTGGCTGAGTGCATCATTGAAGCTGCTTCTGTCCCATTTGGCTGTCCTGCAGCTTCACAGGGCTTAGAGCTTGTTTGAGTCCTGCAACATCACCCAACATGTGTTTGTCTCTAGAGCTTACATTCACACAATTAAACTGATCCAACTCCAATAGACTGACTATACAGTTTGATTTATTTTAGCTGAAACTTTGTAAACTGTGCTTTTATAACATCACACATGATCTAAATCTTACATTCTTTAAATCCCATAAGAAATGAGCACTTCCACGGATTACAGACTAACTGTGTGGAGGCTGAGACATGATGACAAACATGTAGCGGCATGACAAACGTCGCCTGTCTTCTGCTGCAGACATTAGCAGCACTGTTCCCATGAAGGCAGATACTCACGCATGGCAAGACTCAGACTGCAGCTTTACTCCAAATTGTATCACCGTTGTTCGTTTATGAAATTGCAAACAATCCATCCACTGTATGTCCTGCAGGCCGTGAGCCCTCACACAGTCTGGAGATTAAGATGCATGTTTTGTGTGCTTGTCTGTGTATCTGTGCACGCTAACAGAAGCAGCAGTTTGTGGATGTGGCCACTGGATCTCTGGGTCAGGGGCTGGGAGCCGCCTGCGGAATGGCCTACACTGGAAAATACTTTGACAAGGCCAGGTAACATACAGAAAAGCCCACTCAGACACACACTGAGAAATGGAAGGGGAAAACTAACCCTATGCAGAGACCTCACAACAAGCAAAGATATTCAGGAGCGCCGCGGGCCATCTTGCATTTGCTCAAATTAAGGCAGAGTGCATGGAATTATGTATGACATGGAGAACTATGGAGATATGACATTTAAGCTAGGAGCTCTGGATCAAACCATCCATGACAGGTTTGATCTGCAGCGACATTTTGGTGGCCGCTGAGGGCTACGAGAGCAGTGCATCAATCTGCTTCTCCCTTTTTGATCACAAATGACAGTAACGTTTGTAATCTGAGCTTAAACGACGGAGAGCAAGTGGTGAAATACATCACTGGTAGGGATTAAATGTTCTTCCCACAGCAGGGGGATGGTCAGGCAGGAGTAAACCCGTTTATGCAGTGTGACATTAAAACGCACTCTGGTGATGTCATTTTTCTGCTTGTAGTCCGTTCGTTATCATTTATATTTATGTGTAGTTTCATCACAATGTTCTAACAAGCCTATGCAGAACATTTTTTCAGCTGCATTGTGGCTGTTTGGAATCGCCCCACGTGCGTCTCCTTTGTTCTGGGACCATTTAGAAAGAACCACGTGCATTTTGATCTGACAATAGACTGATTCGGCTTTGTGGTCGCAGTAGAACACAACACATTCCACTCACACTGTCATAGTGAGAGGATATATTTGAGCTGAAATCTGATTTGCAGGTGCAACGCTTGATGCGACTGACCGCGGACAGAGCTGAAAGAGGCTGTCGCAAAGGCAGTTTAGTTTATTGCCCATAAAGACGCTTAAACAGCGGCTGAGGGAGTTCTGCACTTGGGGTTTGAGCCGGCTGTCCTTGAAATCGCTCTGTCTCTGCATTCTGTGTGCACTCGATTGTTTCTGCTCTAATAATCACACATGCAAAGCACAGTTGTTTCAACGTCTCTCTGCCTCCCCTATTTTCCTCGTTGTTTCTAAAAAAAAAAACATTAACTAAAAAAAAGATGAAATCCTATGTACTTCTTTAGTTACCTTTATGATTGCACACTCAATTACATATTAGGCAGAAGAGACTGTGCATCTGCTCACATGTTTATCATTCACAGTTTAGAGTGGCAAATCAAGCCATTTGATAGCAACTCTCCATACGGCAGAGGTCTGCAAAACTGGTTTCATAACCCAGTCAGAGGCCAAAACCGCTGAATAGCAGCTATAATAACCCCAATTTGGAGCACACACCTCATACTACAACTCACAAGAGAATGAGAGAGATCCTGCCGCAATGACATGATGCTTTGTTAAAGTATCATGCACGGATGAAATCTTCCAATACTCTTGCGGGCAATACTGAGACAGTCTAACCGGTTGTTAATGCTTCAGAGGCTTCAGCGCTCTGCAGCTGTAAACGTGAGACTATCCCATCCAAACGCATACAGAGCTCCTTTCCCATCCTTCTCACATCATTAATAAGTACCAGGAGTGTTTTGTTTTTCTGTTTTTGTGTCTCGTCGATGTGACTGCTGGGTGCAATGGTTCAGGGGTGACACAAGTGTGTGCCAGTTGGCCGGGTTTGTGCAGTTTGAAAGGAGAGATATCACAATGAGATATTCTCATTTGGCAGAGATACGCAAACCTTGTGAGGGGTTACTTTTCTTATGTCACCGGAGCTTTCGTAGGTTTACACGAAGCCTCTCTGACTACATTATAGTGTACGTTGCATGTGATTATAATCAGCGGGTTTACCACACATTTATTTTAGCGATTAAATACTTTTATGAGACTGGATTAATCACAGAATGAAGATCTGCCTATTAAACCAAAATAGAAAAAATGTCATAAAACAACTAGTGATTTGTTGTTGTTTTTTAACATTTATTTTAATAGAGTACATTATAAACTTATAAGCATGGCAACCTGAGACAGTAAAACCACATTTCAGAAACTGGCATTAGCCCAGGCAGCAGTTTGTTTCGTTTTTGCTCAGGATTCAAACTGACCCACTACCTCTATTCCACCTCCTCTCTCCTTTTCCGTATCTGTTGAATTCTTCCAAACGCTTCATTCTCTCGTTGCTTTCTTGCCTGCGTTTTTTCTTCATGCTCGTGGTTGGAATGCGTGGTTTAATGTGCCGTGTCTCAGCCGATCTGCCAGTTCTAATGAGAACGTGTCTATCTGACTGGAAAGCTGTCAAGAGTCATTACGCCGCTGGAGCAACTACTGAGGATGATCAGAGGGTGGCGGGGGGGAGGTGTTGAGATGGGGGCTTTTTTGAATGCCCGTTGGTATGTTTAGGTGTGAAGGTCAGACACCAGAGGTTAGGAGGATTTGTTGAGTGAAAACTGATCAGATTTTGCACCTGACCTCATGTTAATCTCAGTAAGCTCCAGATTTTTAAATAGCCCCTCTTTCTTCATCCGTAGCTACCGGGTATTCTGCCTACTGGGCGATGGGGAGCTGTCCGAGGGATCGGTGTGGGAGGCCATGGCTTTTGCCTCCTACTACCAGCTGGACAACCTCGTGGCCATCTTAGACATCAACCGGTTGGGTCAGAGCGACCCAGCTCCACTGCAGCATCATGTGGAGAAGTACCAGCGACGCTGTGAGGCTTTTGGGTGAGCAGGGGAGTTAGTGGGTGAAGTGTTTGTGCTGACATTTTTAAAAATACATTTTTGTTCATAGCAACCATATGTTCTTTTTTTAGATGCATTGTTGTTTTAGCAATTGATTTCAGACTTGATTTACACCTAAAAAATGCAATGATTTACTCTTTCCTTGTACTAATATGGAAGGATTTCTTGACCTTTTTTGCCCATTCTATTCTTCTATTTTATTTATTTTTGTTAATAATCTGCTTTTCCCCCCAGTTGGCACTCCATCATTGTGGATGGTCACAGTGTGGAGGAACTTTGTAAGGTCCTGAGTCAACCCCGACACCAACCACTTGCCATCATTGCAAAGACCATAAAGGGCAAGGGCATCCCAGGTAAAAAAAAAATTCAATAAATGAAACACAACTGCCGTCAACACAAAAATAACTATTTTGACAATATTGCCATCTGTCAAATGGTCACAATCTCAGTATTTCACCATTTTATTAAAAAATCTGTTTAAAAGAGGAATGAGTGAAAACTGACTAGGTGTAAAAACTCTTCAGCTCGTTTTTTTAAGCCACTTCAAGGACCCAACGTCAGTACGTGGGGGCCTCTAACTCTATAATCCAGGCAGCGCTTCAGAGCTTGAGCTGCCGCAGCTCAGTAATCCATCAGAATGTGTAGGATGCATTCCCAGCAGCCCATTGTGCGCGTGTTGTGTTAGACGTAAGGCTAAGTGTGTGTGACCACGCGATGGTGTGTGTGAGAGGGTTAAAGACGCATGAAGACAGTAGTTGTAAGAGCTTAGTAGTGTAAACACATTGTGTGCTTGTTAACACAGGATGGGTTAGAAGTTAGGAATGTAGTTAGAAAGCCTGCTGCTCCTTGATTTTCACCTCTGACCTTTGAAACGGTCTGATGTGGCCCACTGAAGTGGAAGACAGTAAGACAGGCTATTCTGCACAAACTCTTGCAGACATGTATTGGCGATAATTGTACGATGGATAAAATGGATAGATTATATTTTTATTCTGATGTGAAAAGTAGGAATCCATCACAGCCATGATACCTGCAGACAGTTTGTAAGAACAAAAATGTTACAGTTCAGTGCAGCCATTCCCAATTCTTGTATGTCTCGCAGCGGCTGAAGATAAGATGGGCTGGCACGGCAAGCCTCTGCCCAAAGACATGGCTGAAAGTGTGATTAAAGAGCTGCAGAGCCGCCTCGTCAGCTGCAACAAACGTCTCTATCCTGCTCCACCCAACGAGGACTCCTCCCCCGTGAGCCTGCGCAACATCCGCATGCCAAGTGCCCCCAGCTACAAACCTGGAGACAAGGTAAGACCTGGCGGACGCCAGCTGCGTGGGTCATCTTCCTAACTGGTTTGTGCCTCCGGAACCAGATTGCCACGAGGAAGGCGTACGGGATGGCTCTGGCCAAGCTGGGCCGTTACAACGAGCACGTGGTTGTTCTGGACGGCGACACCAAGAACTCCACCTTCGCTGAACTTTTTAAAAACGAGCACCCCAACCGCTACGTGGAGTGCTACATCGCAGAGCAGAACATGGTGAGAATGAACTACACCGCACTGGGATGACGTATATGAGAGCGTGTAAAGCATTTAGCTGGGTTAGGGCCACTTGTAGCCATAACTTTGAGCAGTTCTTTACCCTCACACCTCCTTTCTTTCTTTTCTTCTAGGTGAGCGTGGCGATCGGTTGTGCTGTCCGAGACCGTAATGTGGTGTTTGCCAGCACCTTCGCCACATTTTTTACCCGAGCCTATGACCAGCTCCGCATGGCCGCCATCTCTGAGAGCAACATCAACCTCTGTGGCTCCCACTGTGGGGTCTCTATTGGTCAGTTGGCATCTTCTTTAATGTGTCTGCCTGTGACTTTGCATGTTCTTTAATTACACTAAATTTCTCTTCCCTCTACATGTTATTAAATCTTGCTTATGAGTATATTGCAACATCACAGTATTATACATTATATTACTCATAACACAACTAAGGAAAAATATGTTGGTTCAAATTAAGGAGCTTTAAAAATGTTCTAGCACTTTCCCACAAATAGCTTTTAGCTCAGTCATTGTTTATAATGGTTTTACTTGCTATAGTAAGTTTTAAAGCTGGTTTATACCAAGCATGTCTCATTTAATTTTGACCCATAAATGGAGATTCTTGCATGTCCGTCCTCCCACAGAACATTTCCTAAAATTCAGTTTGTCAGTATTCTGTAATTGTTTCAGCTGAATGAGTAGAACCACAGTAATTCTTCCCCTGAATGCTAAACTTATTTATCATCTTCTCAACCTCTGTGTTGCCGTGTTGTCCATACTCCTCTTCCGGTATCAGCACTTCTCCTGTCCTCCCTCCCCCTCTCTGTCTCTGTGTCATGGAGGTAATGACAGAGCGGCCCGATTCTCTTTCACCTCCTCTTCCTCCTTCCCTTTCACCTTCTCCTCTGCCTCATCAGGTACACTGCATGCGCACCCTTGCCGACTGAATGCATGCCAGTTTACCAGAATTTAGTCTACAGCCTACAGCACCCCGTGAATTTACTTTGCCTGACTTCTCTGTTTGTTGCTGCTGGATTTTTAGGTGAGGATGGACCATCTCAGATGGGCCTGGAAGACTTGGCCATGTTCAGAGCCATTCCCACCTCAACTGTCTTCTATCCAAGTGACGGTGTCTCGACTGAGAAGGCTGTTGAGCTGGCAGCCAATACAAAGGTGTGACTTCTAACAAAAAATCCTCAAGAATACTTTTTCATGCTTTCATCGTTGAAAGCATTAAAAACTGGAGAAACTTAACTTGGTCCGGATTTGTTGCAGGGGTTGTGTTTCATCCGAACAAGCCGCCCAGAGAACAATGTCATCTACAACTGCAATGAAGACTTTCATGTTGGACAGGCTAAGGTTTGTAGCTGTATTTTATTCATCATCGTCCTGAATCCCTGAACGATTCAGGGATTCTCTTTTTAAATTCTCTTTTCCTTGTATTGTTAAAAACGATGATCGTCATTGTTTGCACATGTGCTGATGATATATCCACATGCAGATTCATATCTTCCTTTCATTCCTAGGTGGTGTATAAAACCAATGACGACCACGTGACTGTGGTGGGAGCTGGAGTTACCCTTCATGAGGCTTTGGCTGCCGCTGAACTGCTGAAGAAAGGTAAGAAGTGGTAGAGCTCTAAAACACGCTGGGCTTGATGACCTCCTTTTATAATATGATGTTTGATCACTAAATGTGGCCTGTTCCATCCTCTCATCCTTTAGAGAGAGTTAACATCCGTGTGATTGACCCGTTTACCATCAAACCTCTTGACTCCAAGACCATTATCGACAATGCGAGGGCCACCAGAGGACGCATCATCACAGTGGAGGACCACTACTATGAAGGTGAGCAGGCATTTATAAAGAAAAAAAAACAGGAGAAAGAAATAATAAAACCATTTTTAGAGATAAGATCTAGCTTTGTTCATTTTTTCTGATATCTAATATGACAGAAAGCCATGTCACAAAAAGCCAAAAATGGCCTTCATATCTCTTCATGCCTCATCATCACACACATGAATCGAAAAGGTTTTCAGATTAAACTTATTTTTCTAAAGGTAAAAATAATGTGAGGTAAGGGCAACTGCTATTTAGTAGATAAAAATGCTATTTTAGATATTTTATTTACTAGTTTTGAAATCAAGTTCAGGTCAAAAGGGGACAGTCAGTTTTGTTTGCATGTTTTGTTGCTCCCTGGGGACAAAGGTCCAAGTGCAAATGAAGCTCAGAGATGAGAGAAGAAGAGAAAGACGCCTAATATCATCTAGTACACTGAGGAGAATTGACACTGATGGTTCAAGCTGTTAGGAATGAGATGTACAGTCTGAAACATATATTTGGGCAAAGGAAGATTAGAATCAAGAGGAGGAGCCTGTCAGTATTTCTTAATTTCACCTCTGGTCTTTAGGCTCATGCTGACCTACATACAGTACCAGCATGACAAAAACACACTTGCAAAATCCACTTTGTTGCTCTGCCTGTTTGCTGCATGCGTGTTTGCTGTGACTAAAGGGGTGGACAGCATAGACAAAACCTGCCTTGGTCTTCATGAATAGGAAGCATATCTTTGAAAGGGTTAAAACGGGTGACAAAAAAGGAGTGAGAAAGTTTCAGTGGGGGGACATCAGTGCTGTCAGCCCACATCAAGTCTCTGCGGGGCTCCAGCTCCCCTGGAGGAATGAAAGGACTAAGCATGCCAGACGGGTGAAAATCCAAAGAGTACTAAAAGAATGAGTAACACGTAACTGTGCGTGTAGAATTTCGGTGAGCAAATCATCTAATCGATGGTTATTTCTGCTGTGTGATCCATAGGTGGTCTCGGTGAGGCAGTGTGCTCAGCGGTGGTGAACGAGACCGGTTTCACCGTCCACCGCCTGGCGGTTTCTCAGGTGCCCCGCAGCGGTAAGCCCCAGGAGCTTCTCCGAATCTTCGGGATTGACCGCGATGCCATCGCCCAGTTGGTGCGCAAAGTGGTCAGCAGCTCCACCAACGCCAAGTAGGAAGGCCTCCGCACGGCCAGCGGCAGGAAGAAAACGGTAAACGCCTCTGTGGTCAATGTGGGATCACCATGGAGACAACAAACAATTGAAACCAACACAGTAGGATGGGGGGGGGCTTTTCTCCCACTCATGTTCTCCTCCTCGTAGAACAATCGAAACCCTTGGTTAAGAAAAAAAATAATAATAAAAAAAGATTTTCCTTTAACTGTTATCAATGTGGTCTGACACTCCCACCCCAGATTTTTGCCCCACCTGTTTTTGAGCCCAGTAAACACGCCTCCACCCCTTCACATATATCCACACACCTCCATCCTCTATTTTCTTCCTACCTCTCAGAGAAAGTTCTGGTGCTGCTGTGGTGTTTCAGTGAAGCAGTGAATGTGGTTTTGAGTCCAGCCTTTCTTTATCACCTCTGTGGAACCCTCCTCACTTCTCGGGTTGGGCGTCTGCACCCAGTGTGACCGTGTAAATCCACCCCACTAGAACCTGCAGGGTGTGGAGAAACTCTGGTTTGGTCTGTTTGAGCACTGACTGTTTTTAAACTCTTTTTGACTCTGACTTTGGTTGGGATTACTTCACACATAATAAAGGGATGGTTTCTTCACAGTTCATGTCTCAGATGTCTTTCTTATGGCCCCCAGTCAACAAAACAAAGTGTAAAAGTTACAATGTTGGTTTCCTACTGGAATCTGAAGATGTTCAAATGTGATTATGCTAGCTGCTAGATATGATTATTTGTCCACTTGGTTAGGAAAACAAATGGCAAACAACAGATAAAAGAGCTCTAATTAATCTTGGCAAACACTTTCCATCTACAGGAAGTCGTGCACTGATGCACGTCTTTCCAAACACAGCAGCTGGTATGGCAGCACGTCCACTCTTTTTCTGTACCCCATTTATTCCAATTCATAGTTGAAGGGGAGGGGCTGAAGTCCCAGTTGTCATTGGGTGAAAGATGCAGTACACACTATGGACACTTTGTCAGTCCATCACAGGGTCACACATGGATAAAAACCCATGAACAACCCCCTCAATGGTCAATTTAGAAGTTCCAGTTAATCCACCACCCAGAGACAACCCCCACACACACAGAGAGCATGCAAACCCCACACAGAAAGGCCCCAGCTGGGATTTGAACCTGGAACCCCCTCACTGTAAGTTGATGATATTAGGCACCAGAGTTACTGAATGTTCATTTTGCAAGCAAAAACAAAACAAAAACACAGACAACACTAAACACTGCTTACTAAAGTATTATGAACTGCTTCCTAAAGTACTATGAAAATGTGCCTCCATCTTTCATTTTAGTACTACCCTTTAGTATTAGATTTCTTTCATGCTGGATCACAACTAGTAAGGAATCAGTTCTAAATCAATAATAGGTTCCCCTTTCCTACATATACAGTAACTTTGTTGTCATCTAAAAAATAAAAAACAAAACCATCAAATCCTTCTGTGTAAACCCTTAGTAATCCTGATACATGGCATGCTCTATATTAAAAAACAAAATGTTAAATGTTAATTTAGTGTTTAAATACATTAAATTTTGACCAACGCATGTCAAAGTATTTAAGTATACCTTCAATTATTTTATTTTTTTGGTTTTGTTGGTTTCTTTTGGTTAGTAGCACCAACCGTCTCCACCTCTGAAACTATCTCAGCCCAGGACAGAACACATGGAGTCACCAGGTCCGTTTTAACATGGAGCTGAGCGGCACCTTCTGCACCGTTAGCTAAGTGCCCTGGTGACTGTTGGATGTCTGTTGGATCGCACAGGCCCTTGGACGCTCTGTGTGCTGTATATTTAATGGGCGTTAATAATTGAAACGCCTATTGAAAGATTTACACAGGCAACATTTGGCACCTGTGCGGGCACTTATAGGATGCCGGATAGCATATTGCATCTGATGTGAAGTCAATATGTTTTTCATTTTATTCATATTCAGTCATTTTTCACAGTCAATATCTTTTTCTTTTAATTTAAACTCAGTCAGACTGGGTAAGCATTATGTACCACATAAATCAAAGAGATAGAATATTGAAAGAGAATCAGCACTTAGATATAAGAAAAAAATGTATAACAATTAAGACACCTCACAGTTCCATCCAGATCCAAAATGCACTAGGATTTCCATTTTTTGTCATTATCATCATTAGATCATTGTCAGTAGATCAATGGAGCATTCACTGCTTTTTCATTGTAAATAATTACGTTTCTCCTTTTTCCTTAGTCTTTCTGAGACGCGACTTTGTGCTCCTCCTGTATGTCACAGTTCTGTAGTGAAGTGTACGCGTAACTCCAGCTGGTGAAAGGGACTCGGGGAGATTTGAGGCGATATCCAGGCCAACCTTTAACCCCGATCCCTATAGCGCAGCGGGGGTCTGTCTGGGGTCGGGGGTGGACTGAGGCTGTCAGCTGCGGGTGTGAGAGGGAGAGAAGTAAAAGGCACTGACAGGTCGCATGCATGGATGCAGGCTTCAGCATGTGTATGTATGTCCATAAGCCTCACACACAGACACACACGGATGCTGGCTGTTTCCGTCCGACAGCCAGCTCAGCATCTGTCAGTATATCTGTCATATGGATTCTTCTCCACTAATGCACAGCCCAAAACATGGACAGCACACATGTGGAGCGGCCAACACGCCTCCTGTCAAACCTCATTTTCTCCTCTCGAATGCCCTTTAAAGCACATACATTGTACATTAAAACATGCTCTCAGACACACACACACAAAAATACAACACATGGACAACACTGTTGATTTAAAAACTAATCGTGTGCTTGCCTACTAAACTCACACAAATCTATCACCAGATATTCGAGGTAGCACCTGTCCATACGAATTAATCTATTTCCTAACCGGAGGCTTTTTGTTCCTTTTCTTTGTCTTTTTTCACACGTGTGTGAACACTGTGCCACTTTCTCTACAGAGAAACAGGATTCTCCACTTCCTTCCACTTCGCTGAGCTGCATGCCATGCATCACAAAGGCGCTTTACCTTGTCGCTTATTCCACATGCACAAAGGGATACGAGTGGACGGTACTTCATATCATTTCAATGCCCAAGAACATCCCAATTCCAATGAACTTTTGAGAAAAATCCACTATTGAAACATTTGTTTTCTGGCACTGAATGAAGCTTCTAGTTTTTAATTGAGATATCTATCAAGAAGTGAACACACTCAATAGAAAAGATGCAACAGGGAAATTTAATGAAAAGTTACTTTAATAGGTAAAGACACCACAAACAGAGAAGCAAATAACAAAACTCCTCGCCTTTAAATAAAACATATAAAAAAAGGGGTAATCAAACATATAGATTTTATTCATCAAACAACATTCACTGTCTGAATTTCACTCATTCCCAACATTTAAGAGTAAACACCGATGGTGTGTTTGTGCGTTTCGTTGCGGCTGTACTCAAGCCTCGATGAGAGGCTTTTGAAATGATGGAAGCTTCCAGGAGCAGCATCTTAAAGTATGGCGACTTTATAAACAACATGTTTAACGCAATTAGAATTTACAGGGATAAAAAAATGCAAAAAAACTTAAAACGCAAAACATCAGCGGAAATGACATTTTATTCTTTTCTCTTATGTGGCTGCACACCTCCTTCTCAGGCTCCTCCCTGATCTGTCATATCCAGTCTGTCAGGCCACCCCTCCCCCCCCTCCCCCCTCAGTTCCTCAGTTCCTGTACTCGTCCCCACAGTCTCCCATGAGCGCCGTGAGGTCTCTGGAGCGCCGCGTGACGGCCTGGATGGCGGCGTGGTCCTCGGCCGTCAGCCTCAGCTCGGGGCTGCAGCTGCGCAGGCTGTCGCTGACGTGCTGCCCCGCCCCCGCCACCCCCAGCCGGCAGCCCACGATGACCCCGCCCACCGCCGGCCGGTCCAGCACGTAGCGCGTGGCCACGCTGGCCACCGAGCAGCCGCGCCTCTTGCCGACCGTCTCCAGGGCGACCAGGAGGTCCTGGAAGAGGCCCCATCCGCCCCAGGCGTCGATCATGTTCTTGTACTTGGAGAGGGAGGCGGTGTAGAGCTCCGCCCTGGAGAGGGGCTCCGCACTCCCCAGATAACGCTCGGAGAGCAGGCCGCCGGCTGTGAGGGGGAGGGGGGGGTGGAGAAGTGGTGAGATGGAGGTTATCGAGAGGAAGAAATATGGGGTGGAGGGACATGAGAGTAGGGGAAGGGAGGAATAGAGCCCAAGTCTAAGAGGGGATGTGTCGTCATGCCGACAGGCTCCATCTTAGGCGCCCTCCATCTTACGTATTCGTGCAGCCCATAGACGAGCCGCCAGTGTGCTGCGACCGTGACGTTTCTGCATCTACAACAACGCAAATGGCGCCGGACGCTTCTCACCCAGTGTGCCGTACGTCAGGAGCTGGATGTTGTTCGCCAGGCAGAACTGCTCCATCCGGGCTGAAGGGCGCTGGTCAATCAGGGAGTACTGAACCTGCACAGACAGCCGCGCCAATAACGAGGTCAGGAGGAGGAGGGGGGGGCTCAGACTGACCGACACGTGCGCTAACATGTAAAGAAGCGGTACCTGGTTGCTGGAGATGCGGACGCCTTTGTTGGTGATCTCCTCCAGTCTCTTTGTGTCAAAGTTAGTGAGGGCGAGCTCCCCTGCAGGAGAGGAAAGACAAAGGATTAATGCCAGGGACAAATTAAAATAAACCAGGTCATTTCTGTCTGCTGTGAATATGTGTGTAGGGTGCACGTACGTATGAGGCCCTCCTGCTGCAGGTCAGACAGGTGTCCCAGAGCGTCCAGGTATCTCTTGTCTCCGTAGTCCCACCAGTGGAACTGGACACAGTCCAGCACGTCCACCTGCATTCGGCTCATGGAGCGCCGCAACGCCTTCTCCACCACCTGAGCACAAAGAAGTACCGGCCTCCAGTTTTAGCACAAAGTCAAACAGATTCTGACCACTAAATAAAACACAAGAAACCGCCAAACTCTTCACATGGAAACACATCAAATCTTAGAACGCCTTATCTAAATAAGTTCAAAACTATATTGTGCGGCTGAAATATAGCTGGCAAACCAAAATCACAATTTTTTTTGCACAGCAGAAACATGTCATTGTTTGCCATTTGTCTTAATTTGCCTGGATTTTAGAGGAATAAAAATCTGTGGGACCACTATGAAGACTACAGAGGAGATGCACAGCTCTTTTGCAAAGACTCACGCTGCACCCTGGTGGATAAAAGCAAACGCACAGTTAAACACACAACAGGAGGACAGCGGCTCACCTTGCGTTCCATTGGCCCCGGTCTTGGCACGTATTTGGTTAGCCCCTGCAGCGCTGGGGCAGATTCTCCTGAGGACTTTAGCTAAACACCAGACAAAGACGGTCAGAGTGACTAAACATATGCAACACAAGTATCAGGGGAGTGTTTCCTCTCAGGCACACAGTGCATAGAGAGAAGTTTGTTTAAAATGTTATCACATACAAGCAGCTCAATATAACCCTTGATTTGAAATATCTTTTTAAAGTTTGGTCAATTTGGAACTTTGAACTATATAAAGCCACTGAATGATTCTAAACAATATAATATGCTGTACCTTTACAGAAATAGAAGTAAACTCACATTAGAATATCTTTGTGTACAAATTCAATGGGCTCTGGCCAAACCGGTCAAACTGTGTGACCATACCTTTGTTCTCCTATGATGGTTTGGGATATGTGTGCTCCTACCTGTCTGTTGAACTGTCCAAATATTTCCTCCGCAGGCCCGTAAATGTCTGCCATGTCGAATGTGGTCAGACCAGCGTCTACGTAGTCCTGCATGGCCTCAACTGGAGGGATGCCATGGGGAAAACAGCACAGTTAGTGGAGTCACATGTCCCGTAAAGATAAGCATGTCATAACAGTAGATGTTGATCTGATCCAGATTTGTGCTGTCAGATCAATAAAACATGCAACTGATCCACATTTACATTTTTAATTAAGGCCTTCTCTCAGCACTGTTCTGAATTTACTTCATCTGATGCATCTCTCTCAGAGGTGTTTACTATGAATCACCTCTTGAGATATAAAATTATACATTCTAAACAACAGGGGTCAGTTGATCTCTATTGTGAATACAAAGTACTGGTGCATGTGGAATTAGTCCAAAACACAGTTGGTCCGTTACACATGGCAGATTTTGGCTTACCTGCTTTGGTTTTATTGACCGGTCCGTGCGCTCCGGACACCTGCCACAGCCCGTTCAGGACCCTGCAGACCTCCAGGCCCCCGGCCAGAGTCACTTTGGGCACCGCGGCCATGGTGACGGTCAGCACGGGGCAAGAAGCTCCCGACAATGGTGCAGATTACTGTCAACAGGGAGGACACAAGATGAATGATATTTCTGAGCCTTTTCTACCGGTCGGATCGCTGCACAGAGCTGACAGCACACCGCATGCACTTTCAGACCGAACCGGACTTTGTCATTGACCCTTTCTAACTGCTTCTTTGACACCTCTTAAATAAAAGTTACCTACTTTATGCAAGTTGTACCCAAACAAATCCGCACAGTTCCACGTTATTCGTCCTGCATGGAGCACAGCGTTGACGTAACACATCTAAAAGTTACACAATATTTTGCGTAAGGATTACAAAACAGACGACCGCTCCAACCAATAGGAGGCGCCGCTCGACCGGAAGTCCAGCCATTGCCCGTTGCCGCCCCCTGCTGGACGCATTTAGAACGCAGCTCAGCTTCTGAGGACTAAACCTTTTCCAACCGGACAGCGTTTAGGCAAAAAAAAACAGCCACACGTGATGCTGCATAAAATGTTACTTGTCGTTTATTGATAAGCTGGATTTGTATGAACTACACAACACTGTGGAGGTTGCACTGCGAGTTTCACTCTGCCGTCTCTGCCGCCGCCGCCTTCTTCTTCTTTCTTTTCCGCTTCCTCTTGTTGCCGGGTGTGTGGTCAGACTGTCCGGCTGCAGGTGTTGGTCTGCCCTCTGTGTCGGAGGCCTCGGACTCCCCTTCGGAAGCAGCAGGTTTCCTCTCAGCGGCAGGAGGACACACTTCCTGTTTTGCCTCTACAACACTGTGACACGCACACACAACACAGGACCTCATGTCAAAAAGAGAGGGCACACCCTTTCCATAGCTCTGAAATGATCCAATGCCACAACTTTACAAAACTTTTGTCTGTGACAAGTCATGTGACCTGTCAGGTGATGTATTACAGATGGCGCCTGACGCTCAAAAGGTCATTTTGCGGCGATAATTTATGGACATTTTTATAAAACTATTAATTTCTATGCTACGTAGCAGTTTGAGTCGGAGAAATGAGAAGTCCTTAGGAAGTGAATGTTTCTACTCCGATGGGGATTGACTGAAAACTCAAGACTAAACACAAAAATTTGACGTGGTCCGTGGAAAACGTCACCTTGTATCAGCTGCTTCCTGGTTCGCGCTCCCCGCCTCGCTGTGTTTTTCCAGCAGGGCAACAAAAAAGCCGTGTGTGCGGGTCTTGGTGGTGCTGGCACGCAGACACTGCGGGAGGGGCTCCAGCCCTCGCTCTGGCCACTGGGGGAGCAGAGGAACCAGCCTGGAGGGGAAAAGGCCACAATATGAAAGGGTTAAAGGGATCCTGGGGAAAAGGCAAACGTGAATGAAGACGTCGGGGTAAGCAAAGGCTTCTTTTGGGCTGCTGCTACCTGAAGCCGGGGTTCTGCTGCAGGCAGGCGGCCACCACCTCCTCGTTCTCCTGGCGGTGGGTGGAGCAGGTGGAGTAGACCAGGCGCTTCAGACGGGGGAACCTGAGCCCGTGGTTCAGGCATCGGAGCTGGAAGGAGGCCAGGGAGGCCAGGCGGGCCTGATCCGTCTCCTGATCAGCGCCGTCCCGTAAGCACACCATACCTAAGAACCACACACACACGTTTATGTACAAGAACTGAAGTAAAGACGATGTCAGAATTTCTTTTAGGCCACTCCTCAAAACACAGTCTTATCTGAGGGTCTTTCTGACATTTCAGGATCTGGTCAATCTGGTCTTTGATTGCGTTGATATATTCTTCCATATTTCTGTATCAGTTCATTTACAAACATTGAGCGATGTCGTCGTATTTGCTTATTACCTGACAACAAACCATTTTCTTCACCAGTTCAGAGGCACAGGTAAAAGAAGTCAGTATCAATCCTGTATGTTTAGATGCACAATGACTGTGAGGATTTTTCTGATTTGAATAAAGTATGAAGGAAGAAGAAAACATTTTGACATGTTAATGTTTCTGATCTGCACGTCAGAATGGCATTCACAAAGGAAGCATCCATTATAGTGATCATGATCATTATAACCATTGTATTTCAGTCAAATCCCCCAAAAACAATGTTAATACATTCGTAGACAGATAACACTACCATCATAAACACGCTGGGACAACTGGTTACCTGATCCACTGCAGGAAGGATCCAGAAGGACGTACTCCACATCTTTATACTGTGGGCTGTCAGGGTCCACTTTCAGGAAGTCCTGGTTGGCCAGCTGCTGACAGGTGACCCCAGCTCTGAGCAGCAGCGTGGACATGGTGGCCAAACGCCTGGCGTCCAGATCGAAGGCGAACAGTCTGCCTTTGTTTTTCATGATGGCTGCCAGGTGGCTGGTCTTGTTGCCGGGGGCAGCACAGGCATCGATGACATGACTGCCCGGTGGAGGGTTGAGGAGATGGGCAGGCAGGCAGCTGGCTTTGTCCTGCAGAATGATGTGGCCCGCCTTGTACAGGAAGTGGTCGTGGAAGTCTGCTTTAGTGGAGAAAACTAACAGCTCTGGCAGGTGCAGATCCTTCACGAAAACCTTCTCCCTCAGGGTCAAGTCATCCAGCCGGAGGGCCTGTCCCAGGTAGGCTAGGCCATCCCTCTTGAAGTAGTCCACAGCGTCGTCCACTGTGGTCTTCAGTGTGTTCACGCGCACATACCTGGGCAGCTGGTCAGCTGCAGACTGCTGGGCGCCGGCTGGGAGAAGGTCCTCGTTCCTGCTCACCTTCTTCTTCACCTTCATGCGGGCCAGCGCCGCCTGCAGCCGCGGCCGCTGCTTGACCATCAACGCCTTCCAGGAGCCGCCGCACTTCAGGCCCCGGCCGATCAGCAGGTCGTAGACCAGCACCATGGCCAGGTGCATGCGCAGCTTCGTGTGCTTGAGCAGCTTGGTGGACTCGATCACGTCCTGCAGGACGGACGAAAACTTCTGCGTTTCGCAGACCAGAGCGAACAGCTGCTTGATGTGGGCGAATTTACTGTCGTACACCAGAGTCTTCAGCGCGCCCTGTTTCCTCTCGGCTTTCTCCAGGATCTCGGCGGCTTTTAGGTACAGAGCCATGGCGAAAACTTTTCCACGAGCCCCGACGCCAGGTCAACGTGCTTGTTGTTCAGCTTGTCCCTCGTATTTTTATACCTTTTTGAGAACAGTCCCGGACGCCTCCTGTGTTGATAGGACTGGTAGGATTGTTATTCAGCTATCACGATAGCCGCTTCCATGGTGCCCATGTGTTGAGAAGGGGTCATGACTCCGGAAATACAACGCAAGGTTTTTGCGTGACGTAGGACGTGTCTAAGCCAATCACAGGCGACATCAGAAACTACGTACAGTCCATGAAAAAAGTCGAAAAACATCAGAGAAAAGTTTTTTTTAATTCATACAAGTTGTTTCGTTGGGAAAATCCATGTGGAGACAAAAGTTCAAAGGATGCAATGCAATAGTGGCGTTTATATCCACAATATGTACAATTATTTTTACAATAAAAACCTTTTAGCTTTAAGAGCTGAGAAGCAGTTTATTTGAAAGTCTGGCCAGTTAAGTTAAACAAGAAATAAAAATATTCATCAACTCCCAGAATAATCCAGAATACAAATCATTAAATCATCCAACATCTAAAGATAATAATTATCAGCTCTGTCACCAACAAATAGAACATTAATAGAAATCTGTTTACTAATATTCCCTTCACAAAAATGTGTTCCATTCATTGACGTTCAGGGTGTCCGTCGCTCTGAGCTTAACATACCTATTTGTACCAGTGAACAGAAGTTTCTTTTAAAGCTCACACCAAAGCTTTGTCAGCTTTGCTTTATAGGTTTTGACAGAAAATGTGAGTTGTCATTGGCACTGATAGGTAAGACGCTTTTGTACTTTTACAGTGGAACATAGAAAAATACTCAACCACCCCCCCTTCATTTTTCAATTTCTGAAAAACAAGTCAACGATACAAGACCCATCTTTTTTGTACACTGCTGTATCTCAGAACTCCTGTTGGCTACAGAGAAACCTGCACAAGAGGAGATGCTTCCTTGTGATTTTGTTCTTGTCATGTTCTTAAATAGTAAGATGTTTTAAAATGCAGTCTAGCTTGTTTGAAATGTATAAGCAAACTGGCTTCCCCTCAGAACACAGGCAGTCAATAGATATTAACTTTGTCATCTCTTTCAAGAGAGCAGCATATTTTGGACCAAGAAAAGAGCTTATTAAAAAAACTAAAGAATTGTGGGTGTTTGGCTGTGCTCAACGTGTCAGCGTTTAGTAGCCACACTGACCCTTTTGAGAGTCTTTGTCTTCACAGAGTTCTGGTACAGAAGCAGTCTCTCTGTAGTGTGAGATGGCAGGCGGTTCCTCTTGGCTTTTACAACGCACGCCGCCATTGGATAAAGCCGGTCAAACCCCCCAGAAGTGGCCGGTGCTGCCAGCAGCCTCCTGGCCATGTCCTGGAGTTGGGGAAACCGAAAGGCAGATTTCCAGTACTGAAGACTGGAATTGCTTTCCCACAGGGGTTCAGACAGGTACACGTCAAACTCCGATAGCTTCATCGTCTTCGCGGGAGGCTGGAGGAAGCTGAAGATGGACTTGCGCTTGAGGTCATTTTCGCTGACCTCATCACAGTTGTCGTCTGAGCTGGCACCAGATATCTCCATTAGCGGCTCCGTTTGGATTTCTTCTTCCCCTTCCTGCTGCTTTGTGTGCTCGTTGCCTTTCTGCTTGTTATCTTCCTGCACAATGGGAGACGCCGAGTCCTCTGAGCTTACCAATATGGATTTTATAACAGCATGAGCCTCTTTCTTTGTAGGGGTTGTTAGGAATTCTGTCTGTGTTTCCAGTCTGGTATCAGAAAATGGCTAGGAAAAAATTAAAGCAGGTGTTTATTTACATGTATTATGCAAATATGTATCTTACATTCATTGAAGTATGAAAATCCAGCTCAACAAAATATATAACTGAACAAAAGGCCATCTTACAGCCTATTTAAGAGAACATCATTCGTGTATGGAGAGGATCATATTAATATGATGGCCTTGCCCTATAGTAAATCAGTACCTGCAGTTTGATCCTGGGGTCCAGCACTGTAGCTAGTAAGATTTCCTTCTGGTGAATCAGAGGCTGGAAGTGTGTGTAGATGCCGGTGCGCAGGGACTTGCAGAAGTGGTTGTAGTTGGTGACGCGACTTTCCAAAGTCTTATCAAGACCAATGATTGAGGGGATGATGAAAGAAATGGTCACACCGTTTCCTTGCAAGACCTAAGTTAAAAGCAAAATAGTTAAGGAGACCAATAATATAAAAAGAAATGTCAAATCCCTCATGGTTTTTACTAAGAAATCATCAATAGAGATGTCTGAAATACTACAGGTGCAGCAAAAATGACATCAAAGTGCATACTTAAACCACATTTATAATCCAATGTTCAAATTAGAGCAGTAAAGTTGAAGGGGACCTTATACGACAGAGCCGTGTTAACATTTCTTCCAAGAACGTTTGCTTGTTCATGAGGCACAAAACAGAAAGAATATAATAATATATAAAAGCCAGACACAATTAAAAAGATTAACTATGGCCTCAAATTTGATCTCATATAATTAACCACTGAATTAAATGACTGTTTTACTTGCAAAGCCTCCTCAAAAGGCTGAAGGAGACCCAGAATGTCAGCCACTTGTTCCCTTTTGACCATGACCAGAGGGGGGGCGCTGGCAGAGTCTGAGGCCTCTATGCGAGCCTGAGCCAGGAGGGTCATGATGGTGCTCCAGGTCGTCTCCTGCACCATTCTACGCAAAGACACCATCATGGAGTTCCAGCGACAGTTACTGGAGGATGGGCACAGAGACACATTGCACTCCTTCAACAACACCTTGGAGGAAAAAATAAGTAGTTTTATTAGAGCAGTTCTCATCTCTTTAACTCTTTAAGCTACAATTAAAGGGTCCTAACAAATCATCGTATTAACAGCTCAGGAACAGATTTTTTTATTTAAAGTCTACTAAAAATAAATGCAGACTTTGAGCAACTGAATGTCTGAATTAAGTTGTCCTACCTCACTCCAGTAGGCACTCCCCTTGAAGAAAGCCACCACATTGTGGACCTGTGAGAGCAAGTTTTCAACTACTCTGGAATTTTTCAGGGCGTCCTTGATCACCACCTGAAGAGTTCTGGCAACACAGCTGATCTTTGTCCCGATCTGCATGTCTGAAAAGGGGGAGTTTGTTTCTGGCATCTGGTCTGATAGGAAAGCTGAGATTTCGTCTCCCTCTGGTTCTCCCCGGTTGGAGGAGCACACAATCTTGTAGTCACAGAACAAGTTGTTTCCAGACAGAGCTTCTTTGGCCTGGTTAGCAAGAGTGTAGCCGATGCTGCGAGGAAAGATGCCGTAGCTCAGCAGCACGCCCTCCAGCTCCTTCGCCACAGATGTGCTGAGGTTTTTGTGACTGAGGTGACGGAAGGCCACGATGGGACGGCGGATCTGCCAGGAATCATTGATGAAGTGAAGTTGCACAGCAAGCATTGGACCCTCTGCTTGTTGCGATTGAGCTCCTGCCCAAAGGTCACATGTCACATGAATAGCACTTTCACCATCTTTGGTTTTGGAAAGCAAGGCTTTGAGGTCCCGGATGAGCTGAGGCTTCATGGTTCTTTCCACGTCCTCATAGAGCTGCACAGCCATGGCACGCTGGGACAGCTTATTGTATTCAGGGCTGATGGTACTCATGAATGACCTGAAGCCAGTGCCTTCAACAAAACTGTAAGAAAGAGATTTTATTTCCAGTAAGAAACATTAACAACGTGACAACTATTTTAGAAGGAAGTTGAGTTAGCCACCATCCAAACTTACCTGAGGGGCAGCATGTCCTCTGCAATCATCCTCAGCGCTGCATCTGTGAACTTTTTCTGGTCCACGGTTGGTAGGGCGAAACTAGAACTGGGACTGGAACTTGAACTGCGTGGTAAAGATGGACTGGGGGGAAAGGCCTCTCTCTGTGATCCCAGAAACTGGGAGTTTTGAACAACAGTCTTGTGTTTGGATCTCTGTAGCTCCTTCGATTGCTGTTGTCTCTCTGGTCTGACCTGCTGCAAAACACACATCAGTGAAACAAGCTTTTCAAATGCAGAAATCCATGAACATATATATATATATACAGTATATATATATACACACACACATATATATAAAACCTTTTTTCTTTTGTTAAAACTACTTCGGTTAAAATCATAAAGAGATAACTTTGATGCAAGCTTACCACTTGAGGATAGACTGGAGCAGCATCTATTACAACATCACACTTAAAGTCCACCTGTTAACACAATACATCATATCAGCTCAAAACAACATCAGTGTGGCAAAATATAACACAGATTACATGATCTGATCTCACTACATGATGATTAGAATAACTATTTATATATTCATTGCAGAAAGTATGAAGCTTTGAAAAACACAAAGAAATCCCCAGATACAGTCTAATGACAACAGATCAGTTTTCATTTTCAATGATAGCTGAAAATTATTAACTTAATACAACATTTTGTACCTCTCCATCCACAAACTGTTGAATATCAAGGGAAATGCTGTCATTATCATCCTTGAAAAAGCCCATCTCTGCTTGGCGTTTGATGGTTGAGTTCCAGTGATTCTTCACAGAATTGTCTGATCTGTAGAAAGCATCCAAATAAAAATTAGAAATTCAGCTATTCCTCTGTCAAAGGATTTATTTTAACGTATATGTGCCTAAACATCATCCAACTTCTTAGAACAAACCAACCAGTCACTGCTGACTGACTAACCTTCCAGGAAGCAGCTTGGAAATCTCAGCCCACCGGTTGCCAAGAATGGAGTGGGCTTTGTAAATGATGAGGTCTTCCTCTTCAGTCCATGAACTCTTTTTGATGATGGGATTAAGGTGGTTAACCCAGCGCTCGCGACACTGTTTCCCCATTCTTCCCTTCAGGTGCTTGCCAATTATTGCCCAGTTTCTGGTGCCATACTTTTCAACCAGCTCCAATATCTGTGGAGAAAGGATACATGTGAAAACATGACTGAACCACTGTATATCAAATTAAGATTAATTCAGTTTTATAATTAAGGAATGTATCCTCAATGAAAGATAGCTGCCTAATTTCAGTGTCAATTAAATTAAATGTCAATGCCAAGAGTTAAACTAGTTCCAACAACACATGTGTTTTTTTCTATCTCTATGTTAATGTTTCTTATCTGAACCTCTGAAATGCTTTCAGCATGGTAACTGCCTTTTCATCAACTACCATTTCATCTTCCTCCTTGGTCCAAAATCCCTTGATGGCATCAGGATCCAGATGTTTTTTCCAACGGACCATACATTGCATTTCTGTTCGCCCCTATACAATCCACAGAAAATCAGATTTAACACAATTTTATTATTTGAAAAATATTGCAAGTCTTTGGGCTCTTTCGTGTCTTAATAAAGCACAGGTACTTACAGGTAAAAAACTAGCAATGGTATTCCAATCTTTTGTTCCAAAGTTGCTGACCAGTATTTTAAGATTGTCATCCTGCAAAATAAAAGGGAAAAAAAGTTCAGACACATTATAAAGCACAGTTTAATTTCAACATCTGTGAAATCTCCATCAAGCAGAAAACAATTATCTATATGGTGGCATGCTTAGCTTTAGTTGGGTGTGTACATTTTACAGTCTGTTGTCATAAGTGATCGCCTACTGAGATAAGCGTCTACGCTCATTCTGCAACAGTTAAGTTTCTGATCCCAGATACAGCTGAACAAGTGTCCATCTTTCATCTGCAGCATGACTAATTCTTATACCATTGTTGGAGATTTCACACTTAATGATTTTGACTTTTTCATTTAGTGCAAACCAATGCAGCTCAAAGCAATGAAAGATCAAAGGCATTTTTAAAACAGTGGTATGTTGCAAAAATGAACCTTTTTTCTCTACTTACCTCTTCCTGGGTCCACTTTGCTTTACATCCGCTGCCATCCTTTTTGTCTTCTATGTCTGAATCGGTCGCAGTGAACAGGTTACTATCCTCCTCTTCCATGCTAAAAACACATACCTATGTTTATTACATGGGCATAACAGTACATGAGCAGCAATAAATTACACAAATGCATTAATCTATAATGCAGGAAGGTGGGTAGCGCACTGACCTTTGAAGTTTTATTGGCATTTTTTTTAAAACAAGTTATAAAAATTGTATAACGAAAGAGTCCAACACTTCCTGTATTCCCTGTAAAAGTGTTTCTGTGTGTTTCTCTCCTCAGCCCCAACATGTTTTTTTTTCGTTGTCTGTATTTGTACATTTTTCATTCATTTCTTCTGTTTATTTTTTTTTAAAAACACGGTCCGACATACTGCAACAATTCTGGCTTCAGTACACTGAAGACAGTTCTCAGAACAAACCCCTTAGAGCAAGAGCTCAATCGAATTTACAACCAGCAACGTCAGCTTCAAAACAACTTGCTCCACACAACAGCAAGCTAGCAGTTAACTAACTACTGAAAGCTGAGATAGTATGGTAGCTAATGCTAGTTTCCGCAAAACAAACAAAAAGTCGAAAATAAACACGAAAGTTTCGAAAGTTTTACATGTACAAGTACAACTATTTAACTGCATATATCTTACTACAAAACTGACGTCATTAATATTCGCATATCAACATAACTTACACCAAAACCTGGCTGTACCTTCGTGCTAGCTAACGTGGCTAGCAAGTCTCAAAAAGACATAAGTCTTACGTTCACTGACAAAGTAGAGCTCCTCAAGCGGCGCGTGCAGGCTAATGCAACGAGTCTTTCCACGAATAGTTTTCACCAAGAAGGAATTTAAATTACACTACGTTGGTGGCTGTAAACTAGCCTGGCTGTAGCGAGAGAAAAAAGCCCACACCTACATGTCAGACACAATAACTACTACTGGAACACACCGGGGTCTAGATTCAAACACAGCAGAAGAACGGCTTTTTGCCGGTGTCTCCCTCACTCACCCGCGCGACCATTCCTCTTTTGTGCTCCTCAGTACCACTAAAACTCACACTGCTTTACAAGTTGAACACCAATTGTTCTGAATCTTCTGATGGAATAAGTAGTCATAAAATGTTATATAAAGAAATGCAGTGCAAGTGATTAGAGCGACAAGGCAACATTGAACGTAAATCACCTTAGAGTTATACGTTTAGCCGGTTCAGAGGCTCCACTGCTTCATCCACGGGTTCGTACACCCCGGAAACTGTCCACGTGACCAACGGTTTTAACTGACGCCAACGGCTCGCTAGCGTGCACCAGGCATTAAACTTTCTGGCATTCACCTTTCAGTATTTTTTATATGTGTTTAAGATATTTAATTACCCGACCAAACATATGTGGATGCCACATATCCTACTGTATAACTCTAGAAAAAACATTAACGAAAATGTCCTTTTCACTAAATGATTACAATGTCACTTTTCTCCTGTGCTACATGCTAAGCTAAGTTGAATTATGTCTTTAAAATGGATGGTGGCTTTTTTATGTACTCTCTAAGAAGCTCTTCAATGCTTGCAACTGACATAATGTATACCAACATATCCGAAGAAAAGGAAGGATTGTGTTTAAATATACCACTGTAATGTATCATTCCATCACATTTACAGGTTACAAATAAATACGTTTTCTCAGTCCTTGTGAACTTTTTTTTATCACAAACTATTTGATTCATGAGGTGGGCTTAAATTAATTTGAATTGGTCCAAGGGCTATGGAAAATGTGGGAAAATTAGGGTGTTTGTGTGTGTCCTACTCCTTAGATTAATATTTTTGGAAAAGTCTTTGGTCATCACTATGGCTCAACGAGCCATGATACCTTGTAGTTAACAAATGCTGGACAGTGACTGTATGCATTCATCTCGGAATTGTTTTAATGTAATTTAACAGTAATTCTAAATTAAAATAAATCATAGACCTTAAATTACATATAAAATGTATGTGTTTGCAAACAAAACAATTTTTTCCTTGTTTGTCATCAGTCTACCTAAACTCTGGTCCTGGTTGTGAAACCTGTGATTTATAACGTCAGCCTTTCTGTTTACTCGCTTGGTCAAGGATGAGCAGCTTCGGATGTGCCATTGCTTGTCCAAGGTCAGAGCAGCATTTGTCATTTCAGATCATTTGAGCATTTCAAGGAGAAAATCACGTTGTTGTCTCAGAAAATGTATAGTTATTTCTCTGTGAGTGTGTCTGGTTTTACAGTGAACCATTTGCTACATGTGAAGGTAACACTTTTTTGAGGTGACAGACTGAATCAAGTAACATTAAGATTTTGAGATAAATTATTTAATATTGGTGGTACAAATAATAATATACATTCATCTCTGATTTAGATTACAAAAATTTAACTTGTGACTGCATCACCCATCACTTTCCAAACATAGCACCATCCGTCACAAAGCTTAGTACCCAAGGCAGAATTTATAGTTTTACACAAGCATAATCTATTAACCTTTTTACAAAAGTATCAACTCTGTACTTCCATGTTGGGTATAGTGTTGTCATACTAAAACAATCTCTATTTTGCTCTTGTACATTTTAATAAATCAGTCTGCTATTTACAAACAAAATAATTATATGGAGAGATTTCTTTAAACCTTTCTCAATTACAATACAGAAAAGACAACCTATAGTCCACATAATAACCATGAATAATGTGAACACTGTAGTAGATGACTGCAACATGAAATAAGTTTTTAACATTACATTTGAACAGCATCTTGGCAAATGAGTTTCGACATTTAGCACATGAACACGATCACTGTTTTAATGACTTAAAGTCATTGTTTCACATCAGGGATGTAACTCACAGATTATGTCTTTAGCACGTCCAACTCCATCTTCTAATGGTTTTGGTCGAAAAATAATTAATAGGTAAATACCAGCAGAGCCTGCCCATCATCTCAGCAATGTTCTGTTTTAACAATACACAGGCATGACAGAAGCATAAAAACTTATGTTAGAAAGAAAATCATTGCAGTCAGAGCACCAACGCTTTTTCTTTTCTCGGGTTATGAGTATCGGTCTTTGTTACACTAATTGTGTGGTTACATTTACTGAGAAACAATATCTGTACATACACAATCTTGATCTTTATGTAATAAAGTATGTACATAAAAGACTACAAAGCAAATAACCACTTGAATCCAGAATTGTTTTTTTGTTCAGTTATCTGAAAACAAATGTCATGAAGATCATTTGTACTGCATATAAAAATAATCTTAAATTTGAACAACTCCCTAACAAAGAAAATTCCCGCTCTGCACAATGCTAAGAGGCATTCTGGCTGTGTCGTGTGGGGAGATGTTGTATTTTTTAAATCTGAACAGAACAAAAAATGGGAATCTCTCTGTTCACAGGAAGCTGTCCTCGTTGGCGACATAAGAGAACCCATTAAAGGCGTTGTTGGAGCTGGTGCTGGCGTTAAACTCTGGGGTTCGACTCACAGAGTTAGGAACCATTTCCCTGGTGAACTCCGGATCGATATGCTGAGTATCAGCTGGGCCTCTCTGAAATAAATATCAACGTGTAAGCAAGCAGACATACAATGATAAAAAAAATCCATAAAAAGATTACTAAAGCTTTAACATTCAATTTAAAGCCTAGTGGAAAAGACAGAAAAACAAGTCTTCAGCAGTCTGTTAAAAAACAACACATGCATCTGCAAAACTAGAGCATTGAAAAAGGCTGAATCAAACTTTGAGTAAAAAATAACAATGAAAAAAGAAAGCATTGAAAAGTCTATTTGAATATTTCAAAATGGTGGAAATTGTAAGTTTTTATTGGATGATTGCATTGAAAAATATATAATCATTGGAATAAAAAAGTAATGGAAATTATTGTTGATTTAAGAAGATTTAAGATGTTAAACACGTGTCTCAGAGTCTGATAGAAAACGTTCAGGAACAAGAAACAGTCACAAACATAGTTAGTGAAAGCATTAAAAACATGCAGCCTGAAACAACTCACCACATTGGGGTTGAAAGGAGGAGTGATCCTCTTGTGATAAAGGTCATCCCAGTTGATTGGAGTAAAAAACGGGTGGTTCTTGATTTCTAGCTGTTATTTAAAAGCATTTTTAATAGAAAAATCTATACAGCCATACTGATTCACTCTCATAAGCACTCATTTGATTCAGATGTTTTTTTAATCTTGCGATATTTAAAAAGCTAAGGTGTATCTTATTTCAGAGGGACATTTCATAGATCTGTTGATAAGTAATTTTGTTGATGCTATATTCCCACTGACATGAGGTATATCTATATTTTTTAATCAGAAACAGAATAAAATACTCACAAAGTCAGCAATGGCCCCGAGACGTCTGTGCTGGTCTTTCTGTAGCAGACCCACCAGCAGGGAGCAAACCTTTTCCGATTTCCCCGGAGGCAGTGGAAGCGGCTTGTGGAGGATGCCGTCATACATTTCACCAACATCCCGACTGTAGAAAGGAGGCTGAAGGTCATAGGCATGGATATTTTTGTTTAAAATCAGGCACACACTCTTTGACGATAGTCATTACTTAGCACACAGCTAACAAGATAAAAGGAATCATATTATCCTTGGCCACAGGACGTCAGCTACCAACAATGCGCTTTTAATTAAACAGATGAAAAATAAAACGGAACATGAGGTTGTGATGGAGCGTTTGCACTTTGTTGCTAAGATAGTGATACCGATATAAAAGACAGCTCTTAAATGCAGTGGATTTCATGATTCAAACATTGAGTGATCTTGTCAAGGAATAGGGATGTCAGAGATTTGTCAAAGTGTCCTAATTTGGATTATTAACAAAAACTAACACACATACCAGGCTGAATATCATTTCGTAAAGAACTGCCCCCAGACACCACCAGTCCACAGTCCTGTCGTATGGCTCCTTACGAAGAACCTCTGGTGCCAAATACTTTAGCAGAGCGAAGTGAGCAGAAAAAAAGAGAACGGTTCACATAAAAGTCAGGTTCAGAAAAACTTTCTAAACCTGACTTTTATAAATTGTGTCTGTATTGTCCCTACAAAGTGAATCTACTGCAAGAGATATTGAAAATGTTCAATAAGAACGTAAGATTTTCTGAACCTCTTTTCAATATAGCTCTTTTTGGTTGATCTTCACAACCATTTTAACTCACTTCTGGAGTGCCGCAGAAAGTGGAGGTGGTCCCCTCTGGCTCCACACCCTCTTTGCACAGGCCAAAATCTGTCAGCACCACATGGCCCTGCACACAGAACACAGGGGATGTGCAACAGGGAACAAATGAAGGAGTGAGGATTTATACGGGCCTACCTGCGAGTCCAAAAGAATGTTTTCTGGCTTCAGATCTCTGCAGTGAAAAGAGTGAATCTGAAGGTTATGAACTGATCTGACGCTGATGAACTGACTTCCTTTTACTAAACACACGTGAGCATCTGTCTGACCTGTAGACAATGTTAAGAGAGTGAAGATAGCCGATAGCACTTGCAACTTCAGATATGTAGAACCTTGCCCTGGGCTCCGGGAAACACCTCTCCCTCTGCAGGTGGAAGAACAGCTACAGCAGGACACAAAAAGATGTGAGAGGAAATTTAATTTAGGACAGGTTTATGAAACAATGTCACTTACAAATCAGAGTAAAGCAGTAACAGGTTTAGTATTAGGATTTTCTCTTAGAAAAATTGTACTATGTCCATGATCAAATACATCCGAGTAAAATATCATCCCAAAAAGACAGAGATTTGTTTTCCGGGTACAGATGGTTAGAATGAGATTAAGCAGTAGTTCATAAGTGTCACATCCAAAAAAAAAAAAAAAAAAGAAGGGAAAAAAAAGGATGACTACACAGGTGTTGATTTATCATTAAAAGCTGACCAGATTCTGTACAGGTGAATAACGACTTAAACATAGCACAGAATGCTTGACAGCATCACAGTTCAGTGTGATTAATCAGACACACACCAATACGCACATCATCTTTGGGTTTTGGACATTCACCCCACTGTAAATCAGTATCTAACTAAGTGACGTTCCTGTCTGAGAATAACACACACCTCTCCACCATTAACGTAGTCGAGAACAAAGTAGAGCTTCTCTGACGTCTGGAAGGAATAGTGGAGCCGAACCAGAAATGGGTGTTTTAGGCTCTTCAGTAACACATTCCTCTCAGCCATAATGTTCTTTTGCTAAAAAGAGAAGACAACAAAAGCATAGAAATTATTTTATCATTGATTTTGTTTGAATGTTTTTTGGTGTGCAGCAGAAAGCACTTTGCATTCTTTATTTTATTATTAACAGAATGTTAATAAGTTAGTCTTTTTTATGGCATTCCCGCTGTAATACAGCTTTTTTTTTTTGTTGAGTAATGTTTATATTCTATATTTAAATTAAACCTGTATCACAAACAATCATTTCATCTTCTTGAGCATTTTTATGTGGCATTTCAATTGAGAAGCAATTGAGAAGTTGCTCAAAGTCAGAAGGAAAAAGACACTGTATTCATTTATGTACTTTTTCAGGTAGTGTATTCCTCACATCTTTAGAAAAAAAGACACTAGCAACCACAACAAATCAACCTAAGCAGGCCAGAAGACCCTGAAAAGGAAGAGGAGGATCAATGTTTTTGATCAGCTGTTCTCAGTGTGTTGTTCGACAAACACAGAAGTGACCCAGTTTGTTTTCTGCTGGTTGTAAAAGCTGTCCTTTGCACAGAATGCGCTTTAGATTAGATACGATTCAGATTGTGTTGCTGGGTCAGAGGACTGTTTACTAAAAACTAAAAGATACTCAAACATACACAAATACACAAAAAAATCAAAACATACACACACACTTAAGCACACACCATGTGTACCTATATCACACCATCAATGTGATCGTGCTATATAGGTACACAAACCCTTCGCCTAAACCTAACACGAGCCTTCAAGGAAATAGTCAGGATCCCTGGAACAGCCGTTTGGCTCCCAAATTGGTGGGAGGTCATCAAATGCCGGTAACCTGTTTATCAGGTAAAGCAGGTAAACCTTTGGCTCATGAAAAATAATTGCAAACTATTATTTCCAAAATGTATCACAAGGTCTGCATCTCAAAAGGCATTTGGCTGTCTAAACTTCCTTATCACAGCACCGTGAACAGATGTTCTTTAATTGTACTATAGGTGTGCTTTAAATATTTCAAAATATCTTTTTTATTTAAAAAGGCTGACTGGAGAGGCAAAATTTCAAAATATTTCATGCAGTGGGGTTCAGATTGTGCAGGCTCATCAACAGCTACATTAAAAAATAATTCAAATACCTCTTTTTTCTTGAGGATGATTTTTTTCTGCAGCACTTTGACGGCGTAGAATTTGCTGTCGGCTTTGAGCTTGGCGAGCAGGACCTGCATGAAGGTTTCATGTCAGTGGTTTGTTTAGTAAACATCCTGCACCAGCATTTGGACACACTGCTGTCAGGACATTTCATCAAATAAGCACACACAACACAGACAAGTCATCCGGGAACAAATGCCACTGAGATAAGTGAGAAGTGGTGATACACTGAAAATGTAAAAGAAAATAATACAATTTTAAAAAGATCGCTGCGGGGAATTTTCTATGAATTTGAAGAGAAGGAAAGAAAGCATGCTGAAAGTTTATTGTGCACACTTAATTTTCAGCTATTTACGATTGCACTGACATACATGAAGACATGAGAGGCCTCAGTGAACTGCACAGTTAATGATTCATGAAGCAGGAAAGCACATTTTGATCAACAGGTGGCACGTAGACACTTTGTGACCCTACTGATGATGTCTGTTCTCTACTTTTTTGTCTCAAACACGGGCGGATAAAATGATATACCTGCTCATTACTATTCATTTATATGAGCCCCAATTATCACCAACAATTTTCATTTTATCTCCCGCTAAAAACAAATGACCCAATGGGTAAATATGTCATCTACACAAGGAATTTGTAACGACAAAAAACAGAAGAGAATAAATAAATAAATACTTACCTTTCCAAAGGTCCCTTTACCAATGACAGCCAAGAAGTCAAAGTCAGTGGGTCTTGCACTGAAACAAGATAGAAATCTTTTAAAAATGCATTGTGCTGAACTCCTATTAGCAAAAAACTATGGAAAAGACTGTGTGAATTCATCTATACAAAGATTATTGAATTAATAAAGACAAAATCCTTTTGTGATCCGCAAATGCATGTGTCTCTATGTGCAATGTATCTATAGATATTGTTGTAGATTCTCAGTCATCCAGGCCATGGCTATCCTGACAGCTTGAGCAAAAGCAACTGGACTTCTTGGTCCTTAAAGAAGTCTCATCAAGCTCTTAGGATGTAAGATTTAAAAGATCATTTGAACATTAAGTTTGAGTCAAGCGTTTCCACTCAATGGGATGAGGTATGGTTCAGATGGAAGTACAGTAGGTGACAAAAAAGAAAAAAAAAACGATCAGTCTTGCCATGTGCTTGTCAGAAGACTGTAGCCATGAGGCTCTGTGGTTCAACAGCTGCACGAAATCCCCAACAGAACACGCACGACATGAGAATATGACAACTTTAAAATTATGACTACCCAGTAAAAAACTGGAGGCAGTCAAAGCAGCTTTGAATTTATAAAATAATTAAATGCTGTGTTGTCATCATGGGCATGTTTAGGAAGAAATTTCCGAGCTCCACTCCACATGAAATATTCAATAATATAATCTCTTATTCAGCAAAGATAGGAACCGCTGACTTTGCTGAGTTTGTGACTGTAAATGAAAGATATGAGATGCACATGCTGGTCAGTGAGAGCAGAACTACTGACTGCGGGTTGGCGGAAGGTCCCAAGTTGACATCGTCATGAGAAGGAGACGAGGATGTTGATCTCAGCTGTGACAAAGGAGAGTGAATGAATATAAATAAACATATATACGATGAGTTTTTTAAATCTTTTTACAAAATGCTATCCCATTGTAGTAGCTACAAACCAGATATATTAGCAATATTGAAAGGTTATTAAGCTACAACGCATATCGCCAAAAATAATCTTGATCTCCAGGATGTGTTGCCACTAATAGTTTGGCCTCGAGACATCTGTTAAACAAAGTGTGTATTTTTAAGACTGGGATTTAGACAAGTTCACATGCCTTTTCCCTGTGCCACAAGGATAAACAGGACTGGAAATAAATAATAATAAATCCTCAGTAAAAAATGAATAAATAATAGGGAACACTCACATTACTGTGTGCCATGGTTATTGATATTCCACTCCCCCTGGAGACCCACCTGGTCAGTGTTTTACTAACCTGTGGGAGGACGGCAGAAGTTTGGACAATACTTTAGGATTTCATTTGTATTATTAAATTTCTTTATTTTTATTTCTCACATTTGTCCTGAGCACTGACTCAGAGGAATCAGCCACGTGTTTTTTTTTTTTTCAATAGACTAAGTGTGAAAGTGTGTTCTCCAGAATCCGCAGCTGACCTGTGAATGATGGCCTCGGGATCCAGAGGATCGGGCGGTTCTTGTTTTCAATGGAATAAGATGCTGGAACAATGAACAGACAATGAGGAGCATTGTTAGTACATTGGAGGTTTGTGTGCATTTGTCACGTCATGGGGATGTCCACGTTTTACCCTGCTTTACCATCCGGGCACAAAACGTATGCCCAGAACAGGCCCGTCATTACATTTTAAATCTGTTTGCTTGCTTTTTAAATCTAATTCATCATTCATTTTGTCCTCTGATGTGAGGGGAACATGGCCAAGTGTGTGTGTGGTAAGAAAACGGCTGATTATGTTGACATGTTAAATATCGTGTCAATTTCATTTTTGTTGAATTATGCAGGCTGATGTATCTCTTTTCCACATATACACAAATACTCAAATACCAGTACATACTTTTCCATTCCAGGCCATTCTAATTGTGGTTATCAATACTAAATAATTAATTGTAGCAATGATTATTGTTAAGTTCTAGAAATATTTCTAGATCTATAAGGTTGCAAAGTTGTACAGAGGGATAATAAATAAATGTATTCCCATATAGGGTTGGTGATTTAAATCATGTCAAAAAACATTAACTGATGCAATAACTGATGCTAATAAACAGTACATTACAACACTCATCACCACTTTGCAAAGAGCAGCCGACTTGAATTTTGAGTTGGTTTCTGCAACTTTCGGAAACAGAAATCTGACTGGTGGAAGTAATAATGAATAAAACATTTAAAAAGGATCTGGAAATTACAACCCAGCTCAAATGAAACAAGCCACTATGAGAGCAGTCTGCAATCGTGGTCTTATGTCAATCAACACGTCTGTTTTTGCACTACAATATGGCAGGTTTTAACACAAATTATTTTCAATTAACACGACAAATGATGTTAACACCATGTGAAAATGCTCTAACTTACAAAACGTGCTTTATGCATAACTGATCATATAAACAGTGTTCATTTGTTTAGTAACCTAGTATTTTATCCAAACCAGGTAATGGAAACTAGCCTGATTCCCCCTCCTGACTGAAGGGCGATGCAGTCAAGTGACAAATGAGTAAAAACCTGGAAGCCACTGGACGAGTTTTCTGTTTAAGGAAGGTTTAAGTGAGTCATTCCTTTGTATAAATAACGAAAATATCTGTTGCTCTGCAACATTTAAACTAAACAAATAAACCTTCCAAATCTCCTCAACGTAGAGTATCCTGTTACGTTTGGACTAACAATACACCACTGCCTTCTTACTTATACAAGAATAGATGCCAGCAGCAAGGAAAGTACTCAGGATACACAAGATATGAGGCATTATCAAATGTTGACTCATCTCTGTAGTTTTTGTAGAAGTAAGGGGGTGAGGCTGCAAAGTCAAGCTCTTAACCTCCACCAGAACCTCTGAAACTACCGTCACAGGTACCAGGAAGCTCTGCACAAAGTGTTCCTGCCAGCGCCGTAACATCGTAAATAAGGAGAGCCGCATTTATTCCCATTAGAAGTGTTGCTGTTAACAACACCACTTGTGTATATGTAATTAACGAGCCCTCCAAAAAAGTGACGTTTGTTCAGGGTCACCAATTTTCAGTGACGATATGAATCAGCTTTAGTGTACATTTTAGTTTTTCTAACTTTGAAAGCTATAGAGCTCACTCATGGAAATGAGAGATTCCCAAAAAGTACTTAAAAAAAAGCTTTCTTTAAAAAAAAAAGGAAATTATACTTATTAAGATGTGAATTAGTTGCGAAAGCCTTGGAAATTAAAGTAAGACCTCATGTGGACTTGAAACTATATGGCACTTAACAATTCTGATAACCATCTTCTAATCTTCTTCAGATAAGTCACAATCAGGCCAACAAAAGCACAACGATCAAATGTTTATTCCTTATCTAAAAGTCTGCAGGGCTGCATCAGGCAGGCTGACACCTGTACTCTACAGACTAATAACCCAGTGCTTCCATTAAAGTCCAGACATAATATTTAGCATACATAAGAATAATGTATTGACCTTTCAAAAGAGTTGGTATCTCGAACCTTAAGAAGGTTTTGGTGGGTGGGAAAAAGCCTACTAATATAACGAAAATGCTGTAAAGCCTTCCAACTGCATCGACTCTCAAAACCCAAAACCACTGATATAACTCTGAACGCAGCTTTTTGTTTTTGTTGGTAAACAGGTTTCCAAACGAGTCAATAAAAGAGGTGATCCACACGACGCTTCAAAACACGAAAAATAACCCCAGTAGAGAATTAAGAAAATAACTCAAACAGGTAGCATGCATCAGAAACCATCTGTTTCCTCACCTGTGTGGTACAGAGGAGGAGGAGGGGGTGCGCGTGCTGGCAGCCTAAACAAGCGCTGCCTGGACTACAGCGGCTGGAACTGTTCTGAGGGCGGCCGGTTTAGTTTCTAAGACCTCACGAAGGACGACTTGAAGGGAGTGAATCATTGATGAAAAGTAACAGAGCTTATAAATGAGGCGGAGTGACGGCTCAGACTCTCAGTGACCCTGCGCGTGAGGGAGCACGCGCACGCGCATGTCGTCAAGCGAGCAGTTCAGAGAAACGAACGGAAGACTTCCGGTCTGCTCTCCGGTTTCAAAATAAAAAGGCGACGCCAAGCGCTGATGGTTAAATGAAATAAATCAGTGACGGTTAAAAATATTCTTGTTTTCTAATGAAAAACTGACCCTCTATTTTTCAAATCGCAGTTTTTTTAACACAGCATAAAAATCTGAAACAGCTTGTTTGGTTCCAATAAACAATTTAAACTGTGTTGAATAGTTATTTAAACATCACACTGTTTAAATTGTCAAATTAATAGGTAGCACTTGATTAATTAGAAATCTGGAGAGTTTTAAACTAAAGCTAACAATAATAGTTATTGCAATGGAACTGGGTAACTGATTTTTATTGATGGTAAGACCACTGACAGAAAGTTATACTTTCTGTTTGGAAATAATCATAGAAGTAGTTACTAACAGGACATCTAAAATAACTAAAAACAGTCAGAAAACAGCTCAGAAAATAATCAAGCATCCAGTTAGAGAAAATGGAGCATTGTTGAAGTTTAGTTATTGACTTTAAATACTTTTCAGATTATTTAAAATGGACCTATAGGGGAAAAAAAGGGTCAAGAAAAAAAGAAGAAGCAATATTTGCTGTTTTTTTTAAGTACTGCATCTGAAAGTTTGACAGCAATCTTACTAAACTTTCTACTCTAGTCTTGTATTAAACATTTACCACCAATCTATTGACAACTTTCAGTTTACGGCCTGGCTGCTGCTTTAGGTTATCAGCTCCACCTGACTTTCTGGCCTCTTCACTGGAACAAATAGATAAGCAGTGAGTGTCGGAAGGGTGTGGAAAAAGTCGTCACCACCATAGCCAACTGTTGACAACAATATTAGAAGGGAAGTTTATAGTCAATAATCACTTGTTCACGGGGGCAGGATCAACAGGGTATGTTACCCATCAAAGGAGACTAGACATAGAGTCATAAATCAGACAAGACAGCTTTGGATGTTTATTAATTCTTATGGATTGAATGGCATTTGTGACCGAAGATTATTTTGACATCCACACACACGCAAATCCCACCAGAGAGACACACAAAGGTAAAATACTCCAAAAGCCCTTAAAACATTCAACTTATATCTCACGATATCAACCCAGTAAAAGTGTTTTAACCAACTCTGACACAAAATGTAAACAGAAATGCACTCTGGTTGGAGACTCCATCACACGTACACTGTGGAGCGCTCCACTGGTTGGATAGCAAACACCTTTGTAGTGCTAAAATGTGGCGTTTTGCACTCTCTAGTGACCATGCGTGGGAATATCATTCTGTAAAATCTTTTTGGCTTTCACAGTTGTGCTAAAAGGCCAATGCAATGATACATCAATTCAGAGTTATCAAAAAATAAATCCTAGTTTGTTCGTTTTTTTCTTTTTTATTCACGTAGAGATAAAAACTCAAACCCTGCGTTTGTTTTCTGACTCACTGGAGAGCAGAGGGTAACATTTAAAGATTACAGCTCCTCTGACACTTCACATTGGTGCAGTGAGAAGAAATCTGAAACACAACTGATTAATACTTCTGAGTAACTAGGTTGTCCCCTACAGAAACGTCCTGAAGTAAGCAGCTTATTTATCATTTTATACAGGTTACAGTGCAACAATTCAGGAGCTGCAATATTGAGTGTTACTAAATACAGTATGTTTCTCTCAAGTTCTTTATTGCACAAAAGATGAAGCTCAAAAGAGCTTCAAAAACCAGGCTCGCATACTGCATTTAAGTCATCATGTTTACTTTTTGCCCACAGTGCCAACATAACGTTCCTCCCACGTATTACTTTCATTCTGAGTCCTTGATTCAAAAGTACACCTGGATTGAACTTTTCCTGTGACAGTCGAAACCAGAGTTAATTGAAGCTGCCCATCGGCCAGATGCTTCCCGAAACACATCCACATCACATCAGAAAGTAACTGATTGCTGTTCTGGCTTCCATTAGAGGGATCTGCCTTCTGTCCATTTAAGCCATATGCCTAAAAAAAATTGTAGGGTAGCTTGTATCTTTAAATATTATTTTAGATTTAAGGTACCAAAGACGTGACTCGCAACAGTTCCACAAAACCTTTTTTTTTCTGACTTCAGCTTCTTCCAATTGCACCTTTACTCCTCCCTGATCAGACCCCCCTTCTCCACCCCCTCCCCCTCTCTGATGGGCACAGGACAGCAAACACAGGAAAAGGGTCATCAGGGTGGATACCCTGCAACAGAATGAATTTGGCACATGATGATTGGCGGCCCGATGCCCCCCCCACCCACCCAACCCCCTGCCACACCACCCCAGCGCGTAGGAAAGGGATCACTTGAGTCCCTCGTCTGTGGTCTTGAACATGAGGATGGCGTTGGAGATCTTGAGGGCGGGGCCTAGTTTGATGCTCATGATCTTCACAATGTCAGTTTGGGTCAGCAGCAGGAAAGCCTCGCCGTCAATCATCTGGGAAGACACCGAGCAGCGGTCAGTCAGGGAACGGTTGGCTTTGTACACGCAGAGGGGACGGAAACTTTAGCTAGGAAATGCTCCTGTCAACTTCGAACAGGGCGTACTCATGTGATGTGGGATTGTGATGTGAGAACTATTTGATGGTCTCACCTCTTCTTTGAAGAGACGAGCCTGTTCTTCACAGCCGATCAAATTCTGGACGAACCTGAAGACCTGCAGCAAAAGGCACGCCATCGTCCCGTCAAAACACAGGCAGCAATAGGGGAACGGAACATATGAACGCACGCTCTAACGTGTAACAACCTCCTCGACGCTCCATGCTGCCACCTGGCTGGCGTGGATGCCCTGGACGCCGGGCAGCAGCTTGCAGTGCTGCTCCCAGCACAGGGACAGAGTCCGGTCGGACTGACCACTCAGGGCCGACATGAACAGCGATGGATACCCTCCCTCTGAGGACATATCTGAGGACACACAGAAGCAACAGCTAAGGTTACAAGGAGCAAAAGACCAAAAAACAAACAGTCAGGCGTGCTGAATGGCTTCTTATGGAGGCCTGAATAGGTGATGGTTGATCCACCCCGTGCTTGTTCAAACAAGTCTTAACATCAGCCTTTTTACATCAAAACACCAACAGCTCAAATTTCAGAAAAATGTCCGACACACGTCAGAAAACTTACTTTGGTAGTCTCTTTGTTGGTTCTTTCTGTATTTGGGCGGCCGACCAATCCTGACAGCAAATAGGAAGGTTAAAAAACCTGTAAGTGTATGTGCTTGTACACAAACACACACACACAGACACACTCACACACACACAGACACACACACACACACCTTTACCTGCCACGGTAATGAGATTTTTTTGCTCTTGAGCCAAAAAAGAGGTTTCTCTTGCACTCTGAGTCTGACAGGTCGGCCTTCAGCCTGCCCTGGTTACGCTCTGCCAACGGGCAGCCGGATATGCAGTGATGGGCAGTGAAACGGCCAGTCACATGACCTGAGCCGTCGCAGCCTGGAGTTGGACACTTCCTGAAACAGAGACAGAAGCATCCATCAGCATCAGTTTAAGGTTTATGAACTATTGCACCAATATTTTTTTTAAGAATTTATAGGGGGGCTATAAAACATCTCAAAGACTAATTCCTTTAAAATAATTGTTCCGAAACAGCATCATTAAAATTAGTCATTTTTAGCCAATCTTCAGAAATATTTAAAACAATGATTTTCTCTGGTGTAAGATCAAGACTTAACCTGACTTAACTGATTTGATTTAGAAAGCACGGCAGCAGTAGGAGCCGAGCTCGATGCTGACCTGTTGTGGAAGCTGTACTTGTTTGTTCTGGGATGGCTGATGGGTTTACAGGGAACAGAGGAGGGGTAGGTGGACTGGCCTGTAGCTGGAGGCTCCCTCACCCCTTCACATGTGCAAATACAGAGGGGAACATTCTCACACAACCACACAAAACTGCTGACAAAGTCAAAATGTTTAACAGGAGGACAAATTAAGTTTTAATTATCACTGACATTTAGCTCCACTTACTCAACAGAGGCAAACCTGCACTGTCATTGAAAACAAGCTATCCCCAACAGTTTTTTTAATAACACCAACCCATAGTTAACAGTTACCATGTGGCTGATGTGTTTTAGCATCCCGTGGAGGAACTTTAAGGGGGTGACCAGTGGCCTCACACCAGCCTGCCGGATGGATATCAGGATGATCGGAGTCCATCCACTCATCGTAGACGTGACTCCAGCCATCGTAGTGGACCTGAAAAATGGAGCAGGGGGGCTATGACACACCTTAACGCTTTGGGCTCTGTTTGACCAGTCAGGGGAAATATATAAGATACCTCACACATGTATGCTACACACAGACACACATGAAAGCACAGTTTTACCTTGATGCGATGAGTCTCAACCTCCTCCACAGTGGCCACTCTGATCAGACCAGGACTCCTCTTGTCCACTGCCTCCAGTTTCATCTGGGGCTGAAAGCTGTGGGCCGGTCTCTGGAGGCAGCGGGAAAACTCATTGTGAAGGGAAAATGAATCTTATTCTATCGGTGAGAAAAATAAACGTTTATTTGACATCTCACCACTTTAAACGCGTCCGCAGCCACAGCCTTGGAGCCTGTCTCCTCCAGGTACCGAGACCAGGAGAAGCGGCCCTGGTCAGGGTAATCTGAGGCCGCAACAAATAAACAAATGCTTCACATAAACATAAGTGTCCTGTTTGCCACATTTGAGCGCTTCATTAGTGCACGGGCTGCCAAAGTCCTCTGACATTTGTGAAGATCGTCATTAATTAATGGTGTAACACCTATTTAGAAAGGATGAATATGAATGCAGTGGAAGAAACATGTAAACACCAAAGGGCTGTCCACCTGCAGGATTACGTCACTGATGAGCCACTCACCTTGGGGTGGTGTTAAAGGGAGGTTCCGCTCCTGGCACCAACCAATAGGGTGGATGTACGGACTGCTGGCATCACACCTGCACATTTTACACACGAAAAAGGATCAAGGATTGAGCTCCTGTGGAAATTTCTGTGCACCCACAGGAAATGTTTTGAAGTCTCTTCCTTCGGCTGAGAGCTGCTCTTATCTCAGCGGACACCTTCCCTGTCAGTGAAATCACTCGGGTGGGAACGTTCCTTAGTAAAGAAAAACGGTCCAGCTGCCACCGCACAGATGTTTTTACTTTTTTAGCTTGGCAGACATCAGCTCAGGTTTGGGTCTGGCAGAGTTATACTGAGGTATTTTACTCAACAATGAACAGCATCTCAGCAACAACAAGTTTAGTGAATTATAGCAGAAAAAAACAATAAGGTCAAATGTCAGGATGACATCTTTTGTCGTTTCTTTTGTAATTTCTAATTTTTAATTACTTGATTCTATAAATATTTAAACATAACAATGGATGGTTCGCTAAACTTCTCAATAAATATCTCGACACAAAGCCGACTGCACTTTAGTTGAATTTCAGTTTTGATATACCTGATTCCAGCTCTATGAATTGTTCTTATTTTCAATTTGAATTATTTTTTCTTTTCATTGAACTCGCTGCTACAGAGAAGGGATGCAGTGGCTCACCAGTAGTCGTACGTGTCGTCCCAGTTGTCAAAATGAACCAGGAAGCGGCTGTCCACCACATCAGTGATGGTAGCTACACAGATGAGAGAGGGGTTCATGCGGTCGACGGCCTCTAGCTTCATTCCTATGTCAAAGCCACACTTCACATCGATCTGCACAAAAAGCAAAGATATTAGGAACGACTTGGTGAATGCGAGGCAGGATTCCGCAGTAAGCTTTTCCAGTTCAAACTCAACAACTCGTTACATTTATGAAACTGCCAAATGCTTATTGGAAAATTGGTGGAAATTTTAATAGCCCTGAATCAAAGTGTAAAATCAATCATCCATGTCGGTTTGTGGTTGATACAGATACCAAATGTTAAACTGTACTAGAGCATATTACCCTCCCAGGACTGGCAAAAAGCTCTTTTGGTGCCACTTGAGCTTTAGTCATCCTCAGATAGTTGGTCCATGTAAATTCCTCCTCTTTACAGCCTGTAGAAAGACAAACGGAGAGATAACAGAATGGACTCAAATGCTTTGGGTGAGCAGACAATTCTGATATTTGTTGCCCAAAAATTCCATGAATTTTCATTGTTTTCAATGACCACAAGGACTGTGATCAATGTATCTTTAAACATCATTTCCAGTTCATCCACTACCGTTCTCAGCTAAGGCTCTGCTCACTTAACTGGCAGGTTTTTTACTCTTCATTTATCAAGTGATAGTATAATAGCAAGGCTCAGCAAAGATAATGCGATTGTATATCTACTCCTAATGATTACTCTTCAAATATAAAGAGTGCTTTGACCTCTGACCTTTGGGAGTGTGCAGTTTGTGTCCTGTGCTTTCACACCAGCCTGCAGGGTGGATGTCCGGGGAGTTGGCGTTCACCCAGAAGTCGTGACAGTCGGAGTAGCCGTCGAAATGCAGCCGGAGCCGGTAACCGCAGACCTTCAGGATGACATGGACTCACATTAGAGGACCCGACGCAGGCAGGTGGAGGCACTGTGACCAAACATCACCATTTGTGATCAGTGAGAGCTGCACATAAAAACGTGGCTCACCTCGGCCACGGTGAGGACGAAGTACATGGAGGGATGCTGCGGGTCGATGCCTTCCAGTTTCATGCCCTGCTTAAAACCGTTCTTCACAGTGGGCACCCTTTGCGACTGCACACATGGGGTAACACATAAATATATGTTTTATGTCAAGATAAAGAAAAAACAAAAAGAGGACAGAAATTAAGAAACGAATGCACGCTTTTGGCTGCTTGCGTTAGTTTGTCCCAGGTGGATTTTCTATGGATTTAGGAGCAAAAGCAGTCAAAAGTACCTCTTGGAAAAGCTTGTTGGGAGCAGCAGCAGCTTTGGTTTCTTCCAGATACTGCACCCACGTCCACTGCTCCGTCTTGCTATCCCCACCTTCTCCAAAAAACATCAATCAGTTTGTTCATTCGAGAGGGACCATCACAGCTTTATGGTATTAAAAACAACGTATGTTGTCTGAAACAGGGATTCTGCCGAGCTTTTTAATGCAGCTCAGATGGAAACTAAATATTAACTTCATGGTCACACAAGTCTATTACGTTTATGAAAACAAAATATATTAAAAGTGGTAAAACGGAGACTTCATGGCCAGCGTTAGAACTATAAAAATCGATAACACAGTTTTTTTTGTTACATTTAAAAACTTCTCAAATTTAAACTAAAGCCTTTTAAAATAAAAAACATCGTCTTACTCTTAGAAAAACTGAATTATGACTCTGTAAAAATCTGCACAATCCCTGAGCGAAAGGGTCACGGAAAAGGAGATGCAGGCAATTAAATGGTGACTGAACTGGGGGGAAAAGAAAATGACATGAAGAATGAATTTTAGAAGAACTGGACCCAATATGATGGCAAAAAGGAACAGCATACGCAGACTGAATGGATAACTTCCCACTCCAGGGATGTAATGACACTGCTCCACATAAATAGTGTGCAGTGTGTCAGATTTGTTTACATGGTAATGAGTCCATTACCTTCAAATCTTACTTAATGTTTTCAGTCAAAAAATGAGCAAATACATAGAAAAAGTTGAAAAATGATACGTGAGGGAAAAAGATTTGAAATATAAACCATAACCTCCTCTGATGTGTCGGCCGTCAGCTTTAGAATCGTCCATTTTCTCATCCTAAACATCAAAGCACAAGTGGAAACAAAGTTTGATTTATCGGAAAAAGAAGAAAACTTTAGGTCGATCAGCACATTAGCTGTGAGAATGAAATGCTGTCTTACTGTGCCCTCCATGTCAGACTCCTCCTCCGATGGGCTCAGGTACTCCTTCCTCTTCCTCTTCCTCATGGGCTTCAGGTGGTCGGGGTTAAGGGAGGAGACCCTCCCGCCTGCCGGAACCTTCTCCACACTGACACTCCGTCTGAGGTGGGAGGAGGACAGATGTGTTTGAGTATGTGGATGCACACGTGTGAGCAAACAGATCACAGCGCTGTCAGCAGCGTACTTATCGATGATGGGGTCCCTGCGTAGCTCGTCTGAGTAGCTCCTCTGTGCTCTGGGCTCGTGGTTCTGTTGCCCTGGTCCCACGTGGACTTCAGGTTTGACTGGCACCAACCTCTCCGGCTCCACGGCTGCAGCTCTCACGGCACCGACCGGAGCCAGGACCTCTGGGCCAGACAGCGCGAGCACTAATGATACAGATTTTAAAGAGTGATTCAAAACTACTCCGTGTCTCTGGTTGTTTTTAAATGTATTTAACGGAAGTGGTTTTACTTCAATCAGCTGGATTTGAGTTCTTCAGATTGTCTGAATGTTGCCTGCATGATGTTTTTAACGCGAATCTGCAGCTGCAACCTCTTCACTTGTCAAGAGGAGCTCTGCTGCAGCTGATGTAATCATTGCTCATCTCCACTTAATACACACACACATTAGTGGATCATTGAAAGGGCAAATACTTCATGTAAAAGTGTGGGCATGTACAGAAAGTAACCATCTGTTACTAGAAGGATTCCACATACACCGATAGACTTTTCATTTGTCCATTAATTCCGAAACCGTATTCATCTGCTAGAATGTGGAAAACTCGAGTGGAAAGTCGTACTTAATGAAAGTTCAAAGTGTTTGCCGTGTTGTGTGTGCAAGGTGCCAATGCTTCAGTGACTCCAGGATTTAGTTTTCCATCCTTATATAACTGCACTTCTACCTGGTTTGTCTGGCACACTTTCTGCATCAGTGGATCTCCCAGAAGTCCCGGCTGCTGGTTCAGTGGCGCCGCTAGTTGTCCCCGGGGTGATCAGCGTGCTCAGGGCTCCAACATCACTCACACAGAACTACAACACATACCAGGAATCATCTGTCAACACAAACCGTACTCTCCGCCAAGCCATTAGCTGAGCAGACACAACATAAGAGATGCTTTCAGGAGCTTCCGTGCTCACCGTCTGGTTCTTTTCCACTCCAGACTATCAATGATATTCATAAAAATTTTCTGGCAGAATATTTATTTATCTAGTTCGCATTTATTATCAAGACAAGAAAGTAAACACTCTCTGAAGAAAATCTCAAATGTTAACTGCAATCGCACAAGAAGTTGGTAACTACAAGTGTAGTTTGCTTTGTCCCGATTTTGAATAAAAAGCTGACATGGGATTGGGTTTTTATCAGAAGATTAGAACCGCTCTGTAGCATCTTTGGTGGTTTTGTTCATCTTACGTGGTCAACTAACTGTAAAGGGGAAACTCTTTTTCCAACTTAGAAACATAGCAGAAACATTATTTACCTTCAGGTTGCTACTGGGTAGGATGGCCATCCCCTCCTTCCACTCGAGGACGTGGACGATGCTACAAGCCCCGCCCACCTGCGCCGTCAGGGCAGGCGCAGTTATCTCGTTAACCCTGGTAGCTTTACCTGGGGTTCCCATGGCAACGGCTGGAGTCACCTCCATCTTCTGATGGGCAGGGGCTGAAAAGGCAGCCCTTTTAAATAACTCAACCTTAAACCTAATATGTTAATAAGTTTGCACAACAAGAAATAGTAAACAGTAAAAAGATTTCCCCAAAAAAGAACACATATGAAGAAATGTTTTCCCTCTAATCCTCCTTGTTAAAATACTATATTAATACTTTAATGTCACGTTTCATATATGTGGGTTTACCACATATATGTGGGTTTACCACATATATGAAAACTTGTTCAAATACACTGCCTTTATATATTTACAAAAAGTTTTGATTATTCTTATTTTTTCTGTATTGACCTGGAAGTTTATTTTTGACACACGTTAACACCTATTTATATAGATGACTGCTGCACATAACATGAAATAAGATATATGTATATATTTATATATGTATATATATATGTGTATGCATATATATATATATATGTAAAGAGAAAGAGAGAGAAAACTCTTATCACACATGCAAAAATACCAGTTAATTGCCTCTAATTCATATCATATTAATTTGATTAATTTGTCCAAAAAAAATCAAATCTTTAGCAGCATGTTAAATATTTTATAGCTTTCCAGTCTAACACTACTGGTCTTGCGTCGTCATGACTCTTTTGCATCAGTAGAAGTGGTTCAGAGGTCGGGTCGTTTTGGTGCTCAACAATACTTTGTCGGCTCATAAAAAATGGCAGTGAGGGCAGCAGGTTTTGGATGAACCCTCTGGCCTGAGCTCACCTGGGAGGAGCAGAGCCGTGGTGGTGGTGTGGGGCTGGGGTCGCGTCTTCTTGGCCATACCATCACTGCCGCAGATAAGGATGGTCTCGTTGGCAGACGGGGTCGACGGGTCAATAAGAGTGGAGTCGGGTTCTTTGGATGGAGCCTCCATGTTTACTTTGGCACTCATGTCTGTGTCCCTGTCTGTTGTGCTGGAACACTGAAAAAGAGGAAAAACTAAAGTTACCAAAACAGCAGGGATGGCTGAGAGAGAGGGCGATAGGCTTAATATCTCAGGATTTATCTAGCTTCAAAAGAGCTTGTTGGATACAATCAAAACATTAGATTCTTAATTATGAGCTTAGTGTAAACAAAAAGTACTTCAAGTGTTAATCAAATTTACCCTGAACTTTTATCTAACTTATTCTTTAAACCAGTCTTACTTGAGTAAAAAACAGCTGTGAAGGTGCGACTTTTTGTTCGAACTGCTCTGTTTTTCATCACCTCCAGTGAAAGGAGGCAACAATAGTGACACACCAATATTTACGCGCAAGCTTTCAAGTCCACATACACACATACTAAAATACAGCATTTCAGTTAAAATGGCGGAGGATCTGAAATCCATGAGGCAAAAAATGTGTAAAGAAACTGTATCAATTCCGGTGAAATCCCCATTTTTTAAATATTAACCTTGCCAACAATTCGGTGAGAATATCCACTAAATGAGCATTATTTCCGCAGCTTGACAACGTCAAACGTTGTAGATATGAATCCGGGCGCAACCGCGCATATTAGAAATATGTGCATTATACCGCTATGTCTAATAACCACCCTCCTTTATGGAATTCATGTATGATGATTGAAAGCTTTGTGGTTGATTACATCCATTATGCTAATACGCTTTACCTCAATGGAAAAGATTATTTAAAAAAAACACACACACAAATTTACATTTTTTGTCGTAAAGGCAGCGAAACTTGTAGATAATTCTGTTTTGCAGTATTTCAGGAGTTATAAATGTAAAATTAATTCGGGTTCGCAGATTTCAGGAACTGATATTTGGCTTACCAGCGCTGATCTCCTGCGGCTCCGCGGCTGGGACTGCGCATGCGCACATCCACAGTACAGTCACCGTTTGGTTTTTTATTGTAACGCCAAAACATTTCTGAACCAGGATTCCCAATATCAGCTACGACTGTTAAATAACATAAGCGGCTAGCTGATTAAGCTGCGTTTTTTTTTTATTGCGCTCACTTCCTGGAAAAATTTTTTACATCAACATCACACTGATGAAATTCTCACTTCTTCCAGTCCCCATCCCTTAATGACAGAGCATTTATTATATAATTAGCTGGATATAGGTCATGTCGATGCTGCAGTCTACCCCCCCCCCCCCCCCCCAAATAAAAAAAACAAAAAAAAAAAAAAATAAAAATTTTTTTTGGAAATAAAAAAAAAACACATTCCAGTTGATCTCATTCTGGCAGAGGGAAAACAAAAGTTTAAAAGTCCCACAGTTGGAAAATGGACACCTTTTGAAAGATTGATTTTCATCCAGATGTTTACGTGTGCATCCTTTGATTTCAAGAACTCCAGTAATAACGCACACTTTCATACAGGCAAAAAGCTAAGGACTGTCCCAGTCCCGAAACCAGCGAAGCAGGAAATTAACTAAATATGAGGCACTGAAACTAAATCGAGAAGGGGAAAAGGCAAATTACAGCCGCCCAGAAAAGAACCTAGCGAAGAAAAAGGGTTAGGAAAAATTAAATAAATGACCAAAAAATAAGACCAAAAAAAAGCTCCAAAGGAAGCAACAATCATTTTTGTCCCAATTACAGTTTATGTACAAGAGGTTAAAAAAGGGACCATAACATTCCAACCACAAGTTCTTACACCATAACAAACCCTTTTTTTTCTTCTTTTTTTTTTTAAATATCCACTTCTGCTGTACTGGCTCTTGCATCCCAGATTACATTGTTATTACCAGGATGGACCATTTCCTTGCTAAAGAAACTGAGGCTCAAACTGAGAACTGCTCCAGTATTGTGGACAAATATTACTTTTCTCCTACAAATGTGGGCAAAACGAGTATAAAAACACAGATGTAGTTCAAACATTAATGGACTGAGAACCAAGTCCAGTCAAAAGAATGAAATTACCTGAATATCTGTTGAAATCGGAGGTCTCATACAATGAAGGGTTCCTAACTCAAATCAAACTGGAGGCAGATTTTAATGAAAGCAGACTAGCATGAAAATCATGGGGGGACAACAGAAAGCACAGCGGAAACTTAGATGAACCCTTTACGTATATTTCGACATTTAGACGATTTTGTTATCACAAGGAGCAAAAACAAGGTGGAAAAAAAACCCGCTGACCCTTAAGATGAGTATCTAGCTGTGAAATGTTTGACGTGCACAATCAAAAGGAGAAAAGCAAAGATGTCAGGAAGCAGAGGCCAGTTGTTACAACACTGCTCACTATGTACAGCATGATAAACAAGCTCCACCATAAAACAGACATCCCACTCCTAATCTCGAGAGGCTGATCTGGACCGTGAACGGGACTTAGACTTGGATCTGGATCGGGATTTGGAGCGAGAAGCTGAACGCTTCTCTCTTGAATTAGAGCGGCGATCACCTTCCTGTGGGGACGGAGAGCGGGAGGCTGACTTGGCAGCGCAATCCTCTTTTCCGTTCTCGACAGGAGACGCTGAACGACTGCGAGACTTCTTATCAGTAGACATCTCCTTTGACCTACTACGGGAATCCCGTTCAGACTTGCCCTTGGAGCGGCTGTTTGAACGAGACTTGGATTTTCGGTCTCCGGAACGGGAGCGAGACTTGGATTTTCGGTCAACAGAACGGGAGCGAGACTTGGATTTTCGGTCTCCGGAACGGGAGCGAGATTTGGATTTTCGGTCACCAGAACGGGAGCGAGATTTGGATTTTCGGTCACCGGAACGGGAGCGAGATTTGGATTTTCGGTCACCGGAACGGGAGCGAGACTTGGATTTTCGGCCACCAGAGCGGGAGCGAGACTTGGACTTGCGAGATCGAGAACGCGATGTGCTTTTGCGAGAGCGCGATTTCCTGTCGCCTGACCTGGAGCGAGACTTTCTTCCAGACCTGGAGCGGGAATTGCGACGTCTTTTGTCACTACGGGAACGAGACCTATGGAAACAGAAGAAACCTTTTAACAACGACCTGGGACACCTAAAAACAAAGCATTTAATCCCATCTTTTGGAAAACACTTCCTCCTCTAAGTTACAAAACCGTCTTCCTCTGACCTGGAGCGGGATCTGGAGCGGCTTCTGGAACTCCTGCGGCTTCCGCTGCGGGAGCGGCGACGACTACGAGATCTGGCGAAGAAAACGCAGTTAAAAACAGCACCCTGTGGTGGATGTGTGATGTGAATGCGCAGTCGTACCTGGAGCGGCTGCCAGAGTAGGATCGCCGCCTGCGGGGCCGGTCCTCCACCAGCCGAATCTTGCGTCCATTAATGTCCGTGCCATCCAGCTTGTCCATGGCCCTCTTCATGTCAGAGTGGCTCCGGAACTCAATCACGCCCTCATTGGTGCGCTCCTTGTGGGCGTCGGCATACGTCACCTCGCCTGCCTGACGCATGAAGTCCTGGTGGAGACGGAAAACAAAGCATTCAGAAACACAGTGTGCAAATTCGATTCTGGTCAACGATGAAGAAATATAGTTATTTTTCACCTTGAGGTCCTGCCAACTACAGCGGCTGGACAAGTTCTCCACGATGAGACGGTACTCTGTGCGAACTGGGGGTCCATACTTGTCCCTGCCAGTGCGGCTCCTGCTGCTATAACCACCACTACCTTTAAGAAACAACACAAAAAAAGCTAGAAAAAAGCATACCTGACAAGACACAAGAGAACTACTGGTCTGGGCTATCTACTGAACACAGGCCAGATCAAAGTCCAGCAGGAATAAATTTTAACTTAATAGAAAGGAGTCCCTCTGATCCCATTTTCAACCACAAAGATTCAGATAAAGTGTCTACGAGCCACTGCATGGGCTCTTTAAGGTTTGTCTTCACAATGGGAAGTTTCTCTCAGCTGCAAAGAACACCACTGCATCTGTTTCCAGCAGGACAAAGCCCGCCTTACTTCAGCTCATCACACAGTGATGCTTTAGCTGCATAAACAAATGGACAGTGATGTTCTTTCAAGACCTCTGAAGCCTGTAACACAAACAAAGGGAGGCATCCATAAAAGGTTTCGGATAAGAACAATGGTCAATCAAATTGAGGGTAAACGGTATAATTTATACACCTTTGACAAGTGTCATTTCTTATTTGACAAAATGTCTTTCCCAGTTTTGCACTTACAAAATTTCTTTGGATTGTAAGTTCTTATCTAGAGCCGATCCACTCATGTTTGCTGTCAACATAGAAACCAATGGCAATCCTCACCATCACCCCTGGTCTATTGGCAAAAGGCTGCTGTCATCATGGCTTCCGGTTAGGTCAGCCAAGGATCAAGGGGGCAAAGGTCACACACACATTGTAAGGTGAAAGCCAAGGCCAAACGGGACAGGCAGTCATCTTAGCCAGTCATCTTTAGCCTCAATGGACTCTCAGCCTCAGCCCGCAACTGGACTCTTTCAAATTGAAACATCAAGGACTTTTGTTAATGTTTAATATATAATATATGCCAAAAGTTAACAATGCACATTTCACAAAAAAAAGTTAGATTAGATTCAGCAGATGCTACGCTGGAAGAAATTAACTTTACTTAACATCATTTTCTGATGTACCGTAAGTAAAAAAAAAAAAAAAAAAAAAGAAAAGAGAGAAAGGCAATGCATAGCTTACATAATAAACCCTAATTAAATAAACTCATTTTAAATTTACAATTTTTCATTGCAGCATTTGTGGTCTGCTGAACAAAATGCTTACCACGTTACTCTGGCAAATGCAACTCACACTGACTTGCAGTTAGTTGCTCTTTCCCAAAATAAAACCATAAATCAGCCCAGAAGGTTTTTAAGATTGGGAGGAACAAAAATCTGCAGGCCAGCAACCCTCAGCCCAAACTGTTCAGCGTTATTAGACCGACTGAAAAAGGACACGAAAGAGAAAACTAGCCTCTGGGTGAACTTCTAAAGTATAAAAAATTCTAATCTTAAGATTGCATCATTCCTGAGATAATCCCTAAAATTTAACAAATGAGAGCCATGATACATTGCTCAAGTGAGTAGTTAACTTCAAGAATAAACGTAACAACTCTAGAAATAACCCAACTCAACATACGTTAAGCGATACTACATATATGATAACTGCTCTCTGTGCAGTCCACATCGACACCTCAGCCTGGGGGAAAAGGGAAAGAAAGAATATCTCGTAATAGACTGCACTTACTGCGCCCATCACCCCAGGAACCCCCTCCGTAGCCATCTCGGTCTCTCCGCGGGCCCCGGGCATGTTCGACGATCACCCGCTCCCCGCACAGCTCCTTCCCGTTCAGCTCGTACACGGCATCGTCAGCGTCCCGGTTGTCTTCAAATTCCACAAATCCGTACCTACAAGAAGCACAAAGTAATGAGCAACAATACAGAGTCAACGAACTGTGGATAGTGTAGCACAACAGTGATTCCAGGAACTTGTCGGCTAGATACCGCGTTAGCCCCTCGACGCAGCAAGTATTGAGGCGCCATGTTGGCCATGCGACATTTGCCACACCAGCCGAGAACAAAGCTTGCTAGACATACATGTAAATACATTTTTTGTCCAATACGAAAATCGTCTGATCAAAAATAGGTAACTGGACTACTGAAGCAATGCACGTTTAACATGTGTGTTAATTATCAGGGTGTATAATTGGACGTCGACTACACAAACGTCTGCAACGCGAGTGCACTTGTAAAATCTTAATCAGAAACTCACCCGTTTTTCAGATCAATCTCCATCAGTTTTCCATACCCGCTAAAAAAACGCTGAATGTCTTTCTCTCGGACATGGTAACTAAGTCGTCCAATGTAAACTCGAGGCATGTTTTTATGGTTGTTTTTCTAACCGAAATTGTTCTCGACTGTTCCAACGGCTCGGTATCAAGCTAGGACAAGTTAACTCGCGCTGAGCTTCGCTGTTAGCTCCCCCTCCGTCTCATGGAAGCGTCTATCAACAGAAACCAACCAATCAACTTGAAGCTGACGGTGGAGGGTTTCCGGTACTGGATTTTCAACTTAAAAGCTCAAATTGATCATTAGTAACTGGATTTGGGCTCCATGAACGGGATGTGGCTGTACAATGAACGATCTCCCCAATGTTCTAAGAGCATAATGAAGTCACAAAACGAATGTCAGCATTATACAAAAAGTAAATCTCCCTCTGGGATTATTAAAGTATTTCTGAAACCTCATATTCAATTTATATGAAAGTGTGGCACCTGTTAATTACATTCACTTATTAATGGTCACATATTGGTAAATAAAAAACTTACTTATGTGGCATTATGATAGAACTACAAATGCATTGTCAGTGGTTAATTTTTAGTCTCGCTACAGCTCCTTTACTATAGATTACAATTGTCAAATACATAAAAACAAACAAAATTGTTTGGATTTTATCAGTTAAGTATGATACTCATGTTGAGTTAACACAGATGCAAGGAGAGAAAGTAGTGGAGAGAGAGTAGAATATTTTATTTATGTAAAAACCAGATTTTAAAATGATTCCAGTCAGACCTTATCAACGTTACTCTCAAATAAGAGCAGAACCAATGTAATGTGTGCAACATCACATATTCTGCATCGATTGTGGTGTAAATTTCTTTATTCACACTGGAAAATAACCAGCCGGAAGGAAAATTACTTGAACTGCGTGTGTCAAAGGCTTGTTTTCTTTTAGGCCTGCCATCAGCTCAAGAGAACCTGATCATTTTCACTATTTTTTTTTTTTTTCAAACTCCACAGATCAAAAATTGATTCAAAATAATGTGCTGAGCTAATGTTTGGAAATAATCAACACTACAAAAACACAATAGTTTCTTTTTCTGTCTTATTTGGAACCGTCCTACGTAATCATTTTTAACAGAGCTCTCGTCTATCAGCCAGTCGTTTGCCTCACTGACAAATGCACTCCAGTATGGAAAATTCCTTTTTTGTTGATGACGAGCCTGGGCAGAGAAAATTAGACAGATCGTTTTGCAGTTCGGGGCGAACCAGAAACAAGAAGGCAACTTTTAGTTAAGCAACATTGAGGTCAAGAATTAACAAGCAACCAAGGCTACAATTAACAGAGCACCTGAGCTCTGTTACAGCTTAGTTTAGACAATGCAGCTGGTCGTGTGGCGAAATACATATTCAATTATATTTTCACAGAAGCCTTCTTGTCTGGTGTGTGGTGTAAAAGGAGAAAACAAAGAAAAGATGCAAGCTTTGTAAATCAGGTTTTTCTTGGTGGAATCGAGAGTCACAGCAAATGGTAAAAACCTACGAGGTGGAGGGTTCCTCATCAAAACAGCTAACCAAATGCATTCAATCCAACAGTAAATGTGGTGAATATCTGCTGACTGTTCCTGAACGCCATCTGTCACCGGTTTAACATACACTCTCACTCCCTGCTCACCCCGTCAGGCCATCACCAACTAAAACCACATCCAAACCCTCCCGCAGTTCAGAGAGTCCTTTTAGCAAATCAGGGAGGCACCCGACCCCAGCTCCAGCCCCTCTGAGGGGAAATAGGGGGCCGATAGAGGTCGGGAGCCCAGGTGTTGTGGCCTTTAGTTGGCTTTGGCGCGGAGCTGTGCCCTCTTGCCGGTCACAGCCTGGAAGCCGGTCTTGATGCTGGCGACGGAGCAGCGGGAGTGGCACGTCTCGCACTGCAGGAAATAGAGACGAGTGTCCTTCTGCAGGATGGTCTCAGGGGAGCGGCAAGTGTGACACGTCACATATTCCTCTGCAGAGAGAAAAAGAGATGAAATTGAGAAACAAAATTGCAACACCATCCTAACTTGGAAGGATGATTGGTAAACAATAGATATCACATTTTCAAAACGGAAAAATTCAGCAAGGGATTTTGGAGTTTTAATCCAAAGGTTTTTAGTCTAAACTTTTTGTAGATATAATGATGGTAAAATGACAACCATAAATTACTTGTGTATTTTCAACTTACTGATATATCTTCTCAAAACATTTTCTATCTGTTTCTGTTGAAATCTGCCTTTGATCACAAGCTGGTTATTTCCATCTATAGAGCCACTGCAAGTAGAAAAGAGGAAAAGATTTTCATTTCAGTGTACGGGAAAGAGGGCTCCTCTTTCCACAATGAATTAATTATTCAGCAGCAAACCTTGTTCCCAGCTCAGCCAGCAGGAAAGCGAGGAGATGTTTAGGCTGACGATGCAACCTGTAAAGAGCATGAAGAACAGGTTCATATGAAAGACTTTCACACACTCCAAAAATACAGTGTGTGTGTCTGTGTGCCTTACAGTTTACAGATGTCTGTGAAGTTGACGAATGAGGTTTTTTTGGTTCCAACTCGGACCACCTGCGGAGGCTTCATCACAAACTTCCTCTTCTCTCCGGCCACCATGTCTGGATTCTTCTCCCTCATGATGTTGAAGACTCTGTTTAGAAGCTGAGAGAGACGGAGATGAGTTACACCAACTCACAGAGGCATTTTCCCATTAATTTGTCCTGCTGTCTGCATAAGCACAGCTGTCGGTGTGTGGGACGCAGATGCTTCCCGGCGGTTAAGAGGTAAAACCAAAGAAAAGCCAAGGATCTCTGTGGTCAGCATTAACTTCAAACGGTCTACCTCATCATAAGTGTAGTCTCTTTCTGTGCCAGCCCAGGCCGGTCCTGTGGAGGAGCTGAAGGAGATGCCATCGCTGTTCTTGCTCTCATCATCTTCCAGAGCTGCAAGAATATGATGCATGTCCTTTAATCCATACAGCTTCTTTTTGTTCCCATTACAGCCCTTGCGTTTTTATCATATCCGAACAATATAGCTTGTGCTAAAATGTTCATATCTGCTAACACAATTTTAATTTTCAAGCAATGGCAGACATTAGGACATTAAACACCCAAAATATCATGATGCAACATACTGTAGTTTTGCCACATATTCTGCTTAATGACTGACATTACCAATAAACTCACCGATACCATCTTATCTTTATTTCAAAAGCGGGAAATAATTGATTTCTACCATCATCTTTTTCCAGTAGCTCCCCCTCCTCAAAGTCAACCTTCTTTTGCCTCTTCTTCTTAGTGGGAAGCACCAGATCCAGACCGTCCTCTTCCACTGGCTCAATTTGCTCCCCTTCAATTTTCAGCTCCTGTTTCAGAACAAGTTCAACATTAAATTTGGTGAATACATCCTAAATCCAGATGAGGAAAAAGAGTGGGCCAATTTGGCACTGTAAAATTATAATGCAAATGATAAAACCGATAAGGAGGGAAGTTACTGGGGAAAACCTGACCTTTAGTCCTTCTTCTACTTCACTTTCAAATACTTTCTTGGGTTTCTTCTTCTTTTTCTTCTGGTTGAAGAAGTTCAGGTCATTCAAATCATCAGACATTTCTGGAGAGGAGAAAACAATTGATCCCAAAATGTTTTTATTAGCCTACTGCTAATTAAACGGAAAAGCAAAGTGTCATATCCATGAACAACAATTTCAAGTAACAACCCCTTTGCTGTCATTAGCACCTTTCTTTTTGCCTTCATCTTCATCAGGATCCATCTCCCTGTCGTCGCCAAATTCTGGCTCTGCCTCCTTGGCTTCCACCTCTTTGGCCTCTTCTCCTCCCATGCCTTCTCCTCCTTCTTCATCCAGCATGAAAGGCTTCTTCTTCTTCTTTTTCTTCTTGGTCATGTTGGGATCAAAAATCATCTGAAAAGAGAGAGAAGAAAAAGATTTACATCTGCTGAAAAGAGCATGACACGCTGGTTAACACTAATCTCAGATTCAATTAATCAAAAAACGTAAAATCCATAGAAGAAACAGTGGTTTGTTTCAAACATCTTGTTTATGCATGATCTCCCCAATTACATACCATTTCCCTAAAAACACATTTTCGCTTTCTATTCACTAAGGTATCAATTGATTTGGATACAAATTACTATTTAATAATGGTTTCATCTATATGCGAAGAAATTGCCATCAAATTTCAGATGCTGATAAGGGTCATGCTGTACATCATTCGATTGGAAATCTAGCAAACTGAGCCATATGTCTCCCCTGTCCCGTCTTATCTTTCTTTAAAACATCTAACAAAAATGTATGGTAGGTATGATAGCAATACTGGCCCTAAAAAAAAAAGACATGCAAGCTGCTGTCTTAGAGAAATGTTGCAACTCTGTGAAACAGTGAGCTTTCAGTACGACATGTACTTCCTTATCGATAAAAATATATACTGTGAACCACTATTATTAGTCTCTTTTCAGATACATTGTGTCGTTTACTGTCAAAAAGCCGGTGTTTCTCGTGAACATTTATTATCACAGCTTTGTTTTGATCCAAATTCTACTTCTATCTGGTATAAATGTCAAGCTAATTCTCCATAGCCTGTTTTTGCTAACAGAGGCACTAACGGTTACAGACGCAATTAACAAACGTTAACCGCGAAGTTTGAGTCGTCGAGCCGCGGAGACTCGGCAAATTCATAAGCCAACGTCACTGTAACTATTTGACATGTAATTATAGTCCGTAGTACAGCGATACAATAGCTGATTCCTCGTAAATCCAACGAGGCGGGCGGCTATTAGCCCGGCCACAGCCATGTGAGCTGCTGCGGACAGGGAGGAGAACAGCGGTGCGGAGGCCCACTCATCCTCAATGCCAAAGCAGCTCAAGCGTTCATCTAAAAACAACCGGAAACTGTACACACAATGGCGGCTGAAACAGCAAGCAACGCGGGAAGACTTACCTCGTCTCCTGACATGTTTGCTGGTTGACAAAGACCGAAATCTGACAACTTTTATCCCTCCTTTAATCGCACACCTTTTCGCCGAAAATTTCTTGCATCAGCGATGAACTGCACTGCCCATGCGCGAGGTCGCCCAATCCTGACGCAATTGCTTTGCGACGACGCTTTAAGATTAGTGGTATTCAAGACCAAACCCTGACTAAAAAAACAGTTGAAAACAGGTTTCAAAAAGATTCTCAGAAATGTTGTGTTAACTTGTCGTAATGCTATTAAAGGACCAACTAAATATCTTATTGTAGTTTTTTGGACTTGTCAGTGTGGCTTGATGTTTTTCCACATCCAAATTCAATGAAGTCTGTGAAATGCTGCCTTTTTTTAAGTAATAAAAATCAGAAAAGCTCGAAGGTTAAGTAAAACACTGAACATATTGAGTGTTGATATTTATTGCTATATTCTGTCATTATATAGAACAACTGTTCTTAGACATAGAGAGCTGTCTTTAAGGCTCACTGTGCCATTTGCCAAAATATTATATTCCTCACTAACTTTGGAAATGAACCCCAATGACTTAAAACTGCTTTTACACAAGCTGTATATATTAACACAGTATGTAGGTATTCTATCATAAGTGGTTTTATAGTTTTTGCATAAACTCAAGTAAAGTTCCTTCAGTTTTAATCTATCTTATCTCTTCAACAGTTATTAATCTATAATAAAATGTTATTTGACATATTTAGTGAACAGTGGGAAAGATAAAGCTTCCACTACAGCAAAAGAATTGAAAACCCTTTTAATGATTTTGCAAATAATATCTCATCAGGATAAATAAAACATAGAAATGCAAACATGCTTGTCCACCTGTCCGGGTGTTAAGTCCTTTCTCTATGTAAAAAACATACATCATGACTTTAATAAACTAAAAGAATGAACTCTTTAAACTCCGAAATGCTGATGTTGTAGATTGACTGTAATCTATTTCTCATAAACCACCATCTCCATCTTGATGCAGTTAATAAGTCGTGACAATAGTTTATTATTACTATTTTTTTTTAACAATATACAATTTGAAACAAAACCGTTATGAGAAGGATCAAAACAGACAGGGCAGGATGAAAGTGTCAGGTTGGATATCTCTCTTTCTAACCGTGCACTTTTATCTGTATTGTGGCTTCCCATTGTTGCATGCTTCACACAACCTAAAACTGAACCTCTCGCCGACAGCAGAGGTACAGTTTGTGAGAAAAAAAAGCACACAATTTGGATATTTACACAAAATAACAAAAAAGAACCACTGGTGAGGGCACTTTTTGAGGGAAAGTCACTGAAATGATGAAAGCAGGGAAAAGGTCAAGCTAAGGGAGAGGGAAGGGCAAAGCACACAGCTGGAAAATAAGACGTTAGGACTCTGCCAGCTCTGTAGATTATTCACCTCGTGCATGCTTCAATTGCCAAAATATTGGGTTGTTATTTTTCAGGAAAAGAAAAAAAAACAAATCAGCAACTCAAACGGCACAAATACAAAGGCTGGAAATACAAGTTTAAGGATTTAGCTTCCATGAAAATTCCCCCAAATCTAGCGATGCCAACAACATCTGGAAATTGCTGGAGAGTTCAGACATAAACTCTGCTGCCACTGAAATGTTCCTGCCTGGTACAACGACCTGGAAGTGCTAGCACTATATTGAAACTGGGGGTAAAAATAATTAAGTGACTTCGCAAAGGTACAATGACAGAGCTTCAATATAAAAGACCCCGACTGGCTCGTGTGCGCAGAGCACCCACGGGTCAGCAGATTTGTGTAAGGGACAAGTAATGAAAGACTACAGCATTGACGCTTATTCTTAGTGTTACACAAAGTAGACAGTCAACTCTCCTCAGACACACAAAAACACTCAACATCCCAGAAGTCCATTCGTCCCCCTAGTTTCTACTTCTTCTTCCCTCTCTGATGCAGGTATGATGGGGCAGATGCTGCTTTTACATGGCTTCCGCCCAGCGCTGCAGGTCATCCATGTCGTCCTCGTCCTCCTCTTTATTGGCTATGAGGAGGAGGTGAAACGAGACAAATAAGAGCTATTAAACCCGTCAAACCAGCTGCAGTCAAAGTTCTGAGGTAGATAATTCTTAAAGGACCCTTACCAGGTCTGGAAGGTAATGAAGTAGAAGGCACGTTGGGCAGGGGGACAGTCTCTGGCCCCCCGATCTCCAGCAGGTTTTTGTCCAGCTCTTCCTGTTCCAGCTCATCCAGCTCCGCCAGCAGCTCATCCTGAGAGAGAAAATACAATCAGCAACTTGGGTGAGTGAACACCAACACGAATCTTAAGGTTGTAAACAAAATACAGATGTATCTTTATTTTTTTTCCAAAATCTTGGTGGCCTGGAATCTAAATACCAACAGAAGAAAACATCTGACTTCCAGCTAAACCCAAATTCTTAAAGTCACTTGACTGTGAGTTTGAGAAGGAGTGTATTCAGAGCAGGCCAAATTGTCCCAGTGACTAAACACTGTTAGCTGAGGAGGGCAGGCTATGAATAAGAGACCATTCAAAACTAAGGCCGATTGAACAGGCGGAGTAATGACACAAGAAACTCTGAGGTGGGCTGACTGTCGTGGACTGCTGTGTCATAAAAAGGGTTGTTCAAAGGTCTGAGACTGAACTGTGAACTCCCAGATCAACAGTCACTACCACTCCTCAGCCCCTTTTCTATGACCAATGAATCTAAAAAAAGCTCACCTAATGACTCATTTATTCCATGTTTAGACAAGATAAATATTTGTTTTATTCATTAAAAACAAGTAAATAAATAAAAACACGTCGGTGCAGCGATCCAAAAATGGGATTTAAAGCAGATATCAAAGCTGGACTGCTCAGATGTAGAAAACACAATGACAAATGTCTTCCGACTGCCTGAATAGCTTCACCCACCTCGTCAAACTCCTCTCCAAAGCCAACAGGTTTAGAGATAGCATCAGAGATTTCCTGAGCCAGCTCCTGCTGCTCTGTAATGTCCTGCATCAGGTCGTCCACCTTGTCGATGTCCCTGAAACAGCCATCAAAAATAGTGATTTCCCAAACTTAAAAAAACTGAGGTATGAGCCATGACACAAAGAAGTCTCATATCAAAAGATTGCAGGTTGAAAATATCTGCCACGCTTGTTTGATTTCAAACATTATTTTGAGCTGGTCAGATTCCTGATCCATGACTGGCTGCTGGTCCTTACATGTTTTCATGGGCAGACTTCATGGCTTTGGCAGCGAAGCCCATGTTCTTGAGCACTTCCGTGTTGGTATTGGCGTTCTCCAGAGCCTCCCTCTGGAACTCGATGGTTGACAGCGTGCCATCAATCTGGGCCAGTTGCTTCTCGTACCTCTTCTTTCTTTTCAAAGCCTGCAACGCCGCTGAGGGGAGAAAAGGAGCCAAGCACTATAAATACTATAATTTAACGATTAAAAGGCTGGAACGATAAAAATGTTATAACAGAAAAATACAATCAAATAAATGATATGATATATTCCTAATTGGACTTGACTGGGATGTGGATTTGTTTTGCTCTTTGACAGGTGTTTTACAGCGTTGTCTGCATTACTAATCTCTATTTATGGTTAAAAAAACAAACAGTCATCTTTAAAAAACAATACACCCAAACAGGACACGTTAGGAGCAACAGGTCCTCTTTTTGTCAGCTAAAGGGGTTTCACTTCTTTTTGTCATTTCAAACTAACTGGAGGGAAGTATTTCCCAGGTGTTTCACCACTGTCCAAAGTATAGGTACATTAGGAGCAGAAACAACCCAAAAACTCCCATCGAACGGGGACAAAACGTCCAGATGCCCTTTATCTGCTTTTAATCCGCAAGGATGATCAGGGCATGGATGAATAAAAGTCTACACAGTACAGTTAAATATAGCTGCTGCTGTGGGTAGAAAGAAAAAAACTGCATAGTCCAATGACCACAACCTCAGCGTCCAGTGTGTCATACTAGGTTCAGCCGTTTTACCAACTTTTCTGCGGCCGAAGCAGGAAACGGTCACCCTAAAGCAAATGTGTCCCAAAGCATCTGAGTTAACACAATACTTTTTTCTTTATTCCAGAGAGCACCTGCTGTTTAAGACAATCTATATCAAGACACATGAATATTTTTGAACTAAAGAAACTGCTGTTATACTGTATCAGAGGTGGTCAGTGAGAAAAAATAAGTGGAACATTTCTTTTAGCATCACCTAAAGGGATAAAGTGAGTTTGTTTCTCTGTCTGAGGGGTCAGCCATTTCAGTTTAGACAATTTATTCATCTATTTTTTCTACACACCGAGGGATACACTGGATTTCCTTTTACAAGGTGCAAAATCTGGCCTCCTCTGACAGCTCAACCCTTGTCCTGTCAGTACATTTACAGCCAGTCTGTCAAGAGGATGTGCGCCACACTGAACTAACCAACTAACTTTCCTCACCCAAAAATCAGAAACAACACGATATGTTTTGGGGAAAGAGTACAATAATGTTTTCTTCGTCAAAATAAGTTAATAAAACCCAGTAATCATATACAAATCTGGGCATGCCCACCTATCTTGGGTGGCAACCACTGGACGTGATAAACGGCTGCCAACAGTTACGACAGCTCGGGAAACTTAGCCAACTCAGCTAACCTGCGAGCTAACGTTTGGCTTTTGATGGTTGACCTGATATTTCCAGACGCGTCTGACGCGAAACAGAGGAGAACGACGCCCCCATATCTCACCTCTTTTGTTTTTCGTGCCGTTTTTCTTCGCGATTTGCAGCTCCTGTTCGATTTTTTTCTCTAAAAATTCCTGTTTTTTCGTTAGCATCTCCTCCGTCTCTCGGAGTTTCTGGATCGCCTCCTGTGGACTCGGTCCTTTCCCACCCTTTCCTCCCCCTCCAAATATCTTGCCAAACAATGACATGGTTAAAATAATACAAACCCTTTTCTATATAAGTAATAGCCAAAACAAACCAATTGGGAATTAAAGCTTGTCCTAAGCAACCCCGCTGCTGCGCTAGCCCGACAGCCCTTCCTAGCCTAAACCTGGAAGGATTGTTGATGTTTTTCTACTTCCTGGATAAGGCCCAATGACGCCAGTTGCGAGACGGCGGTGGGCGTTGCCTTTTTTTTAACGTTTGTCTCCATCTGTTGGACATCTGCCGCAACTGCAACCCAAATAAACGATTTCAACACGTGCAGTGTTCTCTTTAACGCGAGGACACCTGGAACTGAACTTAGGTAGGAAATTTTAACAGTCCTACGAAGCAACTCTAAAGAAAGACACATTGATGAGAAGCAACAATTTGCTGGGACTGACTTGACTTCCAATCCAACATTGCTTTCAAACACATCCTCGCAACAATCTCATTCAATGTCATTCTTATCTTCATGACTAGTGTCTTTAACAAAGGGGCAGCAACTTGACCCCTTCTTTTTCTTTCAGGGAATGCTTGTGCTATACTATATTTCTGTATCTAAATAAAACTAAACCTTATTCATGTCATCAATACACAAACCCTTAAAGGTTCACTTAGTTAAAACATCTTTGCCCTTGATTTCTTGAGACCACATAAATGAAAGAATACAACTTTATATGGTTTTACTAGGAGCATGATTAAATCTTCAGATTTTTCCTCTTATCTCACACCAAAACCGAATATGGAAAAAGTCTGAGAGGAAACGAAGTTGGGGGTTTATGTATTTTTAATTCAGTATGATGCTACATGACCCATGGTGGTTGTTCAGTTACTTCCTTTCTTTACTACAGTATGTTAATAACTTTGCCAGTTGTCATTTTGAGCATTTTATGTACATATAAAAGAGTATCCAATGACTGTGTGACTGCATGGTTGTGACTTTCTGGTCAGGCGTGATCTGAAGCGCTGATGCCTTTTTTTCTTTTCTTAAATGTAGTGCGTTTTCATAGGTCAGCCCTCATTTCTACTCCCAGAGCTCCTCAGGCAACGAAAAAAAGGACGTTTCTTTGACTGTTTTTTTTTTTTTTTAACAACCGAGTGTGCAGAGATGGTCATGTGATAGGCAACACAATACAGCGGTTTTCTCACAACCACCACAGCAGTGAGGCAAACAGAGGGAAAAGATGGTCAAACGGAAATAAAACATAACAAACTGAAGTCCTGGTAAAAACTAATGAAGACTCAAGGTGGTCCCTTCTTCAAATACAGCTTTTTTTGTTTTGTAGTTGTGTGTTTTGTTATATAATTCCAAACACTCAAAAGTAAAATAATAATCATAATGAATCCAGGCCAGTTCATGCAGGCTGAGGAGTGCACAGTGGAATATTATGCAATTGAATAATATAAATAACAGAAGCATTTTGACTATGTGGGGATACAGGTGAAACCAAAATAAACAGCAAGAGGACACCAAATAAATCCTCTGTGGGCAAAATGTTATATACCGTTAATGCAACTGTAAAAGTGTGTTTGATGGGCAAGTTTAGTTTTTTCTGTGTGTTATAATAGAACTCAAGCTTTGTTTTTGTTGTTTTTTAAATATAACTTCAATGTGCAACCCTTAATCTTGATCTGAGTTTTAATATTATTGACAGCCTATAATGGAATACTGACATTAGATTCCTTGTTCTGGACTGCACCTTTAAGTTTTAATCTTGCTTTCCAAAAATACCCCCTATTCTTTTTTTTATTTTTTCGTTACAGGAACTCTGCTCAGTTGATTTTTTTTAAAGCGGCCCTCTTTTGCCCTAGAACCGACTGTGATTACCCCGTTTGTGTTCTCCTCACTTTCAAAACATCCACAGTCAGTCACATCGGCACTCCCGGAGGAGGCAAAGAAAGGAAAAAAACAAAACAAACAAAACACATGCATGCAGCTTCTTCCATATATATATATATATATGTGTGTGTGTGTGTGTGTGTGTGTGTGTTTGAAACCACAAACTGTTAAGTAGATAGTACATTAAGTTTGACTTTAGAAAAAAGCTTTCACTGATCAGCTGTGTTCACCTCTCCTTGTACATTTCAGTTATAAATGGAAGAGATCAGAAGTTAGAGAGAGCATGAGTGAAGAACTTTAGAACTTAAAAATCAATAAAAGACTTTAAACATTCAGCCAGTGTGAAGCCACTTCCACACACCACTAATTATTACCTGTGCAAGTTGGGGAAGGTCATGGAAGAAGGAGAGATGGACGGAAAGAACGGATCAAACACGGTGACTATTTCACAGAAAAAAAAAAAGAAATGGAAAAAAAAGCAGCAGAAAAAAAGCTGGACCTTGGACAAAAACGCTCACACTCGTGGTTTCACTTGGGATTGCCTTCCTTTGTTTTCTTTTAACACTTTGCATTATTTTCCATCCAAACACACCATCAGGATACATTGCCTTAACTGCTAAAGAAAACAAGGGAACAGATCAACATAAACCCAGAAGACATCCCCGTTGCCGTCATTAACACGCGTCGTGCCGAGCACGCTGTCCGTCCGCCCGTCTGTCACTGTGCTCTGTCCGTCTGTCTCACAGGACCAACTTGCCAATGATGGCTCCGATCACAAAGAAGAGCAAGCAGAGCGCCAGGACGCGGGCGCTCAGGCCTTCGTCCCTCATGGCTGTGGTGGCCATGGTGTTAGAGGTGTGAGGGGCAGCCCCTGATGTCACCTTTCTCTTCCGCGGACCATCATCCTCCTGTGAGGAAAAAGAGCAGTGAAGAAAAGCAGAGAGGCTCAGCGAACAAGCTCGCTGTTGCTTTAAAATATGCAGAAAAAGACAAGGTGGCGTTCGGGACATCGGTCCCACAACATGAATAGAAGAGTGAGTGACAACTGCGCAAACACACAACACATCACAAAAAAATTCTAAAACCCCATTAAGATAATAAAAAAGAAAAAAAGAAAAAAAAACATATCAAACGGAAAATCAGTGGCAGCCAGCTGAAAGCAACGACCAGCAGTGGACTGTTATGGTCCAGAACTGAATAGAAGTCCCACCAGGCTCTCTCTGAGTAACTCTCATAACTGAACAATTATTACAAAAACTGCACAATGTTTACAGAGCAAAATATCAACATCCATACATTTTACCTGATCATTCTTTTCCTACGGAGAGTAATTTAATCCATGAAAATGAACTACCACACCTCCATCCACTAATTCTTCCCACTTGCAATGAAATAGAAAACTCTGCGTGTGCCAAATCTTTCTGGGGCATGTGCTCAAAAACATGTTTGATGTGATTAAAATAAATAAATTACAGCCCAGCAAAGACAGTTTTCCATTCACCAATCATATAGAGGAAAACGATGAGGCGAGCTTAAGACAGGTTGACCTCAGACGTTTCTGCTACTTTCTCATACGATGAAGAGTCACAGGGCTGAACAGGATTTAAACTAATGTCAGACAAACTTACTAAAGTATCATATTTCAGATTATTCAGATATGTATGGGTTGAAGAAAAAAAAGAAAAGAAAACTACACCTGTCTAATCTGCACAACAGAAGGAAGTCAAAACAAGCCAAAGAAAAAGCAAAATGACACAGGCTCTTTCTTCTTTTTTAGTACGTCTCACCCTCATCTGTTTGTTTTCTTCCCGTAGCCTATGCACCTCCCCCTGAAGCCGCTTGCACTCCTCCATGATCTTCTTGCCCTCTCCGTCGTCCAGCGAGGCACTGGCCGACTTGGGCAGCACAGAGTGTTCAGTCTTAACAGAGGAAGACACAGTTTTGTTGCTTTCGCTCTCATGCTGTGGAGAAAGAATCAAGGTGGGGGTGGTTGGTGGGATGAGCACAAAGGAGGAGGAATGATGACACATAGATTTATGTGGCAGGGAGGGAGATGAGAGTACACAAATATATCATAAATGAACAAATAAACCATGTAATGGACGTCAAAGTGATGCATTTGGATGGATATAAGAATAACACCAAATGGAAAAAGATACATTACTGAAATAAACCATTCAACAATTAGCTAATATACAAAGTGTAACAACAATGTGCCTGCAAACCAAGATTACATAACAACATATGTCTATTACACTGTTTAACTACAATTGACACAAATACTTGCAGTGACACAATTAAGTCCAATTTATGGTAGAGATTAACTTATACTTACAGTTTTGTCATTTTCTAGAGGCATCTCAAATGAACATCTCAACTTTGAATCCATCAGCTCATCAGGCTTTGCCTCCTTCCACTGTAGACAAGAACATTAAGACAAAATAACTAAAAGATCACAAATGTGACGTGTTTTTATCACGGTGGGACAAAATGTAGGTGAAATTTTAAAGGGTTAGTCTATTTCTTAAAGTGAGACACTACTATGAAAGCTATGACTCAATACATTATCACATGCTCATAATGACCATTTATATTTCAACATTGAATAGATTTAACTTTGATCCAAATTTATTTAGATTTCAGAAATATAATGTACTAAATAAAACAGCCAAAATAAATCCTGTGCTCAGAAACTTACAACTCCTTCCATATCAGTCATGTCATAAGGAGCCAGCAAGGACTGCACCATGAATTTGTGTTTGCTCTTCTCGTTGGGGTCATAATCAAAAGGCTGCAGCATAACTGAGTGAGACAAAAAAAAAACATCACACGATCACTGCACGATCACAGGATCTGGGAAAAACTTTCTGTATTCATCCAGCATAAATATGTAGATGCCAGTTAGGTGCAACACACAGAGTTGGTTTTAGCTTTATATAAAGTGATAAAGAAAATAAATGTTTCTTACTGCTTTTACTGGCAAAAAATAAAAACGATCAAATATTTTACTTTTTTTTTAAGTTTAGATTTATATAATTGTATCATTGTTAACTAGTTGTCTTCTGCATGACTTCTTAAAGCACAATGTGTCACTGAACTTTTCAGATCCATTACAAAAATGATTACAAACCAGAAACATTGATGGAGGTCCCAGCGTCGATGATGCCACTGTTTGGGCGCACACAGTATCTACGAGGTGCAGTCGTCTTGACTTTGAAACACACATTTCTATCTGTGGGGTTGGTGAGCTTCAAAGTAGCGGTGACAACATCTGTAAACGGTCCTGAAGGGGACACAAAAACCCAGTGACTGAAGGCGCTGTGTGTCTTTACACATTCGTCCTATTACTTTGGATGCCATGTGTGCAATAAGCTTAAGTCGCTGGTTTCATTAACTGCATACAAGAGTGGCATGCCTGAAAGGGTGAGGTTGTCGAGCTTGTAAGGCACCATAACCATTGCAAACATTGCCAATCAAACATGAAAGTGGTGGAAAGAGCAGCAACATGTACCAAAGCATTATTCATGCCCCGCCCTCAATCTCAAACTGGATGCTGCAAAATACATTCCTAAATGACTGTTTAAGCTCTGATATTGATTTTTTCCAGTCAATCATTAATATGTCTTACATAGTTTCTTTCCCATCACACTACTTGAATAACTTGAGCTTGATCATCCAAATGTATACTGGACAAACAACCTCACTGGCTTTTGCTCTGATCTTTCAGACTGAGCATCAGTAGCTGAGTGGGTGTATGCATCTTCCCCTGACTTGGCTTATCTTTGCAGTCGGAGAAAGCTCTACAATAATCAGCGAACAGCTCAGTACTGTACTGATCCCATCAAGCTAGGCAACCACTTGACCCATTTCTACCTCAACAAGACACCCAAAGGCAATTATCTAATAAAACACCGATAATCCATGGCACACTTTCACAATCTGCATTTTCATAATCGGTTCATCTGTATCCAGAAAAGCCGGTAAAGAATTTGCGTTGCATAGCAGCAGAAGCGGTTTGTTAGCTTGTATTAGTGAAATTAGCATGTATTATGGTTCAGTAATGACATTCGGAACGTAGAATATGCTAGAACTGTCAGTTCTCTCAGGGCGTGTGATGACAACATAGTCGGTAAGAATTCGTAAGAAAACGAAAAGAGCGCATAAAGGTGTTTCACATGTTGTCACTATATTGAAACCAAAGTCGAAAAAGATGGTGAGAGAAGTGGAGAAACGGCACGGTGGGCCTGCCCTGACGCTGCAATGACAGCTAGCAGTTTGCCCTGCTAGTTAGATTAGCTAAATGCTGCCGAGCCAGTAAGCTAGTTAGCGTCGTCGCCACAACTGTCGTACTCACAATGCAGACTTCAGCTAACTTCGTTCGTTTTTCTGAAAAACAGCGGTAGCACTAGCCAACGCTTGGCACATAGATACCAACACAATATATCATTAACCACTCCTGCTAGCTACCCAACTCCGGCCCCAACCCTCAGGTTCAGTGTTACCTCTGAATTTCAGTTCGTGTTGTGGCTCTAGCACCAGGACTTGTTCTGGTCTGGCCATGTCCCAGGGCGTCTTCCTGTCGTGACAGCGAGGACAACGATAATGTACCGCTAGTGGCCCGTTGGAAGCGGTTGGCTCCCGAAGAAAACAATCCGGCCCTACCCGTTTATCAACGGGAAGAAGTGAGCTTTACAAATGCACCACCACTCGGACTGACAGGCTGACTGACTGCCACCGACAGCTGCTGGGGGCTAGAGTGCTATTGCTAACTCTGCTAGCAGCGTAGACGAGGGGAGGAGTGACGACGTAATGCTATAGAGGCGGAGCTAGACCAGGAAGTCAGGTGGCGAAAGACGGCAAGCTCAACTCGTGGCAGTGGCACCTAGATGGCACTTCCGGTGGTATCTGCCAGAGGTTGTCGTAAAGTGCCAGAGATTAGTTCATGTTTTTTCTGAAACTGATAATGGTGGAAGCATTTGTTTAAAATGTTATTTAAATAAACAAATCCTTCCTCTCAGAAAAGTGGTACAACTTTGCTTCACGTAAAATATAATTTGTTCAAATATACTTTGTGTATTTCTTTTTTTTTCCGTTGTACATTTCACTTATCAGTTGGATATATAACTATTTGTTTGCGTTTGAAATCATACATTTGTGTACGCTTGTTTATACATTTGTGATTTTTGTTTCAATCTAAATAATCAAAATGAGACACCTCATAGCTGCCATACTTGAAAATACACTTGTTGTGTCTTTCTCACTAGATCATTTCCCATTCAGTTTTTCAATTAAAACCATTTGATAAAAAGTTCAAATGATTTCAATTGTTACATACTGGAGGTTTATTTTCCCAAATTACTTAGAACGTGGTTTATTTCCTGACAAAAGCTCCAGTTATATTCTAGAAAAAATCCTTAATTTAGTTTAATAGGGGACAAGGAAGACTTGAGCCATACAGAAAATTGAATAAAGACTGGGTTTGGATTCTGGAGACTACAATTGGTCAAATACTTCAGAATAAAGGATTTAGAAGATTATAAGTTAATTTATCTAGACTATACTATACAAGGTCCATTTTTTCTTTAAAACACAAATATCTGACTCCTCTGAACACAGCTGATAAATGTGTTCTGAAAGTGAACAAACTCCCACTAAAAGACAGGTTTTGACCATTGATGGTGTTGTCAGTTTAAATCGAAGTGATAAGGTTCATGAAATGTGTTGAACATCTTTACTGCTGATATGGGTACAGTCCACTAAACCAGGAGTCATGCTGTTCACTCGAATGTCGTTTGTGACCTTAGAGATCACATTTTACCTTATAAAAATGATACTCTGAACACTGGACACTTGATGGCAGGTTATTGTGGAGCCCAATCTACCTTTCTGTACAGTCCATGCAAAAAAAGAGATGTCCAAATGAAAAAAAGGTCCTATCCACATGAATTGCAACATAACTCAGGCTGGAATGACATTGAGCCATTGTCGTCAGCTCCACTTGGCGCAGATCTTTCAGTTCCACGGCCCTCATTTCAAATCTGAAACTGTTTCAATAAAATCTTATTTTTCAAGAAGGTGTTCAAGTTGGGTTGGCACAAGTGGCCCTTACACATCTTAGAGAAAAACAATAACCCATTAGTTCTTTTTGTGCACAAGAGAAGAAATTATAAAAATTGAAAAAATTCAAAGAAGAAATCAGATGATTAAGTCACAAGGTGGAAACTGCTAAACTGCTTTGCTGCAGGAGTCTGGAGTAAAAAAAAAAAAAAAAAACTCAAATCCCAGTGCTTTTTCAAGCTGTAACATTCAGTAAGATGCAAGTGTCATAGAGATGAGCTGTACGCACTTTTATACACATCACCAAATTTCAGCCCAATATATTTGGCATCTCTGAAAATTTGTTTTTCTACGGTAACACTGAATAAAATAAATAGCTTAATATATCCTTTAAAAAAAACAAATTTGTTAAATGTACTCCGCAGATTGATACTGGATTTGTAAATTTTTTCCTTATCATTTTTCCTTTAGATACTTTTAACCACACTGTGGAGCAGCAAACCAGAGCGCTCTCCAGTCAGGAATAGACCAAACAAATGCAATTTTTGTTCCATTAAACATATCTTAAGAGGAAATGACGGGTAAACGAACAGGAAGCTTCACTTCCTCTAGCATGGATTTACAACATCTCTTCCGACAAAATAAAATTTATGAATTAGTTTTCAAAAGTGAAAAAAATGCAGCCAATGACAGAAGGTAGTGTGTCCCGTCTGCGGGTTCAATTCCAAACTGCCAGACCTGTCTGCCTCAGACAAAAAAAAATTCAATTTGTAGAGCTTTTTAAAAAAGTCGAGACCATAAATTGCTATTAGGATCATGAGTTGGGAGATGTCAATAACTTGCAGACTCCCTCTCTTAGAGAGGCATTAAGAACACCCCATGGCCCTTCTCATCAGAAAAAAGGAACTCCATTTCTTTTTAGGCAGATTTTTGGGCATTTTTTTTTACTTTTAGCAGCGAGAATATTTTTCGAGACTGGAAAAAAAATGTGTATCCGTCACCTTGTGTGCGATTCCTCCAAAGGTTCTTTGCAGAGGACAACGTAGGAAAACAAAAGAAACCTGAACACAACGTCAGTTGAAAGGATTTAAGTTATAGCAATACGCACACTATCAAGTGTACAATTTGTCAAGGTTCATTTGATTCTAATAAAATACTTTTTTTAAAACCCATATACATTTCATATATTTATCTTTTTGGGGTATATGGATCAAAAAATAGACATTTAAATCATAACGAGAAAATGGGAAGGACAGGGGAAGAGAAATTAAACTACAAAAGCTACAAATGGTTGCCTGCTATCTTCAAGGAAGTAGAGCGAGGGCAGAGGAAAGAGCAAGATAGAGAAACAGAGGGAGTAATAAAGAAAGTGAAGGAGGAAGCAAGGGAGGCAGGAAGTTAGGGAGGGGGGATTGGCCAAGCTATACAGCGCAGTATGACACCCACTTTAGCTCATTACACACGTACAGTCGTGATCAAGGCACAGGGATCTTCTAAAAGTTTTTTTTTTTCGATAAAGTTGTACAAAATAATACATTTTACAGTCTGTACAAGAATAATAGTTCAGCAGTAAAGTAAAGACAAACATACAAAGGAGCAAGGGGTCAGGGGGGGAGATGGAGGAATAATAGGGGAGGAACAGTAGGGAGATACGAGCAGGTTGTTTAACCACTTGAATACAAAAATTAATATTAATAATAGTAATAATTCTGGTTGCTGTCGTCATCTTTTTCATAGTCCAGGATTATTATATTTAATTTTCTCCAAGAACAAATAAACACCGCCAGGAGAATGCAAATGGAAAGGTGGCGCCAGGAGGGAAGGAGGCAAGAGAGGAAAATGACAGGGGGCGGGGACGAAGGTGGAGAGTGAGCAAAGGTGTCAGACATGGAAAAAGGCAGAGAATGACAGAGTAAAGATAAAGAAAGAGCGCACAAGGGCACAATGGCACAAAGGTCTACACAGACAAAAACAGCTGTGGAGACAGTAAAACAGGATGAAAGTTCTCTTTAACTTATATGGTACTGTACTGTAGAAGGATGCTTTCGTCCTCCATTTAAATTCCATAAAAGTTGGCATTTTTGTTTCTTTTTTTTGTGTGTGTGTTTTAAATTCAATATATCCTCCTCACATTTTGCTCCGTTACCAACAAGGCAGAGTCGGGTGGCAAAGCAGTTCTGTGGAGAAGTCGTTGTCGTCCCTGTCTAATATTTCCAAACTTCGTCAGAGAAATTCACAGAGTCACGTGTCCATTTTTTTTTGTGTGTTTTTGTTTAGTTTTTTTTTTAGCCCTGCCCACCCTGAAGTCTCACAAACACACACACACACCCACGGTCTGTTGAGTTGGTGGTAACGCTGCTCCTTGGGGCTCGGCTGAACAGCCACTGGATCCAGTTAATCTCAAAGCCCTTCGGGATAATTTAGTGGGCACCTCGACGAGCCTGCTGCTTGTCGGCAGAGCAGAACGCCTCCAGGTGCACTCTGGTCATGCTGTCCAACAATAAGCAGGTGTGATACTTTTCTGTGCAAGAGAGCCGGTGGTCGGGTCTAAACATGTCTGCAAATGATACGAAGGTTTGGTGAACACATTTCAAGTTGAGTCCTGAGCACAGTGCTTGTGTTTTTCTTTTTTTTTTTTTTTTTTTTTTTTTTCGTGTGTTAGATACAGTGTTCAGCTGATCAGTCGTGACACATTTATTCTCTTTTTGCAGTAATTCAACAGTTATCTCTTTTTATGTTGCATTGAAGTTTTAGCTCTCTTGGTTTTTCATCGACAAGGGAGAGGGAAAAAATAAGAAAAAAAGTCACACAATCTCAACCGCAGGAAACCCGGTCCAGATGGGGCCACTCTGGGCTCTCAGAAAGATGAAGGTAACATGTATGGGAGACATTACATGATGTCAAGGTCAAGAGCTTGGAATACGCTGAGGGTGTAGATCTGCAGATCAGAGTCTGTTTGTGTGTGAGCCCCTGAAGCCCCTTCATCTTCATCGGGCATAGAGTTTGCATCAGGGGCAGTTCTGGGTTCAGGCTGTGTCTGCTGAAAGTGTGTCTGTGTGTGTGTGTGCGCATGTGTGTATGTTGGTGTGCATTTCGGCCCCTGCTCTGTCGCGGGAGGTCACACACGTCCGGGTTCAGTGTTTTTTCTGGAGTCCGATCTGCGTTGGGGTTTTTGGTGAGCTCCTTTCCTCTCCCATCACAACAGCTCGTACTGCCGCAGGTGCATCCGCTGGATGATGTCTCGACAGTCATTGAAGACGCGGCGGATGTTTTCCGTGTCCACGGCACAGGTGAAGTGGGGGTAACAATAGTGCCTGCCGTCCCCGCTTGCCGTGCTGATCCTCTGTTGAAGGAAAAAGGAAACAAAGATGTTCGCAGTGTGCTCTGAAACCCAAAGGCGGCTACATTGGTTTCTTCGTTTCTTCTTATTCCATATTTAGTTGATAGAATTACAAAAAGTCATGCCTCTTCACTTACCAGGAATTCATCTCTTATGAAGTATTTTGCCCTTGTAACACGAGGATCTTCTCCAGGCTCTGGTGTCGCTGTCACGTGAAACATTGGAAGAAATCAGACCAAACGTACTATAATATAAAAACTGAGTGAATATGAGTACAAATAGATCTCACACAGTGAGTTTCATTCTGATTAGTGAGTGTAAACCGAGTAACATAAAGGTTTGTTAAGGATGACACTTATTATACACCTGGTTTTGCTCCATTAGATTTTGCTCATGTGTTTTAATGGTAGTTCCCCTTCAAATGAAAAGAAACATGCTTTATTTCCTAATGTATTCTGTCTAAAGGAAAGCTTCACCATTTCCAGGAATTTCTAATGCCAAAAACTTGGAAATGGGAAGCACAAAAACAGGGGGGTGGCTTTTAGTCATTACATTATAATCTAAAAGACTGAGAATTAAAAGAGATTGTGAGACAAGCCACTGATGATTTTGAATAACAAATAATCACAAATGACAAATAATTGCTGACAAAACCTCACAAATAGTTCGCTGTGACGTGGAGACAAAACTGCAACAAAGTTAATACTGTTGGTGGTGGCAGAGGGTCAAAGCCCTTCAGGGGTGGATCAAGGTGTGGGGAGGGCTCACCATCATCGGGTGTGAAGTAACGCGCAAATTCAGGGAAGTATTCCTCAATTTTGGATTTTCCTGCCAGCACTTTCTCTGCAAGCAGGTCCTGTTTATTTAGGAACAAAATGACAGAAATGGTCCGCAGCCACCTAAAGAAGAAAAAAGATAGCATGGGTTAAGAGGGAATCATTGTTTAGAGTTAATAACAGCTGTGTTTAGAAATGGTAATACACGTTCAAATCCAGGGGGAAAACTATTTCAAGACTACAACAAAAAACTATTTCAAGACTACAACAAAAAACTATTTCAAGACTACAACAAAAATCTATTTCAGTTAAATGAGAAGAAAACAATCCCATCTTTTTCCAAAACTGAAACAACAGAAAAAGTGTAGCAGAAGTATAATAAAGAAAAAAACAATGTTAGCGAGAAAAGAGAAAAGGTTGCAGACTTGTTATCTGACATGAACCAAAACTGGAATGGATCTGCGGACTGTGGTGCACGTTTTAAAATACCTTGAGAAAAATGTATGTAGTGATGTGGAACTACGTCCAAAGATTAAGAATTAATTAGATTTTTCCACCAAAACTATTGTTCCAAATTGCTTCAAAATTGCAGGTCATCTTTTTTAGTCCTGCTCTTTGTTCTTTTTTTGTTCTAAATACAGAGCTCTTTGAGTTAGCTGCCGTTTTAAGTGAGCCACATAAAAACCACTGGCGCTGGGATGACAACTGATTTGTGATTTGGAGGAAATTAGTGGAAAAATTACGATCAATTAAAACACATTGGTCCCTTATCTTATAATGTTTAAATTTTTTTAGACCAGCAATTTCTTATTTTCACACAAACATAATTCAAATAATAAATACACAAAAATGCTTGTGTGTTGTTGTCAGGCAGACAAATTGTCCTCCTTTACCTGTTGTTCCAGATGTTCTTGAAGAGATTGAGGGCCTCCTGTAAACGGTTGGTCTGATTGTCCTCTCGGATCACCATGTTGTAACTGCTACTGGCCACTACGAAGATGATGGCCGTTACATCTGAGGACAAGGGAGCAACGGAGTTGAATGAGACACGCTGAGAGAAGAAAACTGCGCAAAGCGAGGGCGGCAGAAGTGCAGAGAAATTACCGTTAAAGCACTGAATCCATTTCCGGCGTTCGTCTCTTTGACCGCCGACATCAAACATGCTGTGTGGATCAAAGGAGACAGTGGTGTAAAGATGTAAAACACTGCCATCCCGTGGAGAAAATGATATCAATTTCTTCACTCATTCATTTGTGTATATCCCGAGTCACAGAATCCTACTATGCAAGAAAATGCCACATACAGGGTCAACTAAATGCTTACTTTCATTGATCTTACTTACTGGAAATTAACTTTGTCCACTTGGAATCTTGTCTCAAAGATCCCTGAAGTCAGTACTCTGCACCGAAGCAAATCCTGTCCGGATGACGCAAAAAGTTAGAAATTGATCGAAATACAGGATTTTCAGCCAGACTTATTTTCTAGAATGAAGGGAAACACTTTTGGTTTTTCTTCTTGTTTTTTGTGTTCACTTTTAGGCCTTTTGTAGAAACTTTTGGGGATAAAATGACAACAACAAGATTAACCTTTTACAGGTTGGATAATAACATTAAATCTAATAGGTTATAACATCCCACCAAGGCTGTCGTTTAGATTTAACATAGAAATTCTCCTTCAGCACACTTGTTACTGTACATCTTTCTATTACAACCACACTGCAACTCAGAAAGCATAGCAATAACACGGCAGTAAAATAGAATATAAAAAATAGAATTGATGCACTATTCAATTTGAAATACCTCAGAGGCATCAACACACCTGATCTGACGGAGTGTAGTCACTCTGTTTCACAATGTCGATCTTATCTAGAAAACTGGGGGGGCAGAAACAAGACAGAGACACAGTTATTAACGTCTTGAATAAACAAAGGAGCCACTTGCACAGATTGTGTGACACTGTAGTAAAGATGTTTATTGTAAAGTTGCATCCCCAATGCTCATTCATCTGAATTCAAAGAGAAAAAAAAGACTACAGCATTTTCTCAGTTTTCTGAAACCAAAAGTGATCAGCATGCATGTTTAAAAAGACAATCCTTTGTGAACACACATTTGAGCCACTTTTGCATAATTACTGAGAGATCTTTCGGCTTTTGCAAGACAAAATCCTGAAGTGGACAGTATGTGGCACGTTTAACTTAAAGGTCACATTTACTACTGAAGAATCGTGTTTGCTGTTGTGCATTTAGACTTCAGGGGAGGCATTTCTGAGGCATGAATGGACATGACGCGACTTTGAAACAAAAACAAAAATGAAGCTTGTTCTCCGATCCCATTTAAATAAACAGATCGAGAAGGACAGAGGGACAGAGACGGGATGAAAGCGTAGTGGCGTCTGTCTAACATTACAGAGCAGATTTCAAAAATAGCTCTCTGGCGCCCTGGCCTGCAGCACGGTAACCGTGGAGACCCAACCACAGGCGCTATTAATAGTCTATCAGCTCCCAATCTTGTGCAGCTGGAGTTGCTCCAGAGAGAAGACAGACGGGAGATGGAGAGACGGAAGACGGAGGAGTGAACGAAAGCCAGAGCAGGATGAGTTTGTGTTTTTTGCTGAATGTGTGAGCAAGACGGGGAGGGAACAAAACGGTGGACTGTACCATCTCAACCACCTGAGGGAAACACTTCCTTTTTGAATGATTTTTTTCCCTTTTTAAACTCTTAAAGGCGTAAAGAATTTGCTGGTCAACATGACACACGTTAAATCAACTAAGGGTGATTTAGTGGGGAAAAGCAGCCGAGGACGACAGGCTCGTACTACAGATCTGAGGCAGAGGCATCCTCCTCAAACACCCCCCACCCCCAAACATCCTCTTATCTGGAGATGACTCAGCCTCGGCCATGTTTGCTCCCAAACACTACAAACTGCTGCTGTTACATGACTCCTTAACTATTTTACTGCTTTAGCTTTCGAAACGGTCTCTAGGCCCAACACCGCCGTCAGTCCTGTTGAGAACAGCCTCCAAACCCTCGTGAGAGTGTCGATCATTTGAGTCAATACATCATAACATGTTTAAGACCTCCACCATAAATTAGTCTTGTCTCAACTTGGTTAAATTAGACTGACCTGGTGCATAATTATTGGAATAAATAATATTTTCCACAGATAAAATGTCACACAAAATCTTACACATGCAGTTTTAAATATTTCTGAAAGCAGTTGGTGGGTGTAAAAGGTTTAGTGATACTTAATGGCTGCCACTAGATGCTACTAAAGAGCCAGGCCGTTTCACACGAACCATTTACGACTTAGAACTGAGTTTGTAGCACATCATTCAGATGGGGTGTACCGTACAGTACTATGGTGTCGTTCTCAGGTTGATCAATTAGGCAATTTAAAGTCCACAGCAGGTGGTTAACATTGAAAAAACTGGGTGACAGATGTCTTTACAAAGGATCCAACAATGGTAAAAAAACACAATAAAACCTGCAAATTGCCCACAAGAAAGTTGATGAAGAAAATACCTGTTTCAAGTTTCCTGAGGCAGTTCAATTTACACTGTAGATTTTTTTAAGTTTAGTAAAAAAAATATATAACACCAAGACCCAAAGTACTGTCAAAACACTGAAACCTGCATTCCATATATTGCACATGCAGCCCTGTATGATTCACTCACCGATTAAATTATTCGTTTTATCAAATATTGTGAGACTATAACTTCTGGGAAATTATGACATGTCTCGAAATAACACAAGTATTATGAATGAGGTGGTTATTTAATCCACCAATAATGTAGTTATCCAGTAACTGCATTAATGAACAAGATGCATCAGAACCTGTCTGACTCAGCTCGATTTGATCACATGATCCATCCCTTTTTCAGAAACTAACAGGAATCAGATGGTGCTGGGGGGTGAGTTTCGATGGTCACCAGGGGGTGACGTGTTTGACTCCAGTGAGCCGGTATCGGGCTGAGTTCTTTTGAGATGTGAACTGACCAGCTGTGCTGTGCTCGCTATCTCAGCTGATCATTTCCAGAGGGGGGAAACTCTGTTGTTTTACCCCCTACATCACAGGGTGAAATCCAAGCCCGCTTACCAGAAACAATTTTATGGATTTATGAGCCCAGTCATTATTGACATTTGACAGCCAGATGATTGTCATGAATGGAAATTCCAACTTCTGTGTTCTTAACTTGGACAAAGCCAATCAAATCTGGATAACCGACTCCCTTTTATTGCAAGCTATGACTAATGCTTTCTCAAAAGATTTAACAAAAATCTTTACTGCTATAATGATACAAAGAAGCAACTGATCAAATAGGACATTCCGGGGCCGGTTTTAAAATATGTCTTAGGGTTTCGTGAACAGGTTTCAGGTCTGTCTCCTTAACTTTGTCTACAGCCATAAAGAAAAAAACCACAAACATTCAGTTGTAGCTTAACTGGTTTCTCGAGTCATTATTATGTTAGGCAATCAGTAATGAAAATGATCATGAGTTACACCCTGAAAACCCGTATCATCCATATCATGTGACCACGACTAAAAGTCAGGACATGCATGGCAATTCAGGAAATCCACATTAATTCTGTAAAAAAAAAAAAAAAAAAAAGGAAAAAAAAATTCAGCAGTGTTCAAAAACCAGCTACGGGAGCTGGGGCTATTAGCTCACTACACAAAACAGAGCAAAGTCTGATCTGCAAAGCTGTTGTTGAGCAGCTCTATAAAAGAAAGAAGCCACTAAGAGGAAAAGTTACGCGATTGTGAAGCTCAACGGGAAGACGGACACTTACTACTGTGCACAGTCGATCAGCTGGTACTCGTTGGATCTTTCGTAGCACGCCTGGACTCCTTCGTCCTGCCACAGTGTCTTTGCATGATCATAAAACTCCTGAGAGGGGACAAAGACACAGAAATATGTGAGGGATAGAAGGCCGTAAGGAGGCTCACAAAGCAACGCATTCCGCCATTTTTGTTGAGAATATTTACTGGTGCCATCAAATCCACGGTGAAAAAAAAAAAAAAACATAACACAAAGCTGTCTGATGATAGTGGAAATATTAGTTTACACACACAGGCGTTTTCTTGATCAACAGGTCGACTAACAGCTCGTGCAAATGCACAATCAATCATGGACAGGTCATGTATCCACAAGTAGAGGCGACATTCTGTGTTGACTGTGCACCTATTAAGACCGCCACAGCAGGAAAAATATGACAAGGTTGCCTGCTGTCCATGATGTGTGACTGAGGTCGGTGGGGTATTTGTTGACACCACACGCAGCGTACGTTCTGACTGTGTACATGTATGCCAAAGTAAATAGGGGTGAAGGCAAAGAGAGGCACCTCTCCACGCAGAGCCATCACAGACGGGGATTTAAGTCACTTTTTCTCCTTCATTACAGGGAGGTGAAAAGTCAGTAGAAAAAAAATAAATAAACACGGCAACAACACAGTGACAAAGATCATCCACAGTGTGTGCTGCATATGTCCACCATCCTCATTTATGTTCCTCATAACCTGAAATAGGGGAAGCTCTTTTCTGTGCAAACAATGATTTCTTTAAACGTTGTTTTCCCCCACTGGGCTGTTCGGTGCCCTGCTGAAAGCATTTCTCTTCATAATTCTTTTTCATTTGCATCTGTCCTTGACCCGTAACCATAGTAACAGGAAAGTTGTTTGCATGTGGGAGCAGCTGACCAAGCTTTCAAAAGCCAAAGTAATGCCAGGAATAAGACGCCAAATCAAGAGGGGGTGCCTAAGATGTAAAGCAGGAACAAAAGTGGAGAGAAAGGAAGGAGGAGTTGAAACCATCTTTTCTAAGATGGTCATGCAAAGTGTGAGAGCTCTGTCAAGAAGAAAAGAAAAAGGTCCAGCTTGAACGCCTTACAAGGAAGGTGGAGGAATATCAGGAAGGCACCAGCTAAACGAGTAACTGGAGGTTAACAGTGAGGGGGGAGGGTGTGCTATGCTCACGTCATCCTGCACAAGAGTTACCTGCCGAGAGTGACATCATCAGCTAAGTTGTTGCTAAGCTACAAAAACACAAAACAAAAAAAAACAACCCCATCCATTGATACTGATGCACTTAAACTTTTGAGAAATCTGTCAACTGATTTCATGAAAGCCTAATTTCAGTTTGTTGTTCATAAAAAAATCTCCATGGTTAATTCATGCCTTTAGAACGTTTTAGTGCAGTGGGCTGAAAGTAGCTAAACTTGTGCTCACAAATCCCCGTGTTGAAAAAAAACAGACAGGTGTCAATCACTCTTTAATCCAGGCCATTTGTTCACAAACCCCAAATGAAAGATAACTGCAGACAACACACACAGAGGCTTGTGTGTTGGCACAGATTTCCATCTCTTTACATGATTTGACTGCTCTTTACTGATTGGGGCAATGTTCCCACTAAATTAACTTAACCACTGATAGCATCCTTAAACCTGAGCTGCTCTTCCAGAAGAAAACTTGTGTGGGGGTCAGTAAATCTGATATTGTTGAATCAAGACTAAAAGTACACTAAAACAACAGACACAAAAAAAAAAACAACAACTTATCATTATTTATATAACGTCACATAACAATTGTCAATTCAAGCCAACTCGAATTCATTGTCGTACCATTATATTCAAATTCCAGTTCAGTCAAGTTCAAATGCCTAAAATTCACACGGAGCCAATTATAACAAAAATCTAAAAACAAAGTTTCCCTGCAGATTCCACCGAATCTCCTCTTTGATCCTATTCGCCGTCCTTAGCGTGCCTTTCCAGTGACAAGCTAGATACCACCACTCTCTTTTTTTGACTAGGAAAGTATGCAGTGCTCGTCAAAAACAACTCAACCAACCAAACAGGTAAAGCCAAACAGTCAAATGATGATGAACAGCAACAAACTGTGCAACTCAAAGCGCAGGACAGAATAATCAAACATCAAGCTCCTATAACAGCAGGATGAAGTGAGCTCACAAAAACCAGTGTTAAGAAATAAGTCACGATGTCTGGATGTTTCTGTCCAAATGTTGTGAACCCTTTCATAACTACTGCTTTTTCAATTCACATGCACTGTAATCAATGCCATTATCATTACTCTAATCATAATGACTGTACGGTATGTTTAATCCCTGCCCAAACCCCAGTTCTCTCTCCCTTTTATTCACTTGTTTATTCAGTTCATTCATTGCTTTGTTGACCGGTCAGTAGCTTGCTTAGGTCTGAATAATTGGTTGGTTACTGTTCAATTGATTTATATGATCATTTCGTTCTGTCCCATCTAAAGTCAACGTGTAATGGGGCCCAGGGTTGCTAAGTGGGGCTCCTGCTGATAGATATTGTGTAGAAAGAGGGTTGGGTCTTCGTTATTCTCTGACTTGAAAAAAATAAGTTTAAATGATCTGCTAGGCTCCTCATAAACAAAATCCTTTTTCCAGATCTGGAGGCAGACTTGTTGGTGACCATCATCCTCTGGATTAGCTATTTCCTGTCTGGGTGTAGAGGGGACTGAAAAATGAAAGTAACAGATATAAATACAACTAAAAGCACCGATGACCTCACCTTACCCTGGAGGCCTGCTGTGCGTTCTACTTATAGCATCCCGGTGTCTCTCTCTTCACTTTGTTGCTGAAGGGTTGGGCTCTATGCCGCCCTCGTAAGCGTTATCTACTAATTTAACTATGAACTGATTTATTTATCCATTAAATACACATGTATCAAGGGGAGGGTGAGACAGGAAAAACTATTGTCCTGCACATGTTCCTTGGATTCGACAGCATGTAGTACAGACAGATGCTCACACTAACATTCCTGATATCCAGTGTGAAAAGTTTTTCTATATTCATTTTGCAGTTAAATGTTTATTATTCTTTATAACTGTTTGTTCATTTATGGCTTGAGTCACTGGTGTGTTGCTACTCTATATATGACATCCCTCTCTTGTCACTCACTCCATTGTTAATGTGTCATGATGTCATGGTCTCTCAATGCAGTGTTCCATCTTTATCTACATCACACATTTAAAAGACTTGCTTTGAAAAGAAATCTCATAAGCAGAATTAAGCTACGCCTATAAAGAGATCCCAACGTTGATTAAAGGGAAACCGGTGGCAGCAGCGCTTCTCCTCTGCTGCAGACCGCCACACCTATTCAAACTGGTCCACACTTCTAATCTGCATTTCGAGCGCCGTGATATTTCAGGTCGGACCAACAATGAAAACACTTTTCGGTGTGATGTAATTTTAACACCGGCGAGCAGATGCCTCCACGACCACATTTACAACAGGTGAGTGAATTGCTAACTGAAGAAAGCGCGGTCCCACAGGTGGCTGTGGATCAGCACAGAGCCTCTGCAGTTTATTCTCTTGGCCCAAACAATTAGTAAATGGGAACGCCCCACCGAGAACACAAAACCCACACCGGCAAGACCCGGGGGGGGGTTGGGGGGTTCATTAGTGAACCTCTGTGTAGGTAATGTGGTCCCTTGTTGGAGCTCAGATGTACACCACGGGGAATCCTTGACTTATGGCAAATGTATGATCCCAACAGCCCCGTCCGAGTCAAGAAGGGGGTGAGAGGCGGATCCTAAATCTAACGAGGCTGTTCATCCCCTTGTTTTTGAGGCGGCAAACTGAAAAAATTTGGTAAATGCGCCCGACTCATGCTAAACAACAGGTAAACAGCACACTGAACTTTGCCACACTGACCTGCATCAGAGTCAGAGCCATCAGGTGCCACATAGATCTGACTGATCCCTCACTGATCGCGGTTGTTAGATTCCAGGACCACCCAGGATAAGTGGAAAAACCGCAAAGTAGTGATGCTAAATTTACTTTAATATCTATACATTATTTTAGTAGTTATACAATATTTAAAGTTTTTAAAAGCCCTCTCCACACACTTCTACTCAACATAACACTTTCCCACTGTACCCGTTTCTTTTTAAACACGCCTTAAATGTTCATTTAGCGTTCTCTGGTTGGTCGCTTCCATCAGTCAACCAATCATGTGCTGTGTAAAATCTCATGTCGGCAAGTGGCATCTCAAGAGGCCGCTGTGTATTCATACGCAAGGTAAATGCATTATTTACTCACTACTGGATGGTATTCTTTTGGTTTTACAGTGGAATATTTTTAATATATTTTGTGATGTTCAATGCTAAATTTGTCAAATACATACATTACTGTTCAACACGTGCTACGCATGAGTACGGCAGAAAACGGTAAACCCGCGAAAATACAGCAATACATTAATATTTGTTAAAATAATGCGAAATAGCGAGGGATCCCTGTACCGCTTTCATAAACGGTGTGTACTGTATGACCACCACAGCAACAACAGGACTGCAGAGAAACTTTCCCCTAAAAAGAATATGTCTGGTTTTGTGTGTCTGTGGTATTACTGTGCTACTCACAGATGGAAACTCAAAGTCCTTCTGGTTGACAAAGTTGAGGATGTAGTCGATCCGGTACTGGTTCTGTGGACTCGCCAACTGCACTGGTGGTGTCAGGGTGCTCATGGCTGTTACAATAGTCTGCCACAAAAACACAAACACAGATCAGATACGACAACACACAAGATAGGACTAGTTTCATCTATTTATTTTTGACAAAATCATGGCTTCACATTTAAAATGGTCAACCGACTCCAGTGCAAGGATCTGAAAGCATTGATAAGGAACACAGACACTTACCTCAATAGCCTCTTTAATGTTATTCTTGATGTCTTGAATTTTCTGCTTCTTTTCTCTGCGATAGAAAAGAAAAGGGGACAGTTGTGATGGGGGCTGTTGGTGAGCAGCAGAAACAGCAAAAGATCCATTAGTGACTAACATACAAGAAAAACGACTATAATTCATTTCATCATGAATGGATCAATATGGAAAAGGGGAAAAAAGTGCTACAAATGTTCCTAACATTCTTCAACATGAAGCAAAAGCTATAAAGGAGAAATTTGAGTACAATGCTCATCATGGACAGTATATGACATTCTATCATTTCCGCTGAGGATCCCTAAACCCCACGCTGTCGGGACAAAAGACGAAAATCTGTCCGGCTGATTCATATCTGCCGAAAGAAAACAGGCATAATCCCTTTACTCAAACCCTTTAGTTTTGGTGAACGGTGTAGGCAAGGCATTTTACGGAAAAGGTAGACGAGGATATCCACACTGTGCACAGAGTGCACTGCACACAGTTTGTTTTCGATCTGGAGGGGTAAACAGACCTTCATTGGCACGTGTGGTGGAGAAATTATGTCTGCTGTGAATGATAACTGTGTGTACAAGATATTTGGGACTCTCTGTGACAGAAATGTTTCTAATAAAGGCAACCAGAGAGCCAGCTAGTCTATCTTTCACCTTGAGCCAGCCAGGACAACAGCGCATTGTGTTTACAATAGTTCTACATCAGTGCCGATGGGCGAGATGGAGTTCAGCGTTGGGTGCAGGTACGACTCTTTAGGCGAAAGATGCTGCCACGCAAAGGAAGATAAATGTATGAGACAAATATGCCATATCTAAGCAATAAGTCGATCAATTTAGTTCAATGAGGGCAGTGCAAATTTCTTCATTATTTTAAACAAACTACAGACGCATTCAACCTGCCAAGAAGCAGCCATGCTGCCGTAATGCTATTCACATTTATACATGCAACACGTTGAACGTTTGCTCTCCCGCATGTCTGGCATTAATTTCCCTTCGGAAAAAAAACAACTTTTCAATAAAACAAACCACCTGTGAGGTCAATCTGCACTGACAAACAGAGGGGAGAGAAAAGAGTGAAAAGGAGGGGTAAGACAGAGTTTATCAGGTTAGAAGGGAGATTGAGAAGGCCCTGTTTACATTTTCAACCTGATAGTCATTATAAATCACATGGCTGTGTGTTTACACTCTCCAGTCTTGAGACCGTTTGCTTCTGTGCCTCTCCTTCCCAGTCATTTTTTTCCCCTCTTCTTTTTGTTTCGTGGTTTAGCTGTAACATTATCCGACAGCGCTCAGGCAGACAACAATCTTTGCCGTCATGTATCCTCAAAAGCTACCAGCTTAACAGATTTTGCCCCGTCTTTTATATGTGGTATGAACGACTGTCTTTGTTTGGCTTCAGACAGATTAATACATGCTGGTAAGTTTTTACTGAATGTGCAATAACACAAATCGCTTATTAACTAATGGCACATTTGCATTTTTAAAGAAAAGTTTTGGGAAAAGCGTTGAGGAACAAGCTCTCTACAGCTCATTTTCAAGTTTTGTGGGCATGAGACATATTGTTCAAATTCAGCCGTTTCGACTACTTCAAAGCTCCAATGGTGAGGCTGGAGCCCAGCTGCTTTCCCAAGAACAGCTCAGTAATCATTGTTAAAAGACTCTGCAGGAATCAGCCGGTCGCTCGTTCATTTTCCTAAATTTCACCGGCAGCAGAGACCGTGAGTCTTCCAGGAACAAACCGTTTGACTTCAGCGCACCAATCACCCCGTTCATGTTAAATCTTTCAGTGCAATCATAAACGAACCCAATTTGGTGCATTTATGGAACGCTACACATCTTTAGTGTGGGATGTCTCAATGAGTTAGTTCAAATCTGTAATATTTAGGTTTTCCAGGTCTGCCTGCTTTTCTGCTCAGTAATACACACGCTGAAGACCTACGACAGAGATGGAGAAAGGTCTAGTGACCACAGAATCATCGCAAGACAGCATGCGTCTCATCTCTGAAAAACTGAAAATCATTATGGTACTTTAGTGGTCGGACCCTGTGCCCAACATGGTAACAATCTGCCACTAACTAAAGCGTTGATCAGTTGTTTCAGTTGCTGATACAACAGGTCAACAAGAAAAGGCCCAGTACCCAAATTGTTAAATTGCTATGGAAGCGGTGGATTCAGACATAAACGGATTCCCCTCCAGTGCTTGTATGCTGAGACAAAGAGAGTAGGTCAATTAAATGGCGTGAAAAGTTTGAATCGAAAACATACTGACTGATTCTATTTGATAGTTCCGATTGCCCAGTCACAGCTGGACACGCATGTTGTCGTGCTCAGACGCGCCTGCTTCAAAATGCGTCCTATTCCGAGGCTTATGCCACTGCGTTTGTGTGCGATGTCAGCTGAGCGTTTCTGTCGTGCCAGCAGAGGGGCCTTTAGAACTTGAAAGACACTGACGAAGCCCATTAAGAAGTTCATTAACGGTGTGGAGGGGTTCTCATTAAGAAGGTTATGCTGTGAAACACTGGTGGCAGAAACATGACAGTGTCATGAAAACTCTAAACACTGGTCACACGACCCCAATAAATAACCAGAATATGGATGCTTCTTTTTTTTTTCTTTTTTTTTTGTGTGTTCTGCAAAGTTGCCATCTATGCTTGAGCCAGACTCTAATTTGACCACTATTTCATGAGCCTGAACCTTTTGGTTTAATAGTATTTTGTCTTGAATTGCCGTGCAAACCAATGTCAAAAGCACAACATTGATAATCCTATGGCTGACAGAATAGAAATGTTACAAAATGTGATATAATACATCAGTGCAGAACCCTGAAATACATTATATTTCAAATGGAAGTGAAGAAGAGCTGCAATCTGACGCCATGTTTGGGGGAAATAGTGACGTTACTACACGTTGAATTTCAAATTCAAACAAAAAGCTAAACGAAAGAAAACTGAATGCTCTCAGTTAATCTGAATTTAAAAAACTGCAGTCTGTGCATCTCTTCGCAGAACACGAACAGACGTGTGTATTCAGACTCACTCTCAGAGACACACAAACACACACAGCTCAGTGTTGTGGAGTCACGCACTGGGTCATATGCTCCAGTCCGCCTTAGGTGCTGATTTTCTAATCTAACCTTGCAAAGATGCTTCCGTCCCCGACCAATACATGACCGCCACCAGACTCCTCTTAGAGAAGCAAGGCACAAGTAGGGGATGTGGTTCAGAAACCCAACAGAAGCAAAAAGAGAAAAATCTCCTTTTTACTCATTCTCTTTGCAAAATCATTTTTGGGGGGGAAAAAACATAAAACAGTCTGAAACACTTCAACTGAATTCATTTCAGATGCTTGTTTTTACTGTGGTTCGATTTGAGAGAGAAAAGACAAACTCAGGGACGCAGCTAAACAATTTCAACAGATTTTTCAACAGGCCTGACAGACTTGAAACTTCTTCTGACGTGGGAACTAAAGCTGAAGGAAAACCATCTCTGGCCTCTGGTGAAAAACATTTCCCTTTCCTGGATAATGTTGTTCATGCGCCTGACATCATGGAGCTGAACATTCAAACTATAGTAAAATACTAACTTAAAGGCTCAGCCACAAATTAATTCTGAGCCCGAGGCTGGAGTAACCAAGTCGGCTGCTTATCCCACACTGACACTCGCTTTACATGGGATCGACTCGCTAAAAAACTAAAGCCATCAGTTGTTAACACAGAGGAAGTTAAATATCACTGCATAACTACCTCACTGCAGCAGGCCTCAGTTGTGGAGAAGGCCTCGCTGAAGCCAGCCTGATCCACAACGTGCCGATTTAGAAAACTAGAGGAGTCGCTGCGTGACAGCACGTCTTCTGCTGGTCACTCTGGACTAAATCCATTCCGCTTAGGCGGGTTATATCGAATCACAGAATCCTGAGATGGATCTTTGGCAGATCTGAGGCGCTGCACCTTTGTCACCGTGTGTGGCAATGCCAGCTCTTTGCTACGCTGTTTAACACTGATGTGACTTTGCTATTTCATCCGAAATATGCCGGGCACAGCTCCATTACGGCCGCAGTACATTTGCAGGGGATGCAACGATCAGGTGCGCCGAGCTGATCGTGCACGCGCGTGAGGGAGGAAAAAACTGTGTTTGTAAGAACATGACACAATGTCATCTGTAGGTACGCATGCAGCGGTGCAAGAACTCGTGCATTTTTCCAAAAAGCCTCTCTTTAAAAAGTGCTACGCGCTCAGAGCTGGAGTACAGCTGAGGCCCGCACGTCTTAGGCTGCGTGCAGAAATCTGCAGTGACGTTGCTCAGAAACCTTGTTGACTTGACCAGGTGGAAAAAAGGCCGAGACGAATAATGAAGTCCCCTCACTGTCAACAGAAGCATCACTGACTATTCAGGCCAGACGGAAAGTTTTCCACAGGTCGGAGTGATTATTGATCTCCAGAGAACGAAGCGCCCGCCCTGTAACGTTGAGCGGCGCTCCATCTCAGCTTTGATTCATACTCACTCTGCATTGAAGCCGTTGACATGTAGGATCCTCATCTGTTTGACTATCGTGCTTTTTCCCGACTCACCAGCTCCTGCGGAAAGAGATAGAGATTTTACCGATGAGAGACAGAACGACAGGAATACACGCTCACAAGGCTGGGCTATGGCTAGTAGCTTATCTGAAATACCAGTCCACAGTAGGCCTGCCCGCAGATGTCCCGCTTCCTGTGTGCCGACACAGGCAGTGTACCTGTCTAAAGAGCGCCTAGTCCTGACTGAATATGTTCCGAGTAATGTTTTGGACACGTGGACACAGACAGCGACACTTCTGCACGTCATATCTGGAACAATAACTGGAATATCCCTCACGTTAATGTCTAACATCTGACTTTTCTGAATGGAATGGAATCCTTTTCCGTTGGGTTTTGCCTGCTACTGATGACAGTGCCTGATTGTAAGAGGGGCATCTCTGTCCGCTGCTCCATGGACATGTTCCAGCCCTGGTTTTAGTTTGCATAATGTTGGAAGGCCTTATGTCACCCTTCGGACAGTGGAGCTTTCATCTGAAGTTTCATTGAAGCAGAAAACAGTTTTAAACCAAGCAAGCTTATTATGTGACTTCATGTCTAAAGGAGGAAATTGTGGTGGGCTGTAAACACAGTCAACACTATGGACTGTACTACGGCCGACTGACTGTGGAATACTAGAACATCGTAAGGGAGATGTCCAAGATTCCTTCTGTGACACCACAGCGACCCAATCATGTGGTGAAGGGAGAAGTATTGCCTGCAGTGACCAGAAGAGCAAGGATTTCTTAAGCAGTCCTGGCTGTACAGTCGCCCCTGCTCTCTGAGAACACAAAAAGGCTGCCGACACTGGGACAGCTTAAACCCACGGAACAACCGGGGCCAACCTTTCTCCAAGATCCTGAACCACCAGTCCGCTGCTTAGCGTTCAAAGCTGCCACACCTTTTCGACAAGAAAACACACGAGCTGGTCACCCTGAACACTGAAAATATTTCTTGCACGACGCTTGAACTCCTAAAATAAAATGCACACAAATTCACATTGCAAAACATAATCTGGGCGCAGAACACGGCCCGTTTAGGTTTGGAGCACAGGGCCTGCTGCACGGCCCTGAATGCAGCTCGAACCGAGTGTGTCTGTTTGGCAACAAACTGAAAGTGCCGGCATGCGGCCCTGCTAGCTGGAAGCTGCAGGTCCCCAAACGTGCATCTGCTGTGAAAATGAAACTCACAGCTCTGGCTCCGTAATGTCAAACCTGTTGTATGCACAGCTATGAAAAGAATGAGAAACCCAAAGCTCCGTTTTTATGAGCTGTAGCTTTGTTGAAAAGCCCAACGCCTTTCCATATCTTCTTTTTCTTTTCTTGTTTTTTAACGTCAGCCGTTTGTCATTTCCATAATTTTTACAGTTTTACAACTAAAGTAAAGCTTATAAATTAATGACGGACAGTTGAAAAACTCAATTAATTACACAAAGGATCAAAATATTTTTAGTCGTAATCTTCTGAGTCCAAATGCGAGCTTAGAAAAGCACCACTTAAACACAAACATCAATCCTCAAAAGCCATTTAAGCTAATGCAGAGTTTCTCCAAAGCAAAAGGGAGATATTCCAGATCTTCATATTGATGGCAGCCTATTCTATCCACACACACGTATATACACTGTATGCTTGGATATGGTTTTTCACACTGCACTGCTAAATAAAAGAAAAAATTTAACTGACAGTGGTGCTAATTTGGTGGACTTTAAAATCCTAAAAAACACATTTAAGGACTTGTTTCTCCTCTGCTTAGATGAGATGTGGCAGCGTCAGACAAAGTTCTGACCCATTCGGCTGCTGGCTGAACTTGACGGCTCCAAAGAATTGATGGCGTTGACGGAAATTCCTCGATGATCGTTATCTAAAATCATCAAAGTCGTGAACTCTACGGCAAATGTCAGATTACAGGTTTGATATATGGCACCTTGAGGACAGATAACTGTAGAAGTGTGTCACCAGCCGACCAACATTTGCAAGAGATTGTGCACGCAGGACTTTTTCCTTTAAATTACAGTTACTGCATAAACATTGCTCTTGCATGAGCAGGTTTATCAAGTTCCCTCAGTTATGAGCTGAAAAAAAATCTCAAATTCATTCCAATTATTAGTTTTCCTCAGAACTAGCTACTCCTTAGGCTAAAAGCCCTCTCCTACAATGTGGCAACATCAGGAAATGAACCACAGCACAGGACAATATTTGGCTGAAAGATTTTGGAGGCGAGGTCACTCAATTAGTCCCCAATTTAAAGTTTATGGGACAAACAAGTCATCTTCACGGAGGTTTTGCATTCACACACCGACATTCAGGGCATCCATTCTGATGTGTGCCGTCTTTGCCACGGAGGGGACAGGTTCAGTTGATCCTGTGCCATTTGGTAGATTACATGTTGCTCTATTACTCCGCTTCCAGTTGCTGCACGGCAAGTAAAACACACCCAGCTAACACGGGCCAAAATCCTATTAACAGACTAATGAGATGATGGTTAATCCAGTTAAACTGACAGCCTAATGTAGCGGCCGGTTAAGAATGGTAAACTACAACCGGGTCGGGCGGCAAACATCACCGATGAGCATATTTAAACTTTGTGCACAGGAATGCCACGAGTTTGGCTCTGTTAGATAATTGACAGACATTTGTTTGCCAACCAAACTCACTACAAAAAAAGAAAAGGAAAAAAAGAAAAGAAAAAAGTCCGACATGACAAACGCAAAGAGAAAAAATTTCCATGTTTTGGTTTCAGGTGGCTACTGAAACCAGTCACCTGTCGGCTTTGTTATGACAGAGACACCGATTCCCAGCGTGTATAAAAACTAAACACAGAGTCCAACACACTTTTGCCAGCTGTGCTGAGCTGAAATGGTTGGCGACCGTGTAGTATTCATACATTAAAAATGTGAAGACACTGAGATACAGGTGTCCCGCAGCTCTACAAACGGCACGTTATTTACAAAAAAACGGGAGCCAACTTTAGGGCACACATCATTGTTTCGCTTTTCATGTGGCTCTTGTCCTGCTTTCCTTGAGTCACCACAACTTCCTCCCCAACATAAACACCGGCTTGTCATCAACCCTGTGGCCTCACCGGCAGTAGATGAATAAAATGTTATGATTTGTACACAGAACACCTCAAACCTGTACACCTGCAAAGGGTCATGCATGGAGGGAAAAGGGGAGTTAGGAGCTCTTATGTAATGTCACAGACTCAGCCCACCACCACACACAAACAGCCAAATAATAGTTACACAGATGAGTTTCTCCATTAACTAAGCTCTGCTGTTTGAGTTTAAGTTTAACAGCCATGTTCCATTTAATGGAACCATTTAAAACACACACCCGTGAGCTGGCAGGAGATGTTCAACTACTGTTTGTTTAGACAACTTTTCGCACCTACCGCAGGATAAGGGCCGAATTTAGCACATCTTTCGTGTCGTGTGAGCATTCGCTCCGTTTGGATGGGGCATAGGCGATTGGTGCGTATCGATAAAGCCGGTTTGGATGCATCTCAGTGGCTGCCTGCGTTGTGGCAGGCAACCAGTGGAGCCCGGCGTGTTTCGGTGTTGACAGATGCAGACTATTAAGCTGACAGCAACATGCTGAAAGCCCAGCACAGGGCTGCTTTTTTAGCCTTATGCAATGGCAGGCACACTGTTGACAATGTTCCCCAAAACAACATCCCAGAAGGTTACATGCAGCGAAGGAGGCAGAGCCAACTGGGCAAAGCCAGAGGTCCTGTCCCTAAAGCACAGCAAAACAAAAAAGAAGAAGAAAGAGGCCAAAACTCACCTAAAAGTAGTAGTCTGTGTGTAGCTCTGTATATCTGTTTGTCTTTCTGGAGCTGCTTCTCTATCTTTTTGTTTGCTTCTCTTTGTGCCTTCTCCTCATTTCTCTGGTCTTCGGTCTTACTGTTGCCCAAACAACCCATCTTCCCGCAAGAAAAAAGAAAAAAGGGGGTCCAGGGGAGGAGGAAGAGGAGGTGGAAGAAGAAGTAGTGGAGGGGGTGGGGTTGGGGGGGTGGGGGGTATGTAGAAAGAAAAGTAAATAAATAAATAAAAGAAAATAGTCTAGATCCCTCGTTCAACCCGCGGATTTGGCGACGATGTTACCCACATTTACACCGTAAAACGTTCCGGGCCTGCTCCAAAGACCGATCCGGGGAAAATTATGTGTCCATAAAGCGTACTTTGCTGTCAGAAAAAAGGGCAGGATACTGTTGCTGACGACACGGAGGCCGCCTTCTCAGTTTGCTGAAATCCTGCTCGGGCTTCTTTTATTTTTTTCTTTTTCACTCCTTTTCTGTTCTCTCCCCCCCCCCCACTCCTTCAAATTGCAGCAAAGCGCTGGTTTAGTTCGTCCAAACTCTTGGCCCCCGCGTCGACTGGATGAAAACAACTATAATCCACAGCGTGTCGTTACGAGACCAAAAAAGCGGGATTTCACCTCGAACGGAGGCAGCGCGGAAAGCCTCGTTTGCATCTCCGAAAGCCCGGGTCTCGCGTCTTCACTGCCGCCCGTCACAAGCAGCCCAGCCCGGGGCGTCCGGAAGGCTCGCGCGTGCGGTGGCGCGGTGGCTGCTCCCCACGTCGCCTTTTCGTAATAAACATTTCCATAGGTGTGCACCCAGACCAGGTCTCGATTTTGTTTTGGCGTTTTTTTGTTTTGTTATCTGCCTCCCCGACGGCTGTCTTCGTCGGGGAAACCCGGCGGGACGACAGGAAGGGAAATAATATTTACAGCCGCGCGAGCTACATGTGTGATACCGCCGTCGCTTCCGTCGTCATCCGCGGCTCCTCCTGAGCCTCCGCATCAAAACCGGGCCAAGACGGGCTCCCGACTCACTGCGGCTTTGCTCGTCTCTCCGTCTGGATCGCCAACCGCCTCCGAGCCCGAAACGATCCAGATATCTCCCCCCCTCTCGATTTGTCCTCCTTATTCGCAATGGCAGTTCCCTTTGCTGGGGTTTTTTTTTTCCTCCTCCGGAGGGCCTTCTTCTCCCTGCCCCTCCGCTTTTGTTGCCGAAATGTGTTATCAGCCCCTCACATCACCGACGAGCCTCCAAAAACTGCGCACCGATAGTCTCTTTTTCTCTAAATTCCAGGGTCAGCTCCGATTAATCGCTTCACGGGTGGAGGGGGTGGGGGGGGGGGGGGTTGGGGGTGGGTGGTGGTGGGGGGATCTATTTTTTTTTTAAATGACAAAAGAAAAAGAAAACGTGACCAAGACGTAAGAATCCCTCGAAATGTATCCACGTTTCTTGCAGATGAAAAATCAACCCCCGCTGTCAGGCTCGGCGGGTCCAGCCTCTACTCACGGCCTGTGGGTGTTTACACGGCTACAGTCTTGTCATCCGAACGAACACGAACATATATTTCCCCCCCCTTGAATCCGAAGTGGGTAAACAGGCTACAGGCTTCACACTACATGTGCATTTACATTCAGAAAAATGGGGTTGTTGTAGCAGCACATTCCCACCGCGAAGGCCGCTCCTCTCCCGGCCGCCGGTCGAGGAAGGTGAAAGGCAGCAATGACCAATTTCTTGGAGGTAATTCTTTTTTCTCCCTTTCTCAGCCGCTTTTCTCCCCCCTCCGAGAATAGTAGCCTACATTGAGGAGATAGACGGCGCTGGAGAGACGCGGGGTGGGGCCACACGGCGCTCATTGAACCCTGGGAAGGAAGGACCGAGGGGAGAGGAGGAGAGGAGAGGCCGCCGCGCAGAGTCACGTGGCCGCCGCGCGGGGTCACGTGGCCGGGGTGCGGAGCTACGTCATCGGCGCCGCCGTGCGCAGAAAACGGCGCCCTCTTCGAAGAAAATGCTCCGCAGGAGGGGTGGTAGTCCCGCACAACACTATTAAAACTGTAATAGATTAGGAAAATTCCTAAAACTTGGTTTACGAGGACAGTGCATAGGAAGGTAACATAGATGAGAAAAATACTAATAATTTTGTTAAATCACCTGACAATACCAATTGCACTTTAAACAAATTTAATGAAAACATAAACACTCCCCATTTCTATGAATGAAATGGCGAAGTGAAAATGTCACTTTAATTCAGAGATTTTAGGAAGTTATTAACACAGAAACTATTCATATATCAAGCCATTAATAAACATATGCATTTATTATATATCATATAACTTAAATCAATGTGCATTCATAGGAAAATATAAGAATATTTGGAAGTGGAAGATTAACCTAAATGTGATGGTTTTATTGTTAAGCCGACTACTAATCATAGATTTCAATTAGATTATGAGATTAATTATCAAGGGAGGGGTGTAATCATCATTACTAACAGAATTGAATTTCCCTCAAATTCATCAAACCCTCTTTAAATAGATAGTTACAATATTTACTATATTTTCAAATGTGGCATCAATCATGTTGAGATGTCAATTGATGATGCTTTTCTGAACTAGTTACGATGTAAATATCTTAAAATGTGGATTTCAAGAGCTCCGTTATTGTTGAGTCTTTTAAACACTAGATGGCAGCATTTTTCTAATTATGAACTGCAAGTTCATTTGTTGCCAATTTATCTCATTAGACAACAAAGCTCTTTTTTGACAGCATTAAAAAGAAAACAGAAACGTGTACTAGAAACTAATTCTATTAGATAGTTTTTAAATGAACTGTATCTGTATCGGAACTGTATCCAAAATGTAGTATTGTTTGCACATTTTCCACCTAAAATCTAATTTATAGTCCAGTTTAGATAAAAAATAATTTGTTTAGGCTTTGAAAGTGAACAGTTAGGAAGATTACTGTGTTCATATCTGACTTGAAATGTATTGTGTTTTCAATTTTCAAAAATCCATTTTTTTTTTTTCACTGGCACCAAGTCTCAACAGACATTACTCTAAGCCAGGCAGATCTAAGACCCAAATTTAGAATCAAATGGACATTGGATCGTATTCCTGATATGAAGAGAAATTTCAGTAGTTTCACAACCTTTTTTATAATTTGTCTCATAAATACCTAATCGATACATTCTTGATTTCTTCGCCCATTACCTTTTAAATGTACATCGGGAACCTTTCTTTTGTAAAGTGCTGTGTCATGAAATGTTGACAGCTTGCTCAGCACTTACTCTCATCATAACCAATTCAGATTTACTGCTGCTGAGGAGTAATTGAGCGTATCTTTTAAAATGCTCTCACAGAGGCAGGGGGGTTTATCTACCCACAGGGAATTACCATCTGTAGTAATCAACAGATAAACACACAAGGAATTTATTAGCATAGTTTGATCTTTGAAGGACAGAAACAGTGTGACTATTTTTTATGATTAAATGGAGAATTTATCCCCTAATATTGAATACTGAAATAAAAGAATGACCCCGCTACCTTCCCACGCCAGTGGAAAGGTCATTGGATCGTGACAACTGAACAAGAGGAAACAAACATTGAACTGGAACAGGAACATGAACCAAAACAAAGCAGTGCCTGACTTGCATTGCATAGATTTTGCCCTGAAACCCACGATGTATCTATAAAACCATTTTCTACACCGATTCTATGGGACAGATTATCTGCATTTTACTAAAAGCTCATCTGTCCATTCTGTGCACATGATAAACTTTTTCTCATGTAAGCTTTAGACATTTTTTACATTGGTAATGGTTTGCTCAGCGAAAAAGCTATTCAAAATTTTTTACCCATGCACAATTACTTGTCTAAGTTTATAATAACTTTACATTTACTTTATATTTGAATCAAAATAAAGATAAACAAAGGAGCCTTCTTCATCCCAGTTAGAGGATGCGAAAAAGTATGTTCAACTCTACTATTTCCAGTAAACAGCACTTCATAGTACCAATAATGATCAATAGTAACTACTGATTATTTTGTTTGTCAGAAAAGTTGAACTAGTAACCAAGGTTTCATGACAAATTGAAACTTAAAAAATGACTCGCTAAACGTCATAATCCTGATGATTTTGTAATTTGTAGAAACGTTTCGACTTGATGACGTTAGACGTACTACGTCATTTCCTGTTTTGTCAAGTTTTTTTCCCTTTCATTCTTCTTGGACAACTACTGTCGCTAAATTATTTTCTTACAGTGATATATTTCACTTTAATCTCTTTCACACGCTGTTATTCTATTCTATTTTTAGATCAATTTGATATTTTGACACGTTTCTACTCTTCTTAAGACCCGCTAGCTTAGCATGGCAGCAAACCTCCTTCATCTTTAATTTTTTCTGCATTTTAGAAGTTTAGTTTTCTCCTTATTCATTGTGCTGTCATTTCCAGAGCTGTATAAACTAGGTAATGGCGTTTGCTTTTCCCCAGCTGGATTAGAATTTAAAGAGTAGATAACACAGCCATTGAAGGTTTCTTGGAAACAAAGTGTGGTGGTCCTTCACAATGAATCGATTACCCTGACAAACTACAATGCTTTCCCTCTTTTTTTAATGTTATCATAATGTATTATTTGACTTTTGTTTGTTTTTGACAGGTATTTTTGTTTTTCTGCAGCAGTTTCACAACTGCCATTCTCATTTACAATTCAAATCCTGTGCATTAAAGTAACAATAAAAACAATATCATCATTAAAGCATTATCTTATAAGAATAGTAATTGACTTAATTCTTTGAAATGTTTGTTACTGATGCTGTATGTTTTGTACTTTTTAAATATTGATCACACTGCCTCATCTTTTCAAACCTTTTACTGCAAAAACACCCCCAAAATATACAATTTGATCAAATATTTAAAAAAATTTGGTCTGAAATTCTATAAATCTGTCCCTCACTGCACATTGGCACAAAGTTAATGTTGTTTGTCTCTATGTTTGCATTGATCATTCCTCTGTAGTCACAGTAGCTCTTTAATGGCTTCACTGCCATGAATATTAGATACACTTCCCTTAGCCCAACAGTGCAAATATGATGAGCCAGCCTGATACAACCATAAGGTTCCAAATAATAGCAGTGTGAGTATCTGTCTGGGTTTCTCCAAGAGGTGAAAAAGACAGTAGTTGAATCAAAACTTTTTGATGAATGTAGAGATTCAGCATGTTGAAACACAAACATGCACCCCTCCGAAATAGCTTTTCCTTTTTTTTTTTTTATAACTATCACAGTGCTATTATATTAAAAGAATATTTGCCTTTATTGATGGTCTAAGCGTATGTTCCAGCTGAGCGATGAAGCTGGCTGCTGTCCTGTGTGAGATTAGTGCTACATGAGCACTGTATCAGAGATGTGGAGTTAGAGCACATTAAATCTGATATAAGCAGAGAGTGAGGTGAGGGAGGGAAGAGAGGGTGTGACAGAGACACAAGCAAAGAGCAAAGGGAGTCACCAGATGCACAGTGCACAATTTTGGACCAAGAAATTCCACCGTGTTCTGGCTTTCATCAAATAGCTGCTTTCATCTTTTTCTTTTTAATGAACTGATATTTCTGTCCTGTGACTATTGGAGTGTTGACGTTTCACTGCTGCTTCGATGAGATGTTTTGATAAAGGTTTGATCATTGTTTTTGCTTAAAAATGTGTGCGCGGGGCGAATTTTCCCTCCATATTTCAAAGACTTTTATCCAGTGAGTGAGAGTGCATGTAGGAGCTGCAGAGGTGTCCCTGACACAGAAAGAGACATGGCCAGCGACCTTGTGGTCGGGATGCTCTATAACTTACTTCTACCACTGTTCCTGCTAACCGGTGAGTCTGCTGAAATATTCTACTCATAGGAATAGTTCCTGACAGAAATATAGCCCCACAGGGGCATAGGAAACTTCATAGGGCAATAAGTGTTTCTTGTAAAAAGTATCCCAGTGATAGCAGAAGACATGAATTTAGCTGCAAAGTCCAGTATATTTTATAATAATTAACAGTTTTTTGGACCCATTAACTAACAAACACTGATTTAAATAGACACTTTTTGTATGAAACATTAATTTTAGCTCTATAGTCACATGCTATTCGATGATTTCCAATCTCCTTTTTACCAGTTGATGAAATTATAAATGTTGATGATCTATTCACACATCTAGAGTAATGCGATATTAACATATATCACCGCATATTTTTGGATGAATAATTGTACTAACTAGCTTTAATCTGTTCACCCCAATATAGGATGATTCTTAAATGAAAGAATTTACATATTTTTCCTTTTAGCAGTATATTTCTAATCCTTAAGCATTTTGAAAGGAACAAAGTAATGACAAAGGTAACAAAAAGAACCAAACAAACCACATAGTTTTTAATTCTAACTCTTTTGCTAGTGCTTTACTGTGCATTTATTCCATTCTGCATCTATACTGTGTTTTTTTTTAAACAGATCATTTATATTAAATGATGTGAGACATCCAAAACAAAAACAAAATGCCAGTATTGAGTTCCAGTTTTTTCAGCGGTCAAATGAAAAACAGTGGACCATTTCTGATTAACACATTGTGCTTTCCTTTGCACCTCAGCATCCTCATTCCGCTACAATGCCCTGTCAGTGGTGTACTTTGGGTTTTTGCTCACCTTGCCACTGCTGCCGAATCCCAGCCTTGTCACCCTGAAAGGTGAGATGGGTTATATTCATGATTCTCCATGTCTTTGCTCAGAAACGGGATCAAATTATTAGTTTTGATGCAAACTTTAATGACAGGGTTGACAGTCACTGAGATTCTTTCGCCGGTTAATCCTATTAAATCTCAGTTACAGTCATGTTTTACAGAATCTTAAACAATTTTGCTACTAAATAACCGAAAACACAATGCTTTAAAGCATCACAGGATAACGTGGAATTTGTGTCCTCTGATTCCCCCTTTTGACCCATGTGCATGCAGAACTATGCCCAGAAATTTCTTGTCAAACTCCCGAAACTGATGGAAAAAAGAGCTTTTTATAGTTCCTATTTTTAAAGGTCGTGCATGTGACATTTGATAAAAATGTACACACAACTCCAGCAAGACATTAGTAAACATTTCATAATGCTGCAAACTTTCAAGAATTTTTCTAAAACTGAAAAAACAGAAGAACTTATCGGAATGCAGATCTGGGCTAGGGAGTGAATGTGAGGCTTCCTCTGCAAGGGAGAGGTGGTAATGGTTGTTATTTAGGTTTTAGTTTCTGATGAATAGGAAGACACTGCTGTTGTAATTGTTGGGTATTTTCCATTTTTCATCATGCGAAGCACTGGTGAAGTGTAATAACATATTTGGTTAGTTATATTTAGGAGTTATCTGATTACAAAAGTGTCCCCCCCTCCCCAAAGTATTTGTAATACATTGTAAAAAACAACAGATTTTTCAGTGTGTTATTATCTATTTGCTGATGTAGTAAATGTAAATTAAAACAATACGGTGCCAGGTAAGTTGTGACTTTTAGGTAATCACAGACACGAGCATTTCTAGTTAAGGGGTAAATCCTTAATCACAAAGGGGCCAGTTAGCATAAAACATTTTTACTTCAGTTCAGTCATCATGTAGAATTTGTTGCTTTTCTTGTAATGTTAATTTTGTCTTTTTGGACCTGTTACAGTTTATTATGCTTATACTTGTATTTTATCATTCTTTCTATTGATTACTTCTTAGTGATACAGAAGTGATTACCGAGAACTTTAAAGTTGTTAAGACTGCTGTAGTAAAGCACTGATATATAGGGTTGGACAATAAATGTCTATAGCGAGTGTGTGTGTTCCCTCTCCATATTGATCACTGCAGTCTCATGAATTAAGGTATCCGTACCCCTCCTTCAAAGTACTTTGTAAAAGGGAAGCGGTTGAACTGATCAAATCAATTATGCATAGCTTGGTAATTACAGCACGGAATTAAAACATGTGATGTCAGCATTCTGCCAGCATTTGTTTTTTCTCTACGTTGCCCTCCATCTTAAAACTTCGTAGCTTTCAGCATCACGGATTCCAGTTATTTTCATCTCCCTAAAATCATTCTGCTCTCTTTGGACTAAGTGATGAAGTGTGTGTAAAGTGTGTTTTTGAGCAGCCACCTACACTTAGGAGTCTGTGCATGCGACTGTGTAACTTCCTTCTTGGGAAGCTGAGGGGATTAAGTGAAACAATGCTTTTAGTAAAAATGTTGAACAACAACAACACATTTGCTGGCTCAGCTAATGTTGAGCCACATAAGCTGTTAATGCTCTGTGTCTCCAACATTTTGATTACAAGAGTGAAACTCTAGACAAGCATCATATAATGGTTCATTTATTTGAATTTCTAACCAAATTATCTACACATCTACCCTGTTTGAGAGTTTAAAAAAAGTAACATAATGTCACAGCACTCATCGAGAGATTTCAGAACAGAAATGCCTTGAGTAGTTTTATGTGTGAGTTAAATTTACTGTTCAATCGACTGGATTTGACCTCAAACCTTCTGAAGCAAACAAAAATAGCCAACCCAACTTACATGCCAAATGTGTACAAGATGTGGAGAGAAATACGTGATCAGTTGCTGTGTGTTAAGTTTACAAAAAATTGAATAGCCTGCTTATTCAGTACAACATGGGACTTGAAATTGGGAAATATGTTTTAAAGTTCAACAGACAAAGAAGAATGAAAATCCGAATGCCACCATAACTGCGTGTGGCATGTATTCATCTCTGTAAAGGAACAACAAATCCATGCTGATTGTAACAGCCATATGTACAACTTCTCCTTAGTTTACCAGTCGGACAACGTTGAAAGGTTGTTCACTTGAATCTTTTTCCTCTTAAGGCAGAACGGGTCTGTTCCTTCGGTTGATCGTCTACATCAGCTTGACCTTCCTGATGCTGCAGTGCTTCATGCAGATCCCTTTCGCCTACATCCCTCCAAATGGTAAAAACAGCTCGAGTCAGACATCAACAACAAAATATAGTTTGACTGTAAAATAGTTTTAAAAAATCCACAACTTGAAATACGGACTAATTGAAAAAATTATATTGATTTTCTTTAAACAGTGAGTGGCATCTGGGAAGATTTCCTCTACCATTTGGGAATTGTAAGGTATGAAAACATGCTGGCATCAGCATTATTCAATAAAATAATTCTATATGTATTATTCTGGTGACTATTAACAAACAACCTTTAACATAACTCAAATATGGAGGCTTATAACTGTTATTACGATAACTGCTGTTAACTCCTCACTCTTATAACACCAATTTTTTGTATTTTGTTGTTAGATTCAGTGCTGTTGATGCTGTAAACGTGCTGCGTCACCTGGCTCCAGATGTGATCGTCCTTTCCTCTACTCTGTTCATACTGATGTTGTGCAAAAAACTACTACGCCCTCCGCCCCAAGTCAGCCTTCATGAAAATGGAATCCCAGCCCCAAACCCTGAAGTACTCACACACAAAACAAGTAATCACTCTTTGGGTCTGTTGATAATGAAACGGGATGTCGGCCTGATTGTTCTGTGGTTTTTTGCAGGATGTGGAATCGTCTGAAACAGAATCAGAGGAAGAGAGTGAACCTGAGGGCTCGTCGTTTGACAGCTCGGAGGTAACAACGGCGCCGGTTCAGTCTGGCCCGCCACAGTTCGTCCAGAAGCTGATCGTGTTTGCGGCCGGCCTGAGAGTGCTGCTGTCAGCTATCATGAACACAGCCGGGAAAGTGGTGGTGACTCTACTGCTGGGGCTGGCAGGTGCAGCACAGGACAAAAGCTGTCAAAGACATGCAGACGCAATGAAACTTGGAAATGTCCGTAGATTTAATGTAATGTGTCTGTTTTATGCTTTGGTGTGTCTGCAGGGATCACGCTCCCATCACTTACTTCTGGAGTGTACTTCGGGGTGTTTCTAGGTCTAGTGTGGTGGTGGATATTCAGCCGCTCCATCAGTCTGCTACTTTTCAGCTCCATGTGTGTGATGATGGTCATTTTTAGTGGAGGACACCTTCTGGCTCTGTACCTCTATCAACTGCCCCTGTCCCAACAGATTGTACCACCTGATGATGTCTATGCCAGGTGTGGTAAATCCATGTTTATTTTTTCATAACTTCCGTTCTCTGTAATTGTTTCAGGAGAAACAAATTTAGTACATGTACATCTAGAAAATCGAGATAATAATATAATTTGGTCTTGTGTCAGATTTACTAAATAAATTTGTCTGGACAGCAATAAGCTTAATAAGTATTTGTATTTTACTTATTCTTAACGTTCATTTGAATCTTTTTGCCTTCAAAGTCAAATTGTTTATAAGATAGCTTTTTATTCTTGATCCAGTTTTATCTTTGTTACTTATCCATTTCTAACATCCTCTTGTACTCCTCTCCAGGTTGTTTGGTTTGACAGGAGTGATTAGAACCAGCATTTTACACCCGCACACTCTTGGTCTGCACGCACATGTCAGCTGGCCTGACTTCGTCAATCCTTTGGTTCTTCTGCTGCTCTACTACACGCTTGTGGCTCTTCTGCACAAGTGGGCCTGCATCACTGAGGTTTGTGACGGCTTTTGAAAAGCTTTTATGAACACATCATGACACAGCGTAACCCCTGAAGTCCTCCCTGTTCCATTTTTTACTGCTAAGTTACCAAAGAGGTCAAAAATATTGCTCAGCACATTGAAAATGACTGTTTGAAATCATATTTATAGCTCTGCAATGTATCCATACTCCCCAGGGCATTTGGAGGCTGCCAGCCTTTGATTATTGCGACTGCAGCTACTAACAGAAGACTAACAGTGGCGACCCATGGACAGCATTCAAATTCATTTCACTCACACGATGGACTTTTAATACCTATTGTGCTTTTCAGGATAATGCTGATGATGACAAACCTGAGAGTCCATTGGAAAGTCCAGAGGCTCCCCCAAGCTTCTCCAAAGTCATCTACATCTCAGGAGATAAGCAAGAGGTGACCCCCAAACATGAACAGTTCTCTTTATAATCATAATCAAGTCAAAATATCATTAAAATACATTTTGCTGAAATGTTGGCAGCGATTCCTAGGTCCTAAAATTTCAACAGGAGGGTTCTGGACCAAGAATGTTGATAAGAAAGAAAAGTTTCTTTGTAATTTTGCCCTATTTTCAAGAGTTAAAGATGTTTTTCTTATAATAATGTTTTTTTTTGTTCGATTCGGCGTCCTTAATCTATATTCAATGATATATTAAAGTCAACTCAAGATGCATCTGTTTTCAGCTGCTGAGCAGCACAGATGAAGACACCTATCTGCCTGATGAGGTAGGTAGTTTACAGCTGAAAACATTATATTTTCTTAGACTGAAGTTTGCCTCAGTATATTAGTATTGGAAAGAAATGTCTTACTGTGATATGTGCTCTCTCCCTTCAGCCGGTGATCTTGATATCTGGAGAATCTTGGCAAAACAAACACAGCAACAGCTTTGGATATCTGTTAGAAGGAGCAGGCTACACAAACTGTTATCAACCATCACATTATGAGGGCAAAAACTCTCCTTCACAGGGTAATCATAAAATACATCCCACTTAATATTTACATTAAACTGCTGACAAAGGGAACAGGTATTGTAGAAATGAATTATCCTTTTTTTCATAATTTGCCTGATTTTGTTTATTTTCATGGTATTTCTTTAATTTAGTTTTTTTTAAATCTCTCTTTCTAGTGACCGAAAGTGAGGAAGAAGCCGGTGAGAGGAGTGAGGAGTTTTCAAAGAGTCAGACTGAGACGTCAGCTCCTCCTTCTGGTCCGAGTGGTCTGGTTGTCTTCGGGCGGCTGTTGCAAAAACACAGCTACGTCAGCGCCCTGATCATCATGATGGTTAGGAATAAACTGAACTTAATCTAGAGGGCTGAATAAGAAGTGTTTTACTCGTCAGTATTTCAGCCTGACAAAATCTGGGGAGCAGCATTCCAAAAGTAAACTTTGTTTTTTTATTTAACTTAAAAGAGATGGACTGCATTTAACTACTTAAATGCAAACTTTAAAAGACCAGGTGCATTATTGTACCAATATCCTTAAAAAAAAATGTATTTTTCTATCTAGGTGTGGAGTATCACCTACAACAACTGGCTGACCTTTGCCCTGCTTGTGTGGTCCTGCATCATTTGGATGATGCGGGACCGGCGGCGGTATGCCATGATGTCGGCCCCTTTTCTCGCCATCTATGGCACTGTGCTTGTGGTGCTGGGCTTCCTGAGTGGGCTGCGTCTGAGTCGGGGAGAGCTGTATCCCGGGTTGCCCCCGGCGGTGATAGTAGACTTTGACCTGAACAGCTATCATCCTGCACCCTGCATTCACCTGGGAGCCAAGGTGAGGAATGCAAGTTCTGTGTCGCTGTGCAAGTTGAAAACTAATATATATATGGGAAACAAATAGGCACAAAGTGATGATCACCAAACCAGCGTCTGCACTTTTAATACTGAGTGTTTTCAGCTACTAAAGCCTGTAACTCTGAAATACTGAAATATTTAAATTTAACATGTAATCTGTGTCCATAATAACCAGATCCTGAAAAGTAGATTTGGTTTTCTGTATAAAGAGCAGGCAACAAATGCTACTATTTCTATGTTAAAAAAAGATTTTGGAAAGGATTTTTTACTTTATTTCTTGACTCACACTCAAAGCAACATTGTAGAAAGACTCTGTGAGCATTGACATGATGATCCTGAGATTATGTAAAATATGTGACACCATTTTAAAAATTAGACACAACTTGTTTTCCACTGAAACTCAGAGCTGCTCATGAACACTTCTGCCGCAGGTCTTCTACAGCTTCAACTTTTGGCTGATGTTTCGCCAGCAGCTGAAGGAAAGACAGGAGGAGCGGAGAGCGAAGGAGGAGTCTCTAGATGAAGTCAAAGTCATACCTTGTAACTCATTTTCAGATTACTATGACTCGTAGAAGAGAAAAAAAGCACTGAGTGAATCAGTGAAATAATTTTTGCATTGATAAAAATCCTTTCTAAATACTCTGTCTGCTTTGTATTTATTCCTTCTTAGTCTTTCTTTTCTACCCTTGCTCTTTTTCTCAGTTTACTTCATTCCATCATTCCTTTTCTCTGTCTTTCCTCCATTTCAGCAGAGGAAAGTCCACCTTCACCTTTGGTAGCAATGCTGATATCAGGTTTAAAAGGGCTGCTGGTAAAATACTGGATCATCTTCTGCTACTCCATGTTCTTTGTCGTCAGCTTCTCTGGAAAGGTGTCCTACGAAACATTGAAATCAGTTATTTATTTGTGTTGTAATTTAGATTTTTCCTCTGGAATGTTTGTGCACATCAGAGTAACTGTCTGTCATAAATCGTTATTTCATTCACTCAGGTGGTAGTCTACAAAATCCTCTACATTGTCCTCCTGCTGCTCTGTGTTGTTCTCTACCAGGTTAGTGAATTAGATCAAACGGTTCATTATTCATTTTGGTGGTAACTTAAAGATTAATCTTTATCTCTGTTTTGCCCCTGAATGTTTTATGCTACACATATTTACTTTTCAAACGTTCTAACACAAATTCCCTGCCCTTCTAAACGTATTGCTTCACAATGACATTCAAATTGTTCATGTCCATATTTTTCAATCACTCTTTGACATAAAGTATCTGTGAGTGAAACAGTTCTCTCTATGGCTATTATGACCGTCTATTCTGATAAACGTTGGGTCAATAAACAGACAGGAAATAAACTTCCACAGTTACAACGCTGCGGAACTGTGAGAGCCACAGTAAATTTTGATGAATCTTTTACCGTGTTTACTCCAGAATTCTTATCGGTAAATCATTAAGCTGTTCTTTGAGCATGAAATATTCAGACTATGCCTCACTCTGGTTGATGCTCTGGGAACAAGCACAACAAGCAGACAGTGCACCCCTCATCAATACTTTTTTTTCAACTAAAAGTATTGATTATGACTAATACGCACATGCACAACCATATTTTGCTGCTGTTTCCCTGTTTTTTTTCCTCCCCCTATTATGTTTCTGCTGACCTTTTAGAGAGATGGTGGGCACTTACGGGAAGGCCTAATGGCTGCAGATATGACATGAGACAACGTTATTTGTCTGTGTGGACAGCATCAGCAGCCCCCTGGTGTTACATATCACATGGATGAGGGGTTTCAGGCAACACTGTTATTTATTATGTTGAGGATGTAATTTAGTTGATGTGTTTTTCATATTTTACCTCAGGAAGTCAAGCCCTGTGCGCCCATGTTCTTTTAAGTAATCCATACACCAACACTTAAACATGGAAGCAGTATATTGAGTTACACTGAGTGTGATGGAGGTTCTTTAATTTTTCACCATATCCAAGCAGAGAGAACATTTCAGATCTCTTGTCTACCCACAGATCCGTTATGATGTCTGGCGGCGGGTTCTGAAGAAGTTCTGGGCTGTGGTGGTGGGTTACTCCATGCTGGTGTTGATACTCATCTATATGTACCAGTTCAGGAGCGTCTCTGCTCTGTTTAGACAAATCATGGGCATGTCAGAAGATGGGTGAGTCTTTGTTGACTGAGTTTTTTTAATTATTACACATTTAATTGCCCATAAATAGATTTTTATTTCTAGGGCTATCTGAATCTTAATTTGACCAAAACCTTATGACAGAGTGGGTTTTACTTTGCTCCCGCTTGATTTCCCAGGCTCCGTGATCTGGGTTTGGAAAGGTACAGCACTGTGGAGCTGTTTGCACGCATTCTGCTTCCCGCTGCATTCTTGTTGGCTTGTATCCTCCAGCTGCATTACTTTAACACAGACTTCCTGACTCTTACGGACCTGGACAACGTACCTATTCGACCGACTTCCAGGTGAGTATGCGGAAAAGCTACGATTACTGATGTTCACATTGAAAAGCTGCACCATTGATATAATTCGTCTTATTTCATGTATAGGTAAAGTTACTTATAAATGATGGTTTTTATTTTGTGCAGGTTAAAAAGAACATGTGTTTTAAGGTCATAATGGCTGTTCTCTGCACTTAAAAAAAACCCTCTTCTTTTGTTTGTTTAACCTATTCACTTCACAGGAAGGAAGAACTAAGAAGTTCAGTCAATGTAATCTCTGACGTGTAAGTAGTACTTTTACCTTCTTGTAAAACGCCATGTTTGCAGATCATCACAACGTACTGTTTTGTGCAAATCAGCATTACAAATGTTCGGTAATGGAAATTAAAACACCCGTTAGTACATTTTCCTATTTATTTTGTCAGCTGGGTGTTGATAACTTTTAAAGCATACATTTACTGAGCTTTGCTTTCTGTTTGGGATCCTGACACAAATCAGAATTTAATTCTGTCTTCAGGTTTGGAAATGAACGTCTGATAGTTGTCTAACTTGATGTCTAATGTGTTGTTGGATTTTGTTATTAAATGGGAATCCTGTCTTGGTGAGAGATAAATTAAAAAATCTATCAGAATAGTGTTCTTGGCTCCAATAAGTACATGTGTAATTTTCATCCTGCTTGTGTATCTTATCAGTGGTGGAGTTAGTGAATCATGTGTGTTTGCCGAGTTGAAAAGTTATGCAAGAGCTGCCAGTAAAACGATGCCCCAGGCTGGTTAATCTTCTCCGTTTCAACGCGAGGAAATTGATGGGCTGCTTATTGATTTTAAACATCAGGAAATGCCCAGTTGTGAGTAAGGGGAAAATGGAGACTCTTTGAGATCAAGTATGTAAGGTGCTGCAGTATATAAAGCCATAAATGCAAAGCAGCTTTTAACTGATTTATCCATGCAATATGCTTAACTGGGAAATCATTTAAAAAATGTTGTTCTTTGTTCAGTGCTATGCTGAATATGAAGAGATAGAGGGAATGGCAGAGCCTTTTTTTTTTTTTTTTTAAATCTGTTTTAGGTTGATGCCGAGCCTTTTCTCCAATTTGAGGTATTAATGAATTTGGAAGAGACAGCAGCCTAGGGGAGGATTAACTGGAATCAGGGAAAATATATGCAATTTTCATCTTGATATATGCATTGTATTGTGTAGTATTTGTATATGAAGTTTAATGAAGATTTTGAAAAATTAGCATATAGTTTTATAGATAATGTTCTATTTCATTTTTAGCTGTTTTATTTTCATATGTTAAAATACTCAATTTGAGAGGATTTGTATTGTAGGATTTACTTCCCAGTGATGGATTTATATCTATGATTGCATTGCATTTACCATAAGGTAAACATTATGCACTAATACTTTCCCTGTCTGCAGATTGACATAGCATTTATAGTTGTCTTTATTCTATTGTTGGGCAGATAATGGGATGATGCAAAAACCATATAATCAAAAATAAGATGTTTGAAATGTGATAATCATCCTTAATGTTGAAGTTTGTCTGGTAAAATAATTTTTTTTTTTAGCAAGTTTCTTTCCCAATGAATGAATTTCGTGCTATTAAACAGCATGATTTATAATATTTGCTGTTTGTCATTGTTGCATGAAACAGCCAATTCATAACGCTGAAAGTGTGTTGAATATCTGGTATAAAAAGGAAAGTGTAAACCACCCGAAATTCCTGGAGCCTTGAAACTCAGCATTCATGCACTTTATGTCATTATAATTTCTGTCATTGTGTGGTACTCTTTAAATAACTTACTATCAGTTTATCATGCCCATATGCAGCATCATAAGTGTAAGGGAGAAACTGTTTGAATCAAGATATGTAGTTTCTACTCTTGTGAGTTTTTTATTTGTACTACTTCATTCTCTAAAATCAACAAGCTGCCTTCGGTCTCTAACCTCAGCATCAAAGAGCTCCAAACCAGAGTCCTGATCTAAGATCGGTCAATGGATGACCCAGAAACCTCAACAAAGCTGTTAATCAGATTGCGTATTGATGTGTGGAGGGCACATGAGATTTATTGGATCTAACCTTGTATTACTGGCATATAAACTCATTCAATATGAGGGTGGATTTGTTTTACTGCCTGAAATACTGCCATGAATCTTTTTTGGTTGAGGGTAGCTATTAGTCAAGTCAAAATACTTGGCATTTAAGAGAAAATAACCAAAAAGATGAATTTTCTTCATCTCGGTTTGAGTTTATATAGAGATAAATCACACTAAATGACCTGCTCATGTTTTCATGCATCCATTCACAAGTTATCAAACAGCAGATTTCCTATGTCTTATAGCAACATTTGTCAGTGTCATAGGTCAATGGTTGGTGCTTCGTCTTTGGTTCAAGGGCAAATTAAATAAAAGTAAGATTCATATGTCAAAAAATGGCCACAACAGATGATTTTATAAATCAATTTTGAAAAACCTGGAAAATCGTCTAAACTACAGGAGCTTTACCTGAGTTGGAAATTGATCATAAAAAGTAGAGTATTAAAAGAAAGTACTTTATTCAGTCCTGTGAATGTTGCACGGATTTGCTGTATATACATAATGAAGGGGGTTGATCAGAATATAATCAGCCTAAGAGATGCTTTTGCATTTTTAAGATGAATTCAGTAATCATTTGGGAATTAATGAATGCCCTTTTTTTGTCTTTTCATTACCAGAATTAAAGAAAACATTGAGAAGTTTCAGAAAAGGTAGGTCTCATTTCTTTCTTCTGCCACTGTTAATCTTTGAATGTCATTTCCCAGCTCTTGAACATTCTGGCAACTAGAACTAGAACCTATTGATTAAAACTGGTCTCGAACTGCCATTTGCTACATCATCATAAAATTACTGAAGAACAGCAGTAACATAATGATAAGATGATAAGAAATGTATGTGCCCAACAGACTTGTGAAGGAGCAGAATGGGAATGGCAGAAGTCAGGAGACTCTGGACAGCATTGAACTACATACGCCCTCTGAGACAGGAGCTGAGGCGCAGGAGGAGATTCCACCAGAGGGTAACCACTGCTAAGGATCCAAAATGGGTCTCAAGTTACCTACTGTTGGATCAGTTGGGCATTGGAAAATTAAATGATATTACATTACTATATATCGACAGGCTCTCTACCAACTAGACAACAGCTGAATGATTCATCTTGTACAAACCTTATTCTGTCTGCTGCTTATGGAGGTAGTAAACAGTCAAGTTTCATGTTATGTCCTGTATTTGTATTTTGTTTGCAATGTCCTGTGGCCTTCTTTAGAAAATCTGCCAAGTAGTCGTGAGGACAAGTGGATCGTGATCGTGGACCGGGCAAGTCTGCTGCTTATTCAGGCTCTGTGTGGACTTGACAGACTACAGGAGCTGTGCTGGCGGCTGATGGAACTCCACAGCCTCAAAATTGTGTCATCTGGCATCATCTGGGTGTCACTACAAGAGGTGAGCTGTTGGACCTGTGTATGTGTGTTTTGAATAAAAACAACTAATACATATTTCCATTTTGCAGGTTTCGCTCATGAACTTCCTTTTTCTGGTTCTATGGGTGTTTGCGCTCCCGTTCCCACGGTTACGGCCTTGGGCATCCAGCATCTCTGCCGTGTGGGCCTGTGTCATGGTCGTGTGCAAGATGTTTTACCAGCTCAAAGTCATCAAACCTCTGGACTACTCCTCCAACTGCACTGCGGTGAGTTTGGCTTGGTTGTTTGCAAGTGTGTTTTCGTGTGCAGGTTGGGATGCATGTTGTTTTAGCGCTTTTAAATCACAAAGAAGTTTTACAAATTTTTTGCATGTGCAAACGAAACGCACATAAAGTCACATTCAACTTACACTAATATGTGTATCTGAAAAAGTTTGTTTGAACAATCCGAACTTCTGTCATACTGTTCAGTTATACACTCTCAATTTGAGAGAACTGATAAAGTACTTTTAAACTATTCGATTTTTATCTTTAATCCCACTTGCTTGTATTGAAATTTCAGGGTTTGCTCCCCTCCAACAGCTCGGGGTTGGATGATGGAGCTGAGCTGAGGGGAAACATGATGGAGCTGCTCAGGAGATCCATTCTCTACATTGAGCCTGTTGACCCGGTTTACTGGTGTGGAGCTTTGCGCAAGTGTGAAGGCAGAATCCTCCCCTGTTTAAGGGTGAGATGAGGCGAACATAAAAATTGAGTGCCACAATGCAGGAAGCCGAGGATGACCTTGATTGTCACATTTCATAGTTGCTTGCAGTTTTCCTAATTAAATAGAGTCACAAACAATTTATAAACATAGCACATCACATACACTGATATACAGGGGAGTGAAATAATAGTTCATGCTCAAAAATATGATGCCTTTAAAGAATTTGCACCATTTCACAAAGTCTTCAAATAAAACCATGAATCTAGTTCAGTTTCTTTTCTGTGTTGTAGAACCATCTCATGGTACTGGGGTTGCTTTTGTTCGAGGCAACAGTCCACCGACACCAGCTCTACTTCCGTCTCCGTAACGACCTGAAGCCTCCACCCTTCAGCATCATCTTCCAGGGTATCACCAGGCAGCACCTCGATCATGGCATCCTGCCCTGCATCAAATACTTCATCAACTTTGGTTTCTACAAATTTGGACTTGAGGTACTTTCATACAGGCTGCAGTGCATGTGTTCACATTTGGTTTTGTTTATTTCTACACATCTGACCTCTTTGTACGTACACACAGATCAGTTTGATCGTGGCAGTGAACGTGATTGGTCAAAGGATGGATTTCTACGCCCTCCTTCATTCCTGTGCCTTCATGGTGATCCTGTTTCGGCGTCGCAGGAAGGCTATTGGGGAAGTGTGGCATAAATACTGCTGCTTCACAGCCGGGCTCATGGTGTTTCAGTACCTGCTCTGCATCGGCATCCCTCCTGCTTTCTGTGTTGGTAAGAAGGTTTTAGCAACTTGTGCCTTTTTGTATGGATGAACTGTCATTTCTATCCAGCTCCTTCATTTTTTCTGTAGTATGTGAGGATTGTTGATAGATTTAGAAATACTCCATCGTGATGTCTCGTTGCCTGCCGTAAATCATTTCCTGTCACTGACCTCTGTTACACTTTTTTGGAAGATTATCCCTGGAGAGCTGCACTTCAGCCTTTGACCTCGAATGTTATTAAGTGGTTCTACCTGCCTGACTTTGCAATGAACCCTGACCCATCCTTCATTTTCTGTAAGTGTATGAATCAAAGTGAAATGTTTATTTTCCCTGCTTTTTCCTTTCTTTTCTCCTCTGTTCTCGACGTCCCATGCTATTCCTCTGACTATGAGTCTCCCACTCTCTGCAGACGACCACCTCCTGTTGCTCTGCTCGTCTCTGCAGTGGCATGTGTTCATGGAGGAGAACCGAGCAGCTGTGCGGCTGCTTGCTGGCGACAATGTTGAGATCAGTCGTAGTTTGGATCCATGTTCCTTCAACCAGTTCATTCCTGTTAACAACTTCCTTCACTGCAGGTTAGAAATATCAACCTCGACTGTAGGCATTTCTATGTTTGTTTTAATCATCCTCTATGCTTAATATAAGTTAAGTGCATGTTCAAAATGTAAATCAACTCAATGTAATGTTTCTTTTAAATTAGGATAAACTATATAATTGTAGTTATTTGACACTGTTTTCAGAATGGTTTTAATTGACAATTAGATTTTTTAAATCTTTGTTATGGATTTTCTTCATATTTGAAAAAGCAATTGAAGCTTGGTCGCTTTTTACTTTAATGCCCCAGTTTTATTAAATGAGCTAAGTAAAAAGGGAAAAATCTATTTTTGTTTTGAACCCCCTTTGAAATATGCAACTATACTTTCAGTAGGGTTCTTTTTTGTTTTTTTTAGTTATTAAAAAATGCCTTGTTACAGCCTATTTCTAACAAAAGTTTTATACTTTGTTTCAGCTTTTTCCCCAGCTGTATTTAATGGGTCTAGTTCAATTCTTATCTTGAACGAGCAGCTTGAATTAACTCATGGAAAATAGGCTGAACTCTATATTGCAGCACTGAGTATATCCTCTCCAACAGCTTCCTGCTTAGTAAGTTATACTGCAGGTGGAGAATTGGGAGTCCATAATGCTGCTTTGTGGTCATTTCAGGAGCATTAAAGGTTTGCTAGATTACTCATTATGTACGTTATCAAACTCATGAAAGCTGCTCTAACAAACTGAAAATGCTAGATAAGCGCTCATGGGCTAACCCCATTTCCAGGTGCATTTGCTTATAAGTTTTACTATCTTGCTTTTACTGGGAGTCTGCATCGGATGTAACGCCAATAGAATGTGCATCCATCCATTAGCTAAACATGTCTTGTAGAGAATCACAGAGAGCTGGGATGCTCAGAAGAGATAACCAGAAAGACGCCAAACTCTGTACACTCTGTACCCTGAATCTCTTTCTCAAAGTGAGTGTGACTGTCTCTGTTTTTTCTTCAGGTGCTACCTCGACATGGTGAAGGTGTTTGTTTTCAGCTATTTCTTCTGGATGGTACTCTGCCTCATCTTCATCACTGGCACGACACGGATAAACATCTTCTGCCTGGGCTACCTGGTGGCCTGTTTCTACTTCATGTTGTTTGGCGGCAGCGTGTTGATGCAGCCGGTCAGATACATCCTGAAACTGTGGGACTGGCTCATCGGTTACACCGGTTTTGTGATCGCGATGAAAAACCTGCTGTCAGTAAGTGGTCGCAGGGAGCAGGGAGGCTCAGCTTTTGTTTTGTGGCATGCAGAACAATTGAGAACACGTATCTCTTTATTTTTTCAAAAGACTGTTGGAATTTGACTTAATTTTCTGCCTGTCTTTCAGCTCGGTTCTTGCGCCTATCTGGACAGCCTGTTGAAGAGCAGCTGTTGGTTGATCCAAGCCTTCAGCATGTTCTGCACCATCAAAGGCTATGACGTCCGTGAGTGTCTGTACCATTTACACCGGTCTGTGTGGCTGTGTACAGAGCTTCCAGTGTGTTGGACAGAAAGAGAGGAATGAATAAAACTTGTGTACAGTTGGGCGATTTATATTTCATGAATTCTATTGTCTCGTATGACTTTTGAATGTTAAGTACTCTGTGCCATGAAAGTATGAACAGGACTTTTTTATCATAAGTTCAAAGATCTTCGACAGACTCTTTTTCAAACATCTTAAATGTGCGTTGGGTCTCAGAAAGCAGTTAGAGGCGAATATTAGTAGATATTGTGGAACATATGTGGAAAATATGTACCATACTTAGTTTGAATTGTTTCTGGGTATTTGTGTGTAGGTTGCAAGAGGAATATATTGCGCTTCACAGCTAAGGGTGCTTGTTTTAAATTTTTTATCCAGTCGACTTTTACTTGTCGCATATTTAATATTCTATGTCTTTTCTCCTTTTGCGTGTCCCAGCGGAGCCTGACGAGGAGTGTGAACTGCCAGAGGGGGAGGCGGGCATTGTCTGGGATGCCATCTGTTTCACCGTCCTCCTGGCCCAAAGGAGGGTCTTCCTAAGCTACTACTTCCTTTACGTGGTGTCTGACCTCAAGTCCTCTAAAATATTGGCCTCAAGGTCTGCACTTTAGTCTGCTGGTAGACAAACCTTTACATAAGCTTTTGCATGCAAACAAATTACAACACAATAAGTCCCGTCAATGTTTCAACATAAGAAAAAAAGAAAATCTGAAAATCTGCTGAGAAATAACTGAAAAGAAACAAACTAAGAAATTATTATTTAAGCGTGTAACAAGTTTCACATTTTCCTTACCTTTGATCCTAAAGCTTCCAGGATTATAGGTGAACTATTTGTGAGCTGATGTCCTACAGCAGGATCATAAAATGCTAAATGCTTTTTTTTGTTATTGCCCTCGGTTGGCCCTTATTGAAGACTTATGTAGTAATGGTAATGAGATAAAGTAACAGTAAAACAGCCACCAGTAGTTGCACAAAAGTGACCTGAAACTGATGGCAAAACAGATAATACACAAGCAGCGTGGAAATCCTGCATGGTGCCAGCAACAGTTACATTTATGTGAATTTCTGTTTTGCGTCTCTCAGAGGTGCTGAGCTGTTTGAAGCCAAAGTGAAAAAACAGGTAGCAGCCAGACTGGAGATGGAGAAGAAATCCGTTGAGACACTGAAGAGACAGTAAGACTGTACAGTAAAACAGTGAATAAATCAATTAATGGATCCAGTTTATGGTGATGACCAGCATATTTCCCCTCTCTCTGTCTCCCATTTATCTTCTCGAAAGAGTAAACTGAGAGTAATCAACCCTTCTCTCCTCTTCCTGCAGGATGGAGAAGATTAAATCTAAACAGAAGAGTCGACCTGCAGAGGCAGACGATGTAGGGCTTCCTGCAGATCCAGAGCAGGTGCCACAAGGTAACACAAGCTCATCTGTTTGCGGCTTCTGCTATCCCAAACGTATTTTCAATAAAACCTATTATGAAAAGCACGATTACAATGCTGTTGATCTCTTTATATCCAAGTTGAATGAACTTTTTTACTGTTTCAAAAAGTTTGTGTTAAGTCAATTAAGTACCCCATCCAATTTCAAAATAAAGGAAGATCATGCATCTCCAAAGTTTAGCACCCAGATACAGGAGGGTAAGTGAACCCCAGCACTCCTCGATGAGGCTGACAAATCTTAATTCTACTGAAAAAAGGTTTAAAATTACTGATGCTTTTCGTGTCTCTAAATGTAAACTTTTGTCTTTTTAGTATAAATAAATAAGTCACTTATAAAGTACTTTATAAAATAGTTTGTGTTCAAATATCTGTAATACGTGACCAAAAGTTTTTTCCAGACGATGACGAAAAGGCAAAGCAAGACGCAGGAAAGTGGTGGAAGCCTTGGGTCTCTCAGCCTGGAGGTGAGCAGCATCATGACACAATAACAAGCAGCGCTGTTCCTACGTTTGATTAAGGATTGTTCTCCTTATATAAATCCTCCTCTTGTCTGAAGGATAATGTCACCCTGAGTTGTTTTATAAAATGCTAACAACAGTTATAGATCCGTTTTTCTGGTTGCTTACCTGCTGCAGTGGAGAATGAGAAACTTTGACCAGGCTCGGCAGAGTCAAGGTTTCTAACTTGCTGTGTTTAAAACAGTGGAAAACAACTGTGGCTACCACCTGTTTGAGAGTGAAAGTGAGGAGGAGGAAGAAAAAGTTACAGAGAAAAAAGAAGAGGAGGAACCTCCAAAGAAGAAGTCAGCATTTCAGGTGGGAGCCGGTGCTTTTAAAACTGTAGCAGTTTGCGTAGGAAAATAATCTGTGCTGTTCAGAAATAAATGATGATTTGTGTCTTTCATGTCTAAGTTGGCTTATAATGCCTGGGTCACAAGCTCCAAGTCGGCTCTGAAGGACCTGAAGAAGGAAAAGAAAATAATAAAGAAAGAGGAGAAAAAGAAGGCAAAAAGAGAGCTTCAGAGGCAGCAGGGTGAGAAATGATAAATAATAACTTCATATTTTTACTCATTGCCGATCACATACTTAATAAATGTACCAGGACATGATAGAGGTTCATTTGGTTCCAGCAATGAATGCAAGATAAACACAACCTCAGAGTAACAACAGAAGATGCACTACTCCATGTGATTTATTCAACAAAAACAAAAGTTGAAACATGCAGAAAAATAGTTGATAGAAAATTAGAGTAAAAACAATCAAATGTATCTTATTAAATGGACTTGATTTTTTTTTTTACTTAATCAAAAGCAAGTGTGAGCATCTGATTTTTAGTTCCCACTGTATGTTAGCGTATTATGGAGTTAAATATGAGACACTGATATTGTGTCAAGGTCAGACACCACATCAGTGCCTCAAATACTACTGTAATGATTCAAGATAACAATGATCTTTCTGATAAAAGACATATTTGATAACCCAGTTATCATTTATCTTAACGATGTTCACCTCATTATTGCAGTAGCATTCGTCATAATATATCACGGAAGTGAACAGGGTGCACTTAAAATCTTATTCAATTGTGATATCAATTAAGATATGCTTTTTTTTTAGGCATTGAAAGAGCAGACTCCAGTGAGGATGAACTGGAAGAAAACAATGTGGTGGAGGAAGAAGAGGAAAAAGGTATAAAAAAGAAGAAAAAATAGAAACGGTCATAGAATGATAATGAACCACTCGATTGAACTGCTTCACCTCAAACACGTCGCTCTTACGTTCACATTTCAAACAAGCTGCCATAAAACTCAAAAAGTTTTTTTGCTCATGTTCCCGCTTTTTGCAGAAAACATCCTGCAGCGCATCATTAGCATGCTAAAGTTCAGCTGGGTGCTCCTCCAGTCTCTCGCTGATGACTTAACAGATGGTCTGAACGCATTCTGCAAAGACGGCTTAGACATTTCCAAAGTTCTGTGCTTTGAGCGAGCGCTGCTCAACCAGCAGCAAAAGAAGGTGGGCAGACTGGAAATTCTCCATCTGTAGTGTCTTTAAGGACTATTTTATTCAGTACTATCTCTCTATCACTCTCTAGGGCAAAGAAGTGAGTCAGGAGAGTGTGAAGCAGTTCTATGAAAACTGGATATCCCGTCAGAATACGATGTCATCTCTGGATGGCCTCGACACTCTGCCCCCCCCCTCAACCCCTCCAGATGCCCCCTCCTCACATCATGCTTATGCCAAGCTGAAGAACCAAGCCTCCAAAATGTCCTGGGGCAGCAGCTTTTCTAGGCAGGTTTCTGGACTCTGAGTGAATCTGTAAGGTTAAATGGTGTGATGTGGGGCTGGAATATAGAAGGCTGGAACCCCCCCACCCTCTATCAGACATTGCACAGTCACATACTTTCTCCTACTTGCTCCCCTCCAGCTGTATGACAGATGAGACCATGCTGGGGTCCCGACAGCCAACACAGGAGGAGCTGGACGATCCTCCCGGTCTGCAGCCCACCGCTTGTCAGCTCAGACGAAGACTTCTGAAAGAGGCCAACATCGACTTTACCTCCTTGGAAACTGATGAACCTCCACCGGAGTAAAAGAAAAAAAAGATTTTATAATGAATTTTAGTCCAGCTATAATATTTTAGTAATAAGTTGTGGAAAAAAGCAGAAACATCCGGTATGACTGTACCTTGAGCTCTTTTGCAGGACAACTTAACAGTTTGGCAAATATTTGCTGTTATCTTTTACATCTTCAGCTGTGATTTACACAAACATTTATTTCCGAATTACTCCATTTCCTCTGCATTTTGTCTGCTTTTTGTGTTTTTTTTTCATGGTTCTTTCTTTTTGCTCCACAACACAGTTATCGTCACAATCATTCTTGAAACTGAAGTCAATATTTTTCTTGAAAAGCCTTTCAGATGCAGCCGCTCACGAAGGAGACGATGAGCTAGAGGAGGACGACAAGGATGAGGCGAGTGAAAGGAAGTCTGAGCAAGACTGTGAAGAAGAGGAGAAAGATGTCCATCCAGAAGATATAGAGTTGGAGAGAGTTGAGCTGGATGAGGACGGGTACATCGGCCATGCAGAGTGCATGTCACAGGATATGGGGGAGAGCTACGGAGACAGAAGTCTCGATCTCCCAGATTCCCCCAGACCTCTGAGTCAGGAAACAAGGAACCTCACTGCCAGCGAGCTGCTGCTCAACAAGTTGGTGCACTTTTTGGGGGAATCTTTTTTATCAACGAGTGTTAGCTGTGGAATGTATCGACTCTTGATGTGCATCATGATTTCTTTTCCCTCTCGTCTCCCTCTTTTTTTGAAGCATGTTTGAAAACGACGAGATCTCTGAGTCTGATAAGTTTTATTCCACGCTGCCGAGGCCGCTGAAGGTGCTGTTTGCCCTCTACAACACCATGGTGTCCAAGTCGGAGATGCTGTGCTACTTTGTCATCCTTCTCAACCACATGGTGTCGGCGTCGTTCCTCTCCATCATCTTGCCAATTCTGATATTCCTCTGGGCCATGCTGTCTGTGCCCAGGCCCACCAAACGCTTCTGGATGACAGCTATCATCTACACAGAGGTAGGTCACGAGACAAAAAGGAAAATTCCTTTTATTTTTTTAAATTACAGTGCATGTTATGACCTTTTAGAATTAAATAATTCTTTCTAAATCCAATCTGGGTCAGGTGGATTGTCGACTTGCTACATGATTGGTGTAACACTGAACTTATTGGGATTTATTCACGGTTTAAAGGACTCACTAAAATCCTTGTTTCAACCTTGAGTGTCATTTGTTGTCATAAGAAGACAGATTCTCCTTTTTATTCTTTCAAAAAGTTTCAGATTTAGGTTAGAAAACATGATTAAATAGAATATCGGACACAGTTATATGCCTGTTTTAAACAAATCTAAAATATGTGAAAATATAAAATACACATGTAGATTTACAAGTAGAATACATCCAAAAAATTAGACATATGAAAAATTGAGAACTCAGGATAGGAGTCCCTAATGGCCGTGACATCACCTACTGTGAATTAGTACGACCCCTTGCTGATTGATATTATTCTTTTGGCATTTAGCTGTGATGACCAGCTATTGTTATGATGACAACTCATTCACATCCATTTCAGCTGTCTGTCCTCTCCTTGTTTCAGCTGACTGTTGTGGTGAAGTACTTTTTCCAGTTTGGTTTCTTTCCCTGGACCACCTCTGCTTACCGTGGCATCAATGCCGAGCAGCCCTTTGCGCTGCCAAACATAATCGGAGTGGAGAAAAAAGATGGCTACGTCCTCTTTGACCTCATTCAGCTGCTCGCTCTTTTCTTTCACCGGTCCATTCTGAAGGTAATCCTAAAAATTAACTAATACGTGATGAATACTAAATCATTGTGTAGATATTTGAATTTCTACAAATATTTTTTTTATTGTGTCCTTTGCTGTACAGTGTCACGGGCTGTGGGACAATAAGGAGGTTGAGATGCCTGATTTCTTCAAGAAGCTTAAGAAGAAAGTAGACAAGAAGAAGATGACGGATAAGGCTGGAGGCCAGGATACACGCCCACGCCGGCTGAGGTTCCTCCCCCTCCAGGCCTCCACCATATCCATATTCCGGAGACAAAATAAAGACGAATCTGACGGTAAGAATTCAGAAAATCTTTACTTTAACGTTATGGTATTGTTTACCCTTCTAAGCTACTCTTCTAAATTTGTTTGATTTGTCATTCGTCAGTATTTTATCCCTAAAATTCCCTGAGATCTTTTTGACTTTGTACTATCATAGAAATGAAGCCAAAAAAACGTAATAGCAAGAGAAAGAGACGGCACGCTACTCCGCTGACCAGGAAGCAGAGGATCAGACAGCAGGTCAGAGAAGGGATGCTCCGGGCCAAAGCTGCCATCATAGAAGTGTGAGTCCGTATATTTACCGTTTAGTCACATGTTCATCATACTTTCTTGTCTTTACATTGCTGAATGTGTGGTTTTCCAATGTGTGTGCTGTGAAAAGGTGTAATGAATTCTCCCCCCTTTCTGCAGAGCTCTTCACATCTACTTACCTATAAGACAGTTTTTCTACGACATCATCCACCCAGAGTACAGTCCTGTGTGTGATGTCTACGCCCTGATGTTTCTCATTGATGTTGTCAATTTCATCATTACCATATATGGACACGGGGCTTTTGGGGTATACCATGAAAACAGATACACATCACTGCTTCTTATTGTGACATACATTCACAGTTGAACTGTCCAGTTGAACATTATGATTCAAACAGGCTGATTTCTCACTCTCCAGAAATATTCTTCAGCAGTCGACATCACTGAGTCTCTGTCAGAGGACCAGGTTCCCCAAGCCTTTCTGGTCATGCTGCTCATGCAGTTTGGAACCATGATAGTGGACCGGGCGCTGTACCTGAAGAAGTCTCTACTTGGAAAGTGTGTTTTCCAGGTGGTTCTGGTCTTCGGCATACACTTCTGGATGTTCTTCATCCTCCCTGGCGTCACAGAGAGGTCAGAGTTCATCGCCTAGATACAAAGCTTTTGTGTACTGTTCCCAAATAGTTCTTAATGCTCAGATATAAACTGGTAAAATGCTCATCTTTGACTAAGGTTTTTGAAACTTGGGTCATATTTCATTTCAGAATCTACTGATGTAAAATCCAAAAACAGTTCAAACAAATACACAAAAAATGTGAAGAAAACCTGTCTCATGTCAGGGAGAAATGGGGAAATCTTTCCTGTCGCTCTTTGTTGCAGGAGGTTCAACGTGAACCCAATGGCTCAGCTGTGGTACTTTGTAAAGTGCATCTACTTTGGCCTGTCAGCCTACCAGATCAAATGTGGCTATCCAAATCGCATCCTGGGCAACTTTCTCACCAAGAACTACAACTACCTGAATCTCTTCCTCTTCCAAGGGTACAAAAAACAACCAACATTTTAATACTCACCTCCACATGACATGATTTTCAAAAATCCCTTTAGTTCTTTATCATCATTGTGCGTCTTCTTTATGATTTGCTTCTCCTCCAGTTTTCGGATGGTGCCCTTCCTGACGGAGCTAAGGGCGGTGATGGACTGGGTTTGGACTGATACCACCCTGTCTCTGTCCAGCTGGATTTGTGTTGAGGACATTTATGCGAACATATTTATCCTCAAGTGCAGTCGGGAGTCCGAGAAAGTGAGAAAATTTATTTCAAGCCTTTACTTTTTCTACGTATATCAAAATTCCATTTGGTCCTTAAACACATGCCTATAAATTAAGATCATATTGATCTTTTTTTGACCTGATTAAAAATCCACATTAAAGGCAACTCTGTGTTGGGCTGCCACAGAAAATCCTATATTTATCTACTAAATGAGTGATATACGTCATCTGTTTTTTAAAATTTTTTGGAGGGGTGATGGGGTTGAATGGGGGACTGAACAGATAAACTGAAATTTATTTATACAATTTCCAGAAATATCCCCACACTCCAGGGCAGAAGAAGAAGAAGGTGGTGAAGTACGGGATGGGAGGGTTCATCATCTTCGCTCTCATCAGCATCATCTGGTTCCCTCTCCTCTTCATGTCTCTGGTCCAGTCAGCTGCTGGCGTGACCAATCAACCGGTGGATGTCTCCATCCAACTCAGCGTTTCAGGATATGAGGTCAGAGTGAAAAACAGTGTTTATCCTTTTAGATGTTTATTTGCTGATATTCTTTCACTTGTCACAGTCCAAAGGGGGCTGTTATGTGCTGGTATAATTTGTTAAGCTGACACATTCTGTTTCATGTATGAATATTGCTTTGTTGAAAGGGTTCATGTTTTTCTCTGTCTGTCCTACACAGCCTCTGTTCACTATGAGTGCCCAGGAGCAGAACTTGGTGGCGTACACTGAGGCTGGATTTAACAGACTCACCAAACTTTATGCTACTCACCCCGTGAGATGCTCTTTCTTTACCTGCAAAATTATAGAAATGATTTGCAACTAGGTCTAGGCCAGCAATTTACTTAACTATAATCAAACATTAAAAAAGATAATCACACAACCCAGAATGTAACACTACCAATGACCATTGGAGGGACCAGATTTGACTTAAGACATGCCGGTCACACAGTGATAACAATTACAGAAATGCTACTGGCTGATCTATTTCATAATTATGTTTCTTATAGTCAGTGGTGGCATTTGTTGAAACATTTATTGTAATCAGTTCCCATTTGCTCTGTCTTCCAGGGTTCCATGCAGTTTCTGATGAACTATGAAGCTGAGGACATTGTTGCAGCAAAGATCAAAAGTGATGCTAGTTTGTTGTGGAGCATTAGCCCAGCCAGCCGAGCGGCCATGATAGAGGAGCTGAGCAACTCCTCTCACATATATATCACCCTGCGCTGGACACTGCTTAGGTCAGACTGTGTGTCGCTGTATTTAATAAGCAGAGTGGCACCTAATAGACTCAAGTATCAGTTCTTTTATCCATAGATCTTCCATATAAAAATCACTGCTCTTTGGCTCAAACATGTAAAAATAACGGCAGCTTGAAATGTTGATGACAATGTTTTCGTCCCAAGGCATATAATGCACATAAAAGACACATGAATAAACCTGACCGTGTTTGGGGTGGTCCTCTCCTCAGGAATGCGTCCATTTCAATGATTGTCGAAGCCTTGGGAGAACACACTGTGAAGTTTAGCGACAAAGCCCTGAGGGATGGGATTGTCGCAATGCTGAAAGGAAACAGCAGCAAGCCTGTGTGAGTCTCAGCTGACACACAGACTGCATTATTTGACTTGTTTTTCCTATTTTGTCTTTTTCAACCACTGCAAGGTCTGCAATGATCCATATTGTGTTTAAAACCAGTGGGAGTCAAACATATTATGCGCTGTACTGTATTATAAAGCTCAGCCTTTCCTTACAGATCTGAGTCAATACCAACTGATCTTAATGGAAAGGTGGTGTAAGGCCACAGTTGGTTCTTGTATAGGACATCAGGAAGTAGTTTTTCCTCTACAACAAGCTATGCTAACCTATGATTTTCTGTCCTGCAGGATAATTAACTCCCTGTTGCCCAAGTACATCAGGGGTCCCAGGGGACAAGAGTCCAAAATGGCAACCAGGATGATAGTAGGTTGGTAATTATTTATTTGAAATTTATACTTTTTCTATTAAATGTCCTCCGTTTCCAAAAATGATAGTACATTTGGTATGAAAACAAAGATCATTGATCTGACAAGCCATATTTTAAGGGCCACGCTTTAGTCTTCAGAATGCTTTGAAATGTGCAACAAATTTATAATAAAATCAAACAGAATCGGTTGTCTTGCAGTAGATAGTATTAGGGCGAATGGTATACATCTCGCCCTGCACCTTTAATGAGTATACAGATCTTTTTTTGTTTTCCTCAAATTTATTTTCAGTATTTGTTATAGTTTAAAAAAAATAAAAATCTGTAAATTGTGTTTAAATTCATATCAAAAGGCTTTGAAGATCTGTGCAGTTAGCATAATCAATTTGCTTTTATTCCTCCTTAGTTAAGTGTGGGAATAAATGTAATCCCAGTTTGTTTTCCCTCAGAGCCCTCAGACCATCCGACTCTGGCTTTCTACAGACCCATGTCAATCAAACTCCAGCAGGTCGACAGGGCGGACAAAGACGCAGACCAGTGGTGGATGGTGGAAGAATGCTCCCCAGGTGTCACCACCTCCAAGCAGAAATGTCACAGCATAGAGATTGTGGTGTTCAATGACAAAGTCAGCCCATCCAGTGTGGGCTTTTTGGCTGGACATGGGTAAGTTAAAAAGAAATTAACTCATCAGATATAACAAATTGGAACAACTCTTTGTAGAACCAGAACAATGCACTTTCCAAAATTCTGAGTATAATGTGATGGCTGGTTAATTGATAATTGTATTATGCATTTTAGTACTTCTTTTCATTACTTTCCAAATACAGAACTTTGAAATGACTGAATTTGTTTTTTAGAGCTCTTACAGCACTTTGAAACATATGAAAATCACTGTAAAATCTTTTGTTATACTGTCCTTCCTTCACAGCATTGTAGGCCTCTACATGTCTGTGGTGCTTGTCATTGGAAAGTTTGTGAGGGAATTCTTCAATGGGATATCGCGATCCATCATGTTTGAAGAATTGCCGTGTGTTGACAGAGTCCTGAAGCTCTGCACAGACATTTTTGTAGTGCGGGAGACGGGAGAGATGGAGTTAGAAGAGACAATGGTCGAGAAACTCATTTTCCTCTTCCGATCACCAGAGACCATGATCAAGATGACCAGAGAGAAGAAAGACAGCTGAGTTTAGCAGCATATCATCTGTTCATATGAGATGTTAGTGTCCAGTTTGAACTCCTGTTGCTAAGAGTGCAAATATTCCAGCAAGTAAAAAAAAAGCACAAATAAGACAGCAGTGTGAAAATGTTAGAAAATATTCAAACTGTAATTCTAGATCCTGCTGAAGTATAAATTCTCTTTTAGATCCCTATTTTGACATTTAGTCTTCCAATACAAAAATCTGTGTTAGGGAAAACTTAATCTTGAAGTTGGAAAAGTAAAGCATTAAAAGTCCTCACATTCTTGTACTGTGAAACATCCTTCCAGGCTGATTCGTATTCAGATGTAAATGTGCCTGATGTTATCAAATACAAAAGCAAGCTGATAAAATTGTTAATCTTTAGAATATAGACCAGTCACTTTTTAGAGTTTAGGGTTGATAAAACAGTCTACACTGCTGTTGTATGGGTTATACTCCCTGCCAGTGGTTAACGGGGGAATGCATGTTTTTCCTTCAGAGGTTTTTCGGTGTTTAGCAGACATGCCATCACATTCTCAGGCCTCAGTTCTTTTAGGACAAATCAGATGGACCCATACACACCTCTGTAAATACCATGTTTCTGTATATTACTATAAAAAAAACTGCAGCATTAATTGACTTAAATAAAAAAAGACTTATTAGACAAAACTGTTTCAGTGTCTCATTTTGCAGTGCTTTACTTTATATTCACTGACAACAGATAGAGACAGTACATTTCCAATATTTTTCTTTAATACAACTTTAATTACAAATGAAAAAACAGATGTTTCCTTCAGGTCCCCAAAATTTGACATATCTTGATGTTATCCAACGTGCAGTTTCTTTCGTTTCCACATTACGAGCGACAGGATGGTGACAGGACCTCACAACCCCTGGAAAAATATCTACATCCCAGTTTCACATCCTAGTTGAAAAAGAGCAGAAGTACAAAGACATTAGAAACAATATCCTCATAAAACAGGCCTGGTCTAGCTAATAAAACAGAAGCAGTTATTCTATGGGGTTATGTGCAAATGATCAAACTGTCTTCACACATGAGGTGCAATCATTTGATCTGGAGTGCGCAAAACCACATTATTGGAAATATCTGATTCAGACAGACCAGATGATTTGGGATATATACATGATCAGTCTCTCAATATGTCTCGATAAGGTTCAGAAGTGAATGTGTCCAAACTATAAAGTTGATTGGTGAATTCAAAATGAGCAGGTGCACATCACCATCTCATACTGCCCATTACACAGCCCCCTAAACATCAATTACATAATCAGCATATGTGCCAATTTAAACTAAGCTTTACTGGACTCACTTTTGAGCAAAATGGCACTTTCATGTTAATAATTAAAAACTAAAAATGAAAAGTGATCCTTGAAACATACAAAGAACAAAAGCAGAGAAAAAAAAAGCATGCATGCTGCATTCATGGGCATCTGATTTTTTTATTCAACAATTCAACAACAGATTTTCTACATCTTGAGATCACTTCACCTCAAGACACTTCAGGATTACCAGTCACAGAATAGGCCACTCTACATTTAGATAATCTGAAAACAGAGGTTACACCTGAAGATCACAACCTGATGGAAACTGGGGCAATGTGTAAATGTGCGTAAGGTGTAACGCCATCCACTCCAACAACTGCATATGTACCTTTTAACAAGGTAAGTCACACTCTTTTTGTAAAGTTCCGTTATTTGAGGGAGCTTTTAGTGTAACGAGTTACTTTAATTTTGATCAACTTACTATCACTCTATTGCCATTGCTCTTCCGCATGCGCAAAATTAACAGAGACGATCTCTGCTACGAAAAGAGCCAAGAGCAATTCATATGGTTTAGGTATACAAAAAAACATTTAAAAAAAAAAAACAACTTACATGCTTTTTTGGGTTTGTTCACTTTAACGCTGGCTTCTGCAGCCCTTAAAGCCTCGGCTTTGAACTGTGGCTTCATTGCAGCCCGCACAGCGTTAGCGCAGACAGCAGAGAAGCGAATGTAGCTGCAGAGAGGACACACTTGTTAAACACAATTCAAAAGATATTATTCATCAAAGATGTTGAATCTGAAAAATTCGACGACGCTAGTGTACTTGACGACAACTAAAAAATATTAGAAAAGGGCCTTATTGCGTTTAATTACGAGTTACAGTCAGACCTGTAGGTTAAACATGTGAAGCTAATGAAGGCTAACTAGCAATGTAGCTCTTTCAAATATCCAATGATAAAAAAAGACAAACACTTTGCTATTCCAAACAAATATACTACAAAGTACTAAATAAACATTTACCACAACAACTTCTCTCTACAAATGTACATTTATTTTGTTTTACAACCTTAGGCCTGCTTGTCTCCAGTATGCGACCATCTTGCTTCTGTTGTAGCTTCAAGGACAGGTCGCACGTATGCGTGATGGCGTCACTTAAGATACGTTATTTTCGCTCGACCCAATCAGAACGCTGTCTATGCATGATTGGCACCTATAATGCTTCTCATCCCGCCCCTAGGCATAAACTCATAACAAAGGAAATACATGTCACCTTCAGTGTGAATGATAAATATTCTTTACATTAGCTAAACAAAATGAAAAAAGACACGTTTGTGACAGACAGACATACATACATACATACATACATACATACATACATACATACATACA